GCTAGAATCCATGTATTATTGACAAAGTTTTGGGGGGTACCCACGAAGGACGTTGGAGTATACCCATTCCGCCAGCCTAGGTGGAGGTGGTCAACTAGGAGCTTAGTCAACTGTTTAGCGCTGTAGGAACTGTAGCAAAACTAGACACAACACACGAACGTGCTAGGAGGGTGCAGAAACATCTTCTAAATCTAATGCAAGCACGCAGTATGCTAGGTCACTATTTAATAGCAAGTAGTTGTAGTTGCAGTAACTTGTGTTAGTTGTGCTAAGAGAAAATGGCTGGTTCGGTGATATGGCCGGCTCGGTGATAATCTACGTTACCTATTAATAGGTATGCTTGCTAGGTACCCCCCCTTTTTTAACGTTTTCTAGCCTCTAGCTTGTGCAGTTTAATAGTTATAACAAAACCTTCTACAACAAAAATGTAGAGGTAGTTTTTCTCTTTCTTTTCAGCCCTAGTTCGCTAGAATCCATGTATTATTGATAAGGTTTTGGGGGGTACCCACGAAGGACGTTGGAGTATACCCATTCCGCCAGCCTAGTCTATGCGACCTATATCCAACCTATACCCTACCCTAGGTAAGGGGTACCCATCCACCATTCTATGCCAGCCTACACCTTCCTGCATGCCGATGCTGCCTATTATAATCTTCTCACATCCAGGAGCTGAACTGTCTCCTCAGCGTTTAATATAGGTTGCACAATCTTAGCTCTGCAGTTCTTAATGAGCAGCTACTTTGGCGTCACAGCTAATGTGGACAGAATGCGAGGAGCTATTGTAATCAGATCGAAAAACATAAGCGACATTTCCATTCCAGACAGGGCTGTAGGTACCGTCGTGTCGACTGATAGTCTCATCACCGCCTCACGCCCTATGACGCCGTCAAGCTAGCAGGCACTACATCCCCGCATCCCAGTCCGGGGCATCATTTAAAGCAGGCCATGAGTTCCTCTCGAAGACTAAAAGACCTACATGCACGATTCGGATCTAATGTCTACTACCACATTGTCCTCACGTGGAACTACGGCAAGCGTAAACCATCCGAAAGATTTCGTATGACCATACAACTACGCTTTCCACTCACGTGTCTCACTACCTCACAGGCCCTTTGAGATATCATCTCCAATCTCTAGCACCCAGAAACCAACCCCGACGGCTATGTCTCCCTCGGCCTTGCAGAGAATGCACTCATGCACAACGAGCTGCGTGACTTCCTCAACGCTCAGAAGCTAATCGATCCTCAAGCCGTTGGCTTCACCTATGGCAGCGGTCCCTACGGATCTAGGGGCATACGAGACACCATTGCCACGTCCATGAACCACCACTCCAAGCCCTTCAGCCCCTTGCAGCCAGATCACATCATGGTCACAAACGGCGTCTCCGTGGCAATCGAGCATTGTGCCTGGGGCCTTGTCAACCCAGGTGAAGGCATTCTCCTCGGCCGCCCGTACTACCGCGCTTTCCTGCCAGACATCAGCATATGCACAGGCGTCAAGTTCGTCCCCGTGAGCTTTGGAGACACGGATCCGTGTGGCATCGATTGCGCCACGGCGTACGAAGCCGCGCTCCTCAAGTCAAATGCAGAGGGAACCAAAATCCGCGCTCTCATGCTCTGCCACCCGCACAACCCGCTCGGCCGCTGCTACTCCACTGCCGCGCTCACCGCGCTGCTGCGCCTCTGCGCAAAGTACAGCATCCACCTCACAAGCGACGAGATCTACGCCCTGACCGTGTGGGACAATACCATCGACCCTCCGTCCCCAGCCGGGCCAGCGGAACCGTTCTCCTCCATCCTCTCGCTTGACATCCCCTCGCTCGTCGACCCCTCGCTCATCGACCCCTCACTCATCCACGTACTCTGGGGCGTGAGCAAGGACTTCAGCGCCAACGGCCTGCGTCTCGGCGCCATATTATCGCCTTCCAATGCCTCATTCATCCAGGCTTGCAAAGCGTACGGCATCTGGAGCAGTCCGTCGAGCCTAACCGAAAGCGCTGTGTGCGCTATCCTCAACGATTCGGCGTTTGTCGAGAACTACATTGACCTGAACAAGCAGCGGTTGAGTGTGGCGTATACGCATGCCGCCACGCAGTTGAAGAGGTACGGCATTTAGCATATTTTAGGCGCGAATGCGGCGTTTTTCATCTGGGATGATTTGGGCAAGATATTCAGGGAGAATCTCACTGGGTCGGTGGAGGCGGTGTCGCTCGATGGAGATGCCGGGATCACGGCGAGAGTGCATGAGCGCCTGATGGCGAGGAGAGTGTTCTTTGTTGATGGCAATGCGGCGGGGGCAGAGGAACCGGGGTGGTTTCGACTTGTGTTCACGCAGCCGCCGGAGTTGGTGGGTGAGGATATTGTGAGAATTGCTAGCGCGCTTAGAGCATAGGAGCTCATGACAGCTTGTGCGCGTCTCTACAACTGTCTTCTAGGAAAGTGAAACGATGCTATGGGTATACAAAACGAGAGCCGTTGCCAACGCCATTCTAAACTATGTGACGATATTATCGTCTATGCGGGCCGACTTCCAAGACCAGTCGCTTTTCTGAAGATCCAATGCCACCAGCCCTCTCTCCCACCAAGCGTCGTCTCTAGTTCCTCAACGCGGTCGCAAACATACTCAACCTGCTTTTCAAATTCGTCTACAAAGTCCTCAACGTCTTCGACCTTGCCTCGCAAGGCGGTGATCTCATACTCGAGTTTATCGTTGACGTTGTCCAATTCGCGCAACGAGGCGGTGAGCTGAGCGCGGTTGTTGGTGATTACGGCGTGCGTGTTCTCGCGCAAGGAATGATAGGTGTCCAAGCGTGGGTAGTAGATGGACTCGAGCGTTCCGATATCACCGTCGGCAGCGGCATCTAGATCCTTGATCTCATCCAGACGAAACTTGACCCAGGATGAATCTGTGACCGACAAAACAGCAAGACGATGGTGGAGGCGCTTTAGTTGCTCGGACTGCAAAGAGTAGGTGACTTGCTGCCTAACAAGTGCCACTGCAGACGTGTCGGTGTCATCGATGGCGTCTTCGTCAACGTCAGCGCTAACTACACCTTCCCACGTCAACACGCTCTCTTCGGTAATACTGAAGGAGAGATGACGTGGCCACCATTCGTCACTGTGCTGAGTGCCGTAGAGTTCCAGTTGATCGGCGGACTGTGTGCGTCGGAGGAGTGGAGGGAAGGCATGCACTTCCTCAAGAGGCAGTACCTCGTTTAATGCGATCCCGTGATAAATTGATCCGGCTACTGAGGGTTCAGCAGTAGGTGGCTGGGTGGAAGCTTCTGATTCGGCGACTGCGAGTTTAGAACCCAGCGACTCAAGATCGCCATTCAGTGTCGATGCAGCTTTGTTCAGCACAAGATTAGTGGCAGAGTCGTGCGGCGTCTCAGTAAGGACTTTGGCGAAAGAGGGTTCGAGGTCTGTAGCGATACGTTGAGCTGACATGACGCCCGATAATTCGTTTCCGTCGTCGTATACTCCATCCAGGTCAGGCTGCTGTGCATTGAGCCCTGTTCGCAAGCCTTGAAGTTGCAGTCGTGTCTGCTCGTCCCTTGAGGATTTGCTGGCATGGCTACGGAGACCAACAGCGTCTTTGATGCGGTGGAAGCCCCGCTCGGGGTCAAGCCTTGCCTTGATCGCTGCACGCTTCGAGAACGGATCTCGATCTTTGGGCTCCGTGCCATCAGGACTGAACACCTCTTTCTTGTGATCGTCTCGCGTGACTTCTTGTCGAGGCAACTTGGTTTCCTCGAGCGTGGATTGTCTCTTCAGGGAGTTTCGACTGCGATCCTGTAGTACAACTGGAGATGTCTGGCCGTCCTCATCCGGTAATCGATCGAACATATCGCCAGATCCTGTCTTTCGAGCCCGACCATACCACAGCCACTTTGCGTGGTCTCCACGAACGAGTTCCACAAACCGATCGATGTCCACCGTCTCTACTTCGGCGATACCATCTTTCTCTCCAGCACCTACAATTCCCATCACCATTTCACCGCCCTTCCCACCCAGCTCGGCTACTGTTGATTTGAAAGCTCTAGGTACACCCCAGCCTTCTTTAGTCGCAGCCTTCGCAGTTGCTCTGCGTAGCTTATCGAGCGTCTGCCGGTCCAACCGCTTTGATCTTGGAATATGGTGGGACTTTTGAAAGTGTGCGATGCCCTTCTTCGTGCTCTCGATGTCGAACACATCCTTGGCGACTGGTGCGTTGAGTGCGCTCAAGCGGTTGCGGGCACCCATGAGCATACCCAACAGAGCAGCGACCGTAGTGGGACCGAGAATGCCATCGTGCGGCTCGACTGCATAGTATTCCGCACCAAATTCTACCCACCAGTCGTTGATCGCCTTCTCCGTGACATCGCAGAGAAGGCCATCTGCATACTCTGGTTCGAGCTTGCCAAACAGGACTAGTGCAACTTGGCAAAGCTTCACGAGCTCAATGACTGCGCCGTTCAAGGGGATCTTTTCGCTGGTACGGTAAAGCTGGTGGAACTTGGCCTCGGTCGCACCACTCGGCGATGCAAGTTTAATGCCCAAACGACCCGAGCATCCCAGTCTCTTCAGGTTCTCATTGACATAGAAGATTTCTTTGTACTTTCGCACGTCCCCGCCAGGGATTGGGATGACAGTCAGGGACGAAGGAAAGCCGTTCAGGTTGGTGATCATTAACGTGCCGTATGGTGTATCCCTTCTCTTAGCATGATACTCATTTAGCGAGTTGAAATATAACTGCATCGCTGGTGACCATCTCGCTTCGTCCGCAGGCACGCTGATGATCGTGGCCAGCACTGTATCTTGAGGATTGCCGGTGTAGGTGGTGATGAGAAAGGTAGGGTGCGTTCGAGAACAAGCCCATTGTTCCACCAGGTATATTTCGTAGCCTTCGATCGTTTGCCGGCGTGCAAGGACCGTGGTGTGGGGATCGTCTTCGAGGTAACGGGACGCAACTATGTCGGTCAAGACAAAGCGCTTGTGTCGAGTAGGCGAAGTGGGCGACTTGAGGCTCCCATCGTTCGACATGATTTCGGACGTCGACGTTCTGGCAGCGGTCAGTGGGCGCGGTTGTGTGGTGTTGTTGCGGTCCAGCGATTTGGTCTGCAGAGGAGGCATCTGTCCGCGCAGCTCCTTCTCTGCATTGGTCGCGGTGTTTGTCCGTGACAAGGGGATGTGCCCATTCAGCGACATGGTTGCAGGGGCTGCTTAGGCCAAACCGTACGATGCTCGGTATGTATGCTGCACAATGCTACACGGGTCGGCTGTTCATGGCGCCAGCGCAGGCCGCAAGATTGTCCGGCGCCCACTCGCTGCTCTGTAAGAGGGGGGCGTTGGAGGCGGTGGAAAGGGTAACGTATGCAGACTATACATATTTCCAAAAGTCGAACACGATGCGTGGCAGCATGGGCACGGCAATCGTGGCGCTGGGACTGGTCGAACGTGAGCGTCGGGGGTGAAGGTCTGAGAGGACAGCGGCTGCGGCATGACGTGTGGGGAAGGAGCCGCGACCGGCCGCCCCAGCTCTCGCGGCTCGACACGACTATCGCGAACCAACTGCGCCAGCGGAACCGCCATGGACCAGTGGCATGTGATCTGCTGGCCAGAACCACTCGATATTGCGCTTCTCGTTTGCCCTGCATACCCTCACGCTGCCAGCACGCCCACAAAGCGGCCAGCTGCGGCGAGCAACCCTCACCTCCGCCATGGACGACCTCCGCGAACAGATAGAGCTCCTTGAGAGCAGTGCGAACCTCACCACCAGCCTCGACCATGTGCAGAAGACGATCGATATGCTCACGGCAGCTCGCGAGAAGGTCGCCGCCGGTATGTTTGCCTATCCTGTAACCTGTACGCACGACTGACCATGGTGTGATAGACCCCTCAAAGGCGCCGTTGACGCTCGCAAAGCTGCAGGACCCCCTCAAGAAGACGCTGGACGCGGCACAGAAGGACTTGAAACCAATATACTCCGGCCTGAACAAGTACGGGAAGGCGCTGGACAAGGTAGGTCACATCACAGCGAGTCTGGAACTGGTCCACTGCTAACAGTCACTGCAGAAGTTCAAAGACAAACCGCTCCCCAGCGCCGAGAACGATGCCCTATCCTCACACCCATCCTTGATCAATCGAGCGATAGCCATGCATCTGCTGCGAGAAGGCCAGTTCGACGTAGCCTCCACCTTCGTCGAAGAAGCACGTCGGCACCCACCGCACCCTGAGCCAACACTGAACACACCGGATCCATCCAGAAGGACCGAATCTTGGGAACAGGATCTGGCAGAAGGAACTTTCAACTCGGAGAATCTGCAACGGCAGTTTGCAGACATGTACCACATCATACACGAGCTGCGCAACGAGAGAAATCTGGAGCCGGCGATACAATGGGCACGGGAGAGAAGTGATGTTCTGGAAGCACGGGGCAGTAATCTCGAATTTGAGCTCTGCCGTCTGCAGTTCGTTTGCCTGTTCATTCAAAATCAAGATGATTCTATGGACGACACACCAGCCAGTCCGTTGCGCGCCTGGAACTACGCGAGACAAGCGTTTGGCATGTTCTCGCAACGCTATGCGCGCGAAATTCAGCATCTCATGGGCGCCATGGCTTACTACGAGAACATCGAAGATTCACCATACCAACGCTACTTCTACAACGACTCTGCATGGGAAGAAGTAGCACACTCCTTCAACCGCGAATTCTGCTCGCTCCTGGGTCTCAGCGCAGATTCACCTCTATTTATCGCTGCGACAGCTGGCGCAATCGCCCTGCCTTACCTGCTGAAAATGCAGAGTATCATGAAACAGCGCCGCGCAGAATGGACAACACAGAACGAGCTGCCTGTCGAGATACCTCTACCAAGCACATACCACTTCCATTCGATCTTCGTCTGTCCCGTCAGCAAGGAGCAGACCACCGACGCAAATCCACCAATGATGATGCCCTGTGGCCACGTCATAGCCAGCGAGTCACTTGACAAGTTGTCCAAGGGTGCACGGTTCAAGTGTCCCTACTGCCCGACTGAAAGCCACCCGCGAGATGCGAAGAAAGTCGTGCTATAGAACAGACACTAGGAGCAAAGTTCCGGGCCTATTGGGTATGCGGTAGACTGGCACGAAATGCTTAGTCGAACCAAGGTTCTTGAGGCGCTGAAGCAGTCGATAAGAGATTTGGGGACCATACTAGCGTAGGAGCAGCTGGACGGACAGATACTGATTGTGCATACCCAGGACCTTGACAGACCGCATGCGCGGATTGAGCTGGTGAACCAGATCACATTGGAAAGAGAGGGAGCAGTCTTCAATCGCGACCGACTTGGGGTCTAGGCGTTGTATTTTCCGGGGGCTTCGCCTGGCGCGGAATATCATCACAGCTATGTACAGTTTGCGTGATACGCTCTTCCTGTCGTTGATTGAAAAGCGCAACCAGGCCGGCAACATGCTATTACACACTTCAATCTTTCTTGCATGCTTGCGCTACGAGATGCGACAAATTTAATGCTACGCAGCCTAAGTCTGCGGCTGAGACACGTGATTGAGACCTTGCGAGGGGCTGCACGTGGATTTCGCACGCTACCAGACGCGTGGGTGAGCGTGAACGTGACTTCTTTCTTCCACAAGAACCGGGAGTGCCTGCCTTCCCGGTCGCGAGAGCGCTAGATGTAAAGTCTTGAATCTCAGAAATAGTAGGTCTTCACGATATGCCCTAGCTATCGTCATATGCATTTCAAGAGCCTGAATCTTTTGCTCCTGCAGGAATCGCGCACGGTCTCTGCCTAGATGAGGACGTACAGCGTCTGACATGCACAATCTTATCATAGATCCCGGGTGCCGTGCAGTTACCCCTTTACACTGTCGTCTAACGCAGTCCTTACGATAGTATCATCAACGGTCTCGTTCTCGACACCAAGGAATTTCGCGCACGCAGTAGTGTCCTTGTCGATCAGCACACCCAACTTCCCCTAAAAACAACAAGCGCCCTCAGCACCAGCCGCCTTGATCAGCGCCTCACATTCCCCCAAAAACATTCCCACGCAGCACATCCCCACAAGTAAAACCCGGCACCAACAATGGACCTCACCGACCACTACCACAACCCCTACCTCCGCCTGCTCCCACACTACCGCACTTACTTCCCAGCCATATTCCGCTCCTGCAATCCCTTCGTCAGATCCCTAACCCTCAGCCCAAGACGCACGGCCTTCCTCTTGACCCTCGTCTTGCGCACCGTGCAAACGAGCTGGTACCTGTTCCTGGGCATCATGGGCCACGCCAAAAGCAACGGCATCTGGCTCCTGGTCGCCATCTGCGTGGTGGCGTTCACCGTCGAAATGTGGAACTTGCATCTGGTCGTCGAGGCCGAGAGCGAGGGTCAGCTGGGTGCGTGGCGCGTGCCGGCCGGCGCGTTCACGTTGTTTGTGGGTTGGATTGCGGTTTGGCATGTCTGGATGGTGCCGTTGGAGGTCGATGGGATGGCGTTTTACGGCTCGGGGACGGCGGTGTTGTATGTGGAGGGCTTTTGGATTGCAGTGATTGCTTTTGTGGCGTGGGTCGCGAACAGGGAGCCTGTGGTCGAGGGTTTGAGTCTGGCGTAAAAGTTGGCGCGCTTGTGTATCGTGGGATGATCGTGGGGAAAGGTTGGAGCATTGTTCTTGCGCTCGCACAGCGGTCGAATATTGTATGGTAGTGGGCCTTTACAATCATCCTAAGAGCCACTCCCTGAGCAGCCGATCTCATGATGAGTCCGGGACTGGAGGTGCCCACATCCATTGCTGTAGGTTGGGCATGAAGTCGAAAAAGCCGGTGTCGTTGTATGGCAGCACACCCTGCGACCATACAGCCGTTTCTTGTGGAGCTGTGACAACAAGTGGCACTTCGATGCCCCTCTGTGCCAGTTCAGCAATGTATGCTTTCCTGACGGATGTCCATTCGATGAGGCAGACATTGTACCAACTGCTATGGTCCTCGCTTCCAGAGACGCACTTTTGAATAGGTTCGACGCGCTGGATGAGGAGGTCGATGTAGTCCTCGAGCTTGACTATTGAGCGAACATAATTGACGTCCCAGGACGGAGAGCGGATTGCAAACGTCAGTCGATAGGCCAAGGTGACAGCGTAGTGTATTCGAGCACAGCTGTACCCGTTCAGGTTCATGAAGTCCCGGTCTGAGAGCAGCATGGCATAATCAAGGACTTCTCTGACACTCACCAAGCAGTCCAAGAAGGCTTCCACCAGGGTGGGAGACAGCTGTTCACCTGGAGGTGGTAGACAATGCAGTGCGACTTCGTTGGTGTACGCACAAATTGTGTGTACCATAATGACGAACTCTGCTAATAAGGAGTGAGCACGTTTCTAACCATGCGTGTATGACAAGTTATCAACTTACGCTGGACACGGATGTGGGACGGAAGCTCGCTCTTCAAAGTTTTCAGTCGTGTGTCGTAAGTCTTCAAAAGTATTCGTAATATCTCATCGCTGTATTGCGCCGTAGTGTGTGATTCAGCATAGCCGAAAGCTTCGTAGATTTCCTCGGCATGATGTAAGATGCGAACATAGTGTATCAAGGAGTCATCTGTGGTAGCATTGTTTTCTAACGCCAGGAAAGCCGCGCACTGTTCCAGGTACGGTGTGTACCGAAGCTGAAGAGGTTTCCTTGACAAGAGAGAGTATCTATTAAGCGTGAGCAATATTTTGGACATGCAGCAGTAGATGGGGCAGACTGACGAGGTAGACAACAGATAGCAGCCAACATAGGCTCTCTGTGCCTCGAAACTGCGCCGCTCTGGTACTTCCATCTGGGCTCGGGGGTAGAATTTGAGGCGAAGCCCTACCTTAGGATCGCTTTCTTTGCGGGGCACACTGTTAATACCAAGGTCAACAACTATTGACGCAGCATATGCTGTCAATCGGTACACAGACACGAGGTTTAGGTGACACCTGGTTGCGGTAAGCGAGGCGCACATCGATAGAACTTCTGACGTACCATGCGGAGAGGATAATTAGAGCTTGCAAAACATCTAAACAAAGCTCTCCATCCATGAATAGTTGCTGTGAAAGGATTTGCCAGAGCTCTCTGTAAAGACTAGTTTGGACATCTCTATTCTGCCAAGACGCAACAGCTAGTACTGCCAAAAGCGTAACTGGAGATTCTTGCCGCACAGCCGGAAGTGACTGGAGCTCTGGCAATACGACAAAGGCAAACCCCTTTGACATCGTTTGATACTCTCGGATTAGGGCCATGCCATGACTGAGGCTCAGAAGGCCCCGATCAAACACATCCTGCTGAGCAGCGCTTGAGCTTGGTTGAGTCTGCAGTACCGGTAGCGCGCTTGGGGTGGGAATACCATTTGAGCTTGGAGACTGTGAAGTCTGGCTTTGCGGGCCCTGACCAGCGAGCTGTGCCCTAACCACTGCTAGGTTCTTCTCCAGTTCTTCGATGCGAAGAGTTACTGAGCAACGTCGGTGAGCGACAGCAATCAAGGATCGTGGATGTAATGCATACCTTTCTTGTTCGGGCGCCGTTGAGAGCGGGCTCGGAGCACACATTCTCGCTCCGACCGATAACATCTATAAGATAGTGTCAGCACCGAAGACTGTCCTAACACGACAGTGGACTTTGGCCGCAATACCGTTCACACACTCCTGCCACCGGGCTCACAGTACACCGGACCTTCTTGGTCCGACAATGGAGGCAAGCGGACCTCGTCGCGTCTCCCAACCGTTCGGAGGAGCCAGTCTCCGGAGGAATTTCTGACCAAGGACCCTGCGATTGCATTCTGTGAGAAAGATGGTCAACAGCTTTGCGATGGAGCAAGAGCCCCAGGCCTAGCAGATATTACAGTAAGCGTAGTAAAAGTTGTCGCTGTTGCAGAGGCCTTCTACAACTACCTGTACCTACTTCCACATCGATTAATCGGTCAGAATCGGATGCGAGGATTCTCAAGTTCGAAGACATTGTTGCGATTCGCCTGCTTGTCATGTGCTGGCTGCACTGCTCGGCCGAGCTCGAGAGGCGGGCTAATGAGACCGAGACTCGTGGCATGGATAGACCATGATACCGCTGTCCTGCCGCGGCAATTGGCAAGCATCTGCATCACAACTGTTTTTGCTGTTGTTGATGGTACTGCGAGCGCTGAGACCAGACAAGTGAAACTCCTCGGGTGTGGTGCGGCAAATGGCAAGTGCTTCGAGGAAGGACAACACCATTACATTGCTTGGCATTTACCTTTGACAACACAACAAAGTCAAAAGCATCCAAAATCCCAAGTCTTAGTGTTGGTGTCTCGGGCTTTCGTGCCACCGAAAGCTTGTTCAAAATCATACCGACAAGGCGCCTTCGTAGGAGGGCATCACTAACTCCAACGGGGGTTCATCTCGGACGCTCGTGAATTGCAGGCGCCGAAGCGCCGAGCCGATCCCTGTACTCTATGTATCCCATAGGTATCTCAGTGTCCTTCGTTCCCAGTCGCTATTCCTATCCTCATACCATGGCACAACCCCTCGCCACCAAAAGGTTAAATAATCGTCGTAGCTTCGTGGATACGAGAATCATCTCAGAGCACCATGACATCGCACAATACATTGTCACAAAGAAGCAACAGGGATCCATTCTACACCTCTAGCAGAGAAAGCAGATATGGTAATATACTAGAAGAGCAGGTGCTGCGACAAATACGATCCGCTCCAACCACAACACCAGACTTCCCGACTGCGGCATCAACAGGGGAGACCGACTCTCTGTACGAACTCACGCCGCAATACCCTGCAACTTTGGAGTAGACCGTCGTCCTCCACCACAGTGATAAGGACAATCCAAAAAACCTGGAGCAAAGCACAGAAACGGTCAAGTACGCTTATAGTCTCTCTGGTCTGCTTCGCGAAGGTCTTCGCATCCATGTCCAAAATCTGTAGGTAACTCGGACGTTCTAGCCCAGACTGGCTACATCCGTGCGGTGCTACAGTCAAATCCCTGTTCAATTCTGGTAGTCACGAGAAGCTCAACGGCGTCCCTGACAGAAATGTGTCAATTTTGTGCTACTAGTCTATGTCCCCACGTGCTGGCAGTATCCCATCGCCCTCAAAACCTAGATCGGTCTAAGCACTCACATGCCCCATGCGCAATTTGGCGGGCATCTCATCTAATCATCTGCGAACAGCAAAGCACGAAAGACACTCTTCAGTGTCGAACTGTCCCCCCAACGCCTCGCATTGCATTTTATGCCAAAGAAAGCACCTCGCCCCAAATTATGTGTCATAGGGGATAAACAAAAGCCCAAAACTCCCCGCAAATGATGTAGTATGGATGCAAATAGCGCACAAAGCAAAGTTTTTGGTGCTGTGCATCGAGCGACAGCGTTGTGTTGTACAATTTCTCGTGGAAAAGAAGCGCAAAGACATTAAAGACGAAAAGCGGCGTGAGCGTCGTGAGCAGGAACGATGGCGGGGGCGTGGGCCTAGCGAAAGGAACGCCGTAAACATCGGTGCTACCGTACAAGACCGGCCGTGGGGTGGTGCGAACTTTTAGTGAGGCAGTCTGGTGGGCTGCTGGGTCACCAAAAGTTAGCCATCCGCGAAGCGAATACAACTTTTGTACAAAGCAAGCTATAGACCCTAGCTTACATGAATATGTTCGCTCTCGTGCTCATGGGTTGCGGCTGTCCTTTACTGCTTCGGCGATCTATACCAAGTCAGCAACTGTAGGCGAATACGGAAGTCTACAACTATGACCAGTGAACTTACGAAGGCGAGTAAGACGGGCTTGTTGGCGACCACTTGGGCGAAGACGCCGAGTATGGTGCCGCACCCGGTGACGTGGGAGAGAATTTGGGCGACGTGGGCGAGTACGCTGCGTTACCAGTGGGGCTTGTTGGGGAGTATTGCGGGCTGGCAGGACTGTATGCCGGCGATGTGGGCGAGGCGGGCGAACGCCTGTCGTTGTTCGCACCAAACTGTGGGCTCGTCGGGCTGTAAGCAGGCGATGTGGGACTGTACGCAGGTGATGTCGGGCTGTAGTGTGGCGAAGTAGCACCACGATGCGCAGGCGATGTCGGGCTGTAGCTTGGCGACGTAGGCGAGTAGCTGGGCGACGTCGGTGAGTAGCTGGGCGACGTTGGAGAGTACGACGGCGAAGTGGGAGATCCATACGCAGGCGAGGTTGGCGAGTAGCTCGGCGATGTAGGCGAGTACTGTGGGCTGGTAGCTGCATAGCCTGGGGAGGTCGCACCGAAGCGAGGGCTGCTGATGCCTGGCGAGGTGGGCGAGTATCCTGGCGAAGTGGGCGAGTAGCCTGGAGATGTTGGGCTGGCGCCTGAAAAGCCTGGAGACATTGGAGCGTAGCCTGGGCTTCTGCCTGAAGTGAACGGGCTGAATCCACCGTTGTCGAAGTTGGGCTGGTACTCGCTGAAGCCACCTGCATTGTCGCCACCAGCAGCGGCAAGTGGCGAGAAGGAAGCATCGTAACCACCCATACCCATACCACCCTCGTACGTAGGAGAGCCCAGGTCGTACGGGGTTGCAGCACCATTGTCCAGGTAGTTGCCAGCAGCTGCCGCGCCGCCCATGACCTTCGAGTTGTCTTCCACCATAGTCAGAAGCATGGAGTTGTCCATGACAATGTCGAACTCTCCAGTACCCATAGGTGCAAGCTGACCGAGCATGATGTTCTCAGACACACCACGGCAGTCGTCAAGCTCACCGAAGCCAGCAGCCTCAAGGAGAATCTCAACAGTCTCCTCGAAGGAACAACGCATGAGAGCACCAGTGTCGTTACGGTTGATTCCGTGACGCGTGATAGCCATGAGAAGACCACGTTGGGTCATGATGTCGACGAGCAGGGCCATGTGACGATGGTTGACGTAGGAACCATCGAAGGACAAGACCATACCCAACTCTTTGAGAAGACCAGCACGAGCTGCTTCAATACCGAGAACACCGAGGATCTCGATGAAGGAATTACAGTATGTCTTTGAGGAGTCGACACCCTCGATAGCAAGAACATCTGCCAGAGCAGTGCCGGTCGTGTCCAAAACCCACTCGTTACAGCGAGCATCATTCTTAGAAAGAATCAAAGAACGATCATCGTTCTCAGCAACAACCTTCAGCTCACGAATGAAAGCACGCTCGATACCACGTACACCACGCAGGGTGACATCGTCAAGGAGATGCTTCTCAAGCTTGCGCATCCATCGCTCGTCACGCTCGTCTTCGTCATCTTCATCCTTCTGGAGGTTGCTATCCCAAATGAATCGAACACGAATGATCTGTTCGTCCGCGTTCTCGTCACTGAAGATAACAGCTAGGTTAGGCTTGAACTCCTCCTTGATGGTGTTAGCTACTTCAGAGATAGAGATCTCCCTGTCGAGCAGCTTCTTGCGGTCCAGAACGATGCGGAGGAGCCACTTGGACTGCTGTTCGAGGTTCTCGTCGCCCTCACCGAAGACGAAGTAGGACTCAACCATGTCTTCGTCTGCCTCGATGAGGGTCTCCTTGACTTGAGGGTCGTAGTATAGCTCCACTGCATGCGTAAGCGAGCGCAGAGTAGTGAGTTCGATACGGGACCGCAGACGCTTTGCGGCCTGCTGGTTACCGCGCGCGTCCTCTTGTCTGACAAGCATGGATGGTGTCTTGATGTTCGCAGCGATGTTGAGAATTTCCTTGAGGCGAGGCACACCGAGAGTGACGTTCTTGGAGGATACACCAGCAAAATGGAAAGTATTGAGCGTCATCTGTGTAGCCGGCTCACCAATGGACTGAGCAGCCAAAACACCGACCATCTCACCAGGAGCAACCGCAGCCTTGAGGAAACGTTCCTCAAGCTCACCGAGAACGTAGTCCAGAGCCTTCTTGTTCAAGCGGTACTCCACCACGAGACGCTTGAAAGCAAGGCGAGATCGCAGATGCGACTTGAACAGGTAAGTCGCACTCGCCTGGGCTTCCTTGGAGATCTGATCATCACCACGAATGACCACAAGACGATCCAAGAGTTCGCGGACCTTGGTGATAGTCTCAACCGGCTCAAGGTTGCTGCGGTCCTGCTGTGGCTTGATGCCGAAGCGTGCTTGCGCCGACTCGATCATACGCTGGATGTTGAGAGGCAGCTGGAATTGCTGGCTGTCATCGTCGTCGATGATAGAACGAAGGTACTCGCGATCGACCTTGATCGTATCAAACTCCTCGTCAAGATATTGCTGAACCTCGACATCACCCTGGATCTCAGCCGCAACCTCGAGCTGACTGATTGGGATGGGAGGCTTTCCTGAGCTGACAACGTCGAGCTTGAACGTCTTCTCGAACTTCGCCTCCGAAGAAGTGATAATGTCAAGCTTTTGCTTCTCGATGTGTGCGCCATCAAGACCATCCTCACCGTAGATGAACTCCACGATGTCGCCCATGGAGTTACGTACAGTACCGTCGTACTTGACCATGACATCTTCGAGCGCCTTGACGAGACGACGCTGAATGTAACCTGTCTCTGCAGTCTTGACGGCTGTGTCGATAAGACCCTCTCGACCAGCCATAGCGTGGAAGAAGAACTCCGAGGGTGTCAGACCGCGAAGGTATGAGTTTTCAACAAAACCTCGGGACTCTGGCGAGTAGTCATCCTTGGTGAAATGTGGTAGGGTACGGTACTTGAAACCGAAAGGGATACGTTGACCTTCGACGGCTTGTTGACCGACGAGAGACACCATCTGAGAGATGTTGACTGTAGAACCCTTGGAACCAGAGATGACAGTGTTGACAACGTTGTTGAAATGCTTCAAACTGTTCTGAGCAGCGGTACCACCACCCTCACGACCTTCGTTCAAGTACTTCTGAACCTTCGATTCAAAAGTACCACGAATGGTCATACCTGGAAGAGACTCGAGCTTGTCTTGAGTGGCTGTGAGAATGATGTCCTCGACATCCTTCTTCGACTTCGCGATGCACTCAGCGATCTTTTCAGAAGTAGCTGGGTCGGGGATGGCGTCACCCACACCCATACTGAAGCCGTGATGCAACAACCAGTAGCAGACAACGCGCTGACAAGCGTTGAAGAATGCTACTGCATCCAGAGGGCTCAACTCGTTGAAGATGATGTGAATGACACCGCCAGCTGTGGCACCGACAACCTTCTTCGTGATCTGTCCGAAGATGAGCTGACCACCCATGATCATCAGACTCTTGTCGGCAATATCGTTCCATGGCCCAGGTACTGAGTCATCGTCAAGCTTGACAATGTTGACCTCCTTAGCAATGGCCATGCTCATGATCTGCTTACCAGTCCACATGGGACGAGGCTTCAGGATCGCTGGCTCTGGGACAATGCCGTCCCATTCTGGCACCCACATCATGATGTTCATGACCTGTTCGATAGGCAGAAACGAGTCCTTGCGAGTCATCTTGTAAGCACCCAATAGCGTATCCTGCACAATACCCATAAGAGGGGAGTTCTTCTGGGGCGACACAATCTGCTTAGGGACCATGCACAGGTTTTGAACCTCAGCGCGAGTTTCGTCGCTCTGCGGAACGTGCAAGTTCATCTCGTCACCATCGAAATCGGCGTTGTATGGAGATGTAACAGATAAGTTGAGGCGGAAAGTGGAGTAAGGCATGACCTTAACACGGTGACCCATCATGGACTCCTTGTGCAGAGAGGGCTGACGGTTGAAGATGATAACGTCATCGTCGTTGATATGGCGCTCGACCTTCCATCCGTACTGCAGTCGCAGGTCATCGAGGTTCTTGTTGTGCTTGAGATCGAGACGTACTCCGTCGGCCTTGATCACGTAGTTGGCACCAGGATGCTGGTTGGGACCATTGCGTACCAAGCCAGTCAACTTGCTGATGTTGAACTTAGTAACAACCTCGGGGTAAGTGAGTGTGCGGGCAATCGAACGCGGCACACCGACCTGGTCCAGCGAAAGGTTGGGGTCACCGGTGATGACAGTACGCGCGGAAAAGTCGACACGCTTACCCATCAAGTTACCACGGAGACGACCCTCTTTGCCCTTTAGACGACCACGAATAGTTTTGAGGGGACGGCCAGACTTCTGCATGGCCTGTGGTACACCGTTTGCGTCGTTGTCCATGTATGTCGCGCAATGGTACTGGAGGAGGGTATCGAACTCAGTCAGAACGTGCTGCGGTGAGCCGTCCTGAATGCATTGCAGAACACGACTGTTGGCGCGAATGATGTCGCCGAGCTTGTATGTCAGATCGTCTTCACCACGCATACCCTGTCCTGTACCGTCGACCGAGATACTGGGACGGACCGGTGGCGGAGGAACAGGCAGAACTGTAAGGATCATCCACTCCGGGCGAGCGTAGTCCTTGTTCAAACCGAGCATCTGGAGCGTCCCGTCGGAGAGCAGCTTAAAGATGTTCAGAGCTGTTTGCGGGGTAATGACCTCCTTGCGGTCGCCTTGGCCGTCATCCTCGTCCTTCTTCTTCGCCTTCCATGTGCCGGTGAGCTTAAGACCCTCCTTGCGGATAGTGTCTGGCTGCGGATTGCCACAGCCGCCGTGGGGACGACGGGCTTTCTTAGGGTCCTCTTCAGTGGTGTCCTGCTCGCAGACTCGCCGTGTGCGGGACATGCGCCAAATCTTGTCAAATCGCCGCTTCGCATCCTTGGTCTTCATAGCCTGATCCCAGTCTGGATGGTTCTAGCGGTGGGAGTCAGTACAACAAGCTCAAACGCCTGAAAAGTTCGTCTTCACGAGGAAGACTTACGGTATCAGCGAGGATCAAGCCGCAACTGTGGCACACCGTCTCAAGAATCTTCTTGATCTTCACAACGAAACCTGGACACGTCAGTACAACGTCAACGGAAGTTCTGCGAAAAAATTCACTCACCGACATGGAAGACGGGGGTGGCCAGCTCGATGTGGCCAAAATGTCCGGGGCAGACCTGGATATCCTCCTTGCATGTCGCGCAAGAGTACATGCGGTCGATGGTGCCGAGCTTGGGGTCGTTGAGACCTTGCTCGCGGGGCTTCTTGTTGTCCTCATCCATGGTCTCAGGGTAGATGATGTGCACCACGCTCATGGCCTTGATCTCCTCGGGGGAGAGCAGCCCGAACTGGATCTCCCTGATGGTCCGGAGCGGACATTTCGATACTGCTGGCGCGCCGGGCGGCATATTGGCGGTATGGAAAGACGGTCACGAGAAAGTAGCTCGCTGGAGATTCCTCTATCGATGTTGGCGGCCGGGTAAAGGCGTCTGCGGAAAGCCACGCCAGGCTCTGCGTCCGCGTATTAAGAGGTCTGTAAATGTGCCGTAGTAGCTAGTGCGCCTGCTGGCCGCGCTCGTGGGTAGAGCTGATGCGCCGCGCGCGCTGGAACTGATGCGGTCGAAGAATAGCGCCTGGGGGTGGAGGCTGCTCGGGCTCGGGGGCTCGCTGCGGTCGCACGTGCTGCGGGAGGCGTGCGCGCGCGATTATAGCTCGCCGGGGAACTCGGGCGTGCTGGTGACGGTGGAAGACGCGCTCTGGAGGGCAGAACGGTCGCGGGGAGATGGGGGGATGGTGGTGGGAGTGGATGGGCGTGCCGTGTGAAAGGGCGCTGGTCAAAGGCAGAAGCGGCGGGTCGCAACGCACGGGCTCGCTGACACTAGCGCGCCATGTTGTTGCTGCGACCTGTCGCAGCGCAGCACAGAGCGAATGAAACACGACGACGCGTGCATTGTCCTTCACCTACGCGCATGCACAGCAGGCCCGGCTTTAAAGATGCTGCGAGCTGAGCACGTCGCCTCTCTGCACCCTGCCCCGCCCTGAAGATGAACCTGTCTTTGGTCGATCCCTTTGTCCTCGCACAGGACTGCCCCGATGTCATAACCGGCCGCCTGCGTGAGTGCGCTGCCTCTGCTGCCCAGTGCGCATTGCTCACATGTCCCAGGCAGCGGTCACTCCACCTCCATCCGCTTCAGCCACCGCGGCGATCTACTAGCATCTGGACGAGTAGGCAGCGCTTGGACATTCACTGCTACTCTAAACTGACTTCGTCCAGCACGACGGCATCGTGGTCATCTTCGACATCGAGACCAATGGCGTCGCCCGCAAACTGCGCGGTCACACGCGCCAGGTGCAGTCGCTGAGCTGGTCCACCAACGACCGCTACCTCCTCAGCGCTGGACAGGACTGGAAGTGCGTCCTCTGGGACCTGCAAGATGGCTCCAGAGTGCGCACCATTCGCTTCGAGGCCGCCATCTTCATCGCCGAACTCCACCCGCACAACCACATGCGCTTTGTCGCCGCCCTCTTCGAAGACCAGCCTGTCATTGTGGATATGACCGAGCAAGTGCCAGTGAAGCACCAGATCCCCTCAGCGCCACGCCGCTCCCAGGTCGAGCGTGAAAACGCAACAGAAAAGCAGAATGCCCAAGACGCTAAACAAACAACAACCATGACGCTGTTCACGCCCTCTGGCAAGCACGTCATTGCCGGCACAAACAAGGGGTGGATGAATATTATCGACACAGACACTCACCAAGTCAAGTACTCGTACAGAGTCACCAACAACATCATTGTGTACATTCGTTTGACTCCCTCCGGGCGCGACATTGTGGTCAACGCCAGCGACAGGATAGTGCGCACGCTGCATCTACCCGATTTCAGCGACACCAAACTCGATTTCGACTCATTGCAGCTCGAGGTGGAGCACAGATTCCAAGATCTGGTGCAGAGGCTGTCATGGAATCACGTATCCTTTAGTCCGAGCGGCGAATACGTAACGGCATCCACATGGATGAACCATCACATATATGTTTGGGAACGAGGGCAAGGCAGTCTGGTCAAGATCTTGGAAGGCACAAAGGAAGAGCTGTCGGTCGTAGAATGGCATCCCTCGCGACCATTTGTTGCCGCAGTGGGTGTTGACTCTGGACGAGTCTGGCTTTGGTCCATTCTGCAACCGCAGCGGTGGTCAGCCCTTGCGCCTGATTTCGTGGAGGTCGAAGAGAACGTCGAGTACATCGAGCGAGAGGACGAGTTCGATATACAGCCGCTCGAAGAACTGCACAAGCGCCGTCTCGACCAGGAAGATGAGGAGGTCGACGTCCTGACAATCGAAGTCAAGGGTTCAGCAGCTGAGTCTGAGGCGGCGAATAGAGAGTCAGGATTCCTGATGCCTGTGATCTTGGATATTGAGAACAGTGATAGCGAAGACGAGGTGGTCGCAGTCGGTGCTGGTCAGTTCAGACGCCGCAGCCCTGGTGCTGGCCGGGAGTGGATGAACGACGACGAAGTCGCTATTAGTGGAGACGAACGTCGAGCTAACGGGACAGCAGTGCAAAACGGTTCAAAGAGACGGCGAGGCTGAACACCGAGCGCAGAGTCGGGCATACAGGAAACTTAAAGAAAGGAGCAGGGAACGCGCATGGCATAGCCAGCTTTGGAGCTTTAGTCATCGCAAGCAAAGCACTCACAACCAATGATACCCAAATACAAACCAAAAGCAAAAACACCACGACATTTATTTGCATGTCAGCTGTTCAGGTTCGCCTTGACATGCAACTCGACACTACAAAATGATTCGCAGCAACACACCACGCACCAACTCCAGCAGCACCAACAGCCTCGACCAGGCTTCACACGCCCCACATGCCCTAAGAGCCCCACACAGGCAAAATGCAATGCCCTCCACATCTTAGCCTTTTACCAGAGTGCCAAACCCAGCCCAAAAAAAGTGGCTTTCTCCGCTCCCAGAATCGAACTAGGGACCTTTCGATAACAATGAAGCTATTACAGTCGAACGTGATAAACCAACTACACCAAGCGGAGGAATACAACCTTACGGTTGTGCTTGTTTTTCATGAAGGGAAGCCTGTTAATAATCTTCATATTTACTTATGCTGAACTAAAAAAGCTATCACGAAGGCATGGCAGACGGCAAAGAGGAAAGCACAAGTCGCTTACAGAAGTCCGCAGCGTGCCGAGATATCTGCCAAGGGCTCAGAACTAGTACTGATGAATGCGAGTTGTGCAAGTGGAGTTCGTGCGTGAGATGGACTTGTGCAAATCTCACCCAGCCGGCGGATACGCAAATCCACAGGTCGCATCCTCCGCTCGGTGCCCCAGGTTCATCACGTTCAACTGTGATAGCTTCATCGTTATCGAAAGGTCTCTAGTATGGGCTGAGCTGCGCTTGGCACCCCAACTGACTTGCTGCCAGGCTCCAGGCTTCTGTGCAGCCGCTGTCCCCAATATTGTACTGCAGCGCTGACATGTCCCACAGGGAGAGGCGGTCTCGTCCCCAATGGCATGGTCCTCTCATATCGCTGTCGTATCGTCACTTGTGTTTCCGCAGCTGAATCGTTTCTTCGACTGTGCCAAAGCCAAACCTCTTCTGCGCGTCCCCCAAGGCCGTGCTCTCGTCAACGAGCTCGCCGTAGCGAATCCGGAGCGCCTTCAACTCTTTCGGCAGTGCGACAGATCCCACAAGGCCTTGGCGAATAACCAGCTCTTCGAGCCGAGTCCCGCCCTTCGTTGCCATCATGACCTGCAAGAAGCCGCCGTCCGTCGCGGGCACTTCGTTGCGCCAGAGCGAGTACATACCGAGAACAAGGATGACCAACCCGATGCCGAGACAAAGACTATACGGCAGAACCAAGTTGATGGGCTGCGAGAATTGGTATGTGTTGCGGTACTCCGTGACGTTGACGAATACCTCGCCATGCCATATACCGAGGCCGAGCGAGGAGAACGTAATATTAGTTAAGAGGTCATTGAGCGACCCTTCGGTGACGTTCAGGCCGGCGAAGAAGTCCTTGTCTGGAGCGTCGTCGTCCGTGTTGGAGAAGCGGTTGCCGTTAAGTCCAGAGTCGAGGAGCTTTACGGGCCCCAGCTGTTCCTGGCCGCCGGGCATCCAACACGGTAGCGGGGCTGTGATAGCGACGCTGGTGCCGTTGCTGGTAGTGAAGTTTCGTGCGCATGGCGAGAAGCTGCTCGCGTCGGCACAGTAGACTGACCGGACTGCGCGAATTGAGGTCAGCATTGAGCTTAGTATGGCGTGAGCGTTCCAGAATTGCAGTCTGTCGCTGAGTTCGTCTGCCCATTGCTTGTAGCTTGGTAGGCTTTTGAGGAACTTGACGGGATCAGGTACTTCCCGCATGCTCTCTCCTGTGTCCCATGTCAAGCTCGAGTTAAAAACCGATTCTGGTTGCGGATCGAGGTCGCGTGTCTCGTACGTAAGCTGGCGCACCCCTTGTACGTATGTTATGTTCAGAGCGTATCGGACGTATACTGCTCTGCACTGGATGCCCTTTGTTACTATCGCAATCCGCGCTCTAGTTGTGTTACTGTTGCAGCCGGTGACACCCTGTACGTCAGATTGAGTGACGGAAAGGACAACGCCGTCGGCAAAACCGGTACGTCCTTGGTTTTGGGTATCTGGCAGGATAGAGAGTAAATTCACCGAACTTGATGTCAGCTCATTGATATTGATATCTTCGCACGACAACCGTGGCCCAGTGAAGCTCAAAAGGTAAGTTGAGTTGGGGTCAACTGATGGGCGGGGTATATCACTGATTGCTCCAGAAGACAGTACAAGATTGGCAAGATTACCTACGAGCTTGCGTCCCCCACTGCTTAAATCAGAGGATGATATGATACTCAGACTGACGGAGCTTACATGTATTGCCAGGAGGTGCTTCCTGCTGTGTCCGAGATCAGAACTCTGGAAAAAGTATGGTTCTGCTCGATGTTGAATGGATCGAAATCATCCGCCAGCGGTGGATTCAGAACTGACGTGTTGCCAACTCTTGAGAATACGAACGGTCGGGCCGCGATTGTAAGTGCACCAGGCGGGAAGGTGGCTGCCAGTGGAACTAGCCACATGTATATCGCAATGCCAAACAGCAAAGAGGCAAACTTAATCGCTCGAGGGTTGAAAAGTTCAAAAGGGTTATGTCGCAACTGGAACAGGCTTTCAATGACATGTACCGGAATCGCAGTGTCTCGCAATGTTCGCCAGAGGTGTTGTGCAAAGCACATTCCAACGCTGCCCAACAATGTAGCTCGGAACAAGGTAGCGAGAATGATCGATATAGCGGTAACATATGATTGTCGTATCGGGGCTCTGTCGCTGTCTGCTTCTTTGTTGTTTAACCGAGAGAATAACACGTAATGCAAGATGCAGCACAACAAGGCTGGATCCCATGTAAGCATTCATTGACTTTACGATTCGTCCACTCACCAAGAGAAAATAGCAAAAGGGCCATCGTGACCGTCTTGCCAAGCTTCGCTTTTAATGGGGGCTGCACATCGCATGCCTGCTTATCAGAGTCTACACTCGTTGCATGCACACTGCCCTCTTCGACTGGCTGCGGCGATAGTGTCTGCGTGGGTCGTCCGAGAGGTGATACATCGTGTCCAACTCTTCCTGATTCTGCGGAATGAATGGAGCTGGGATATGAATTGGCGCTGGCCTCAGCACCACTGGTGTCCGATTGAGGCTGATGAGCCGGATTGTAAGTCGATAGCAAGGACTCAGATTGCGCGCCGGCAGTTACTGATCCTGATCTCCGGATGGACATCCTGATCTTGATAGAATGCTCGAGCAAAGAATTATTGAAGTGTAAAAGGATTTCTGCGGGTTGAAGTATTAGTGTTGTACTGATATCAGCCAACAAGGCTGAGACTGAGGCTGAGCCTGGCACAGTGCGTGAAGGATCGGCATTGGTGCTTCGCAACGCCCAATGGGCATCCACTGCCAGATTTTACAGGGCTAAATGAGTCTTGGTAGAGTTTCACAAGCTGACACAACATCTGCGAAGCGTGAATGGCATTCAACATCTCCCTCTAGAGCATGGTGTAAGGTACCTGGCACTTATAAACCGTCTTTGACACAAAATTAATCGACGGACGTCATGTGAATGTTTTGCGATCTCATGGCCTTGAATTCTAGCAAGAAAACGACAAAAATGATGGAGGAATCCCATCTGCATTTCCAGGGAGCTCTTGATCTCGCGCGGTGACGAGATTCAGGCAGTCGCGTCCAGAGAGTGTCGCGCGCTGGCGTCCTCGGCAGTCCCACATCGATCTCACGTCATCCATCCCTTCTGTCACAGCCACCTGCGCCGTGTTGCCCTCCACGAGTAAGAAATAGAACAATCCGGGTGTTGGTATATGAGATGTGGGACCGTTGTTCGCACAGCACCACATCTCGAATGCGGGGGCCCCACACTCGGCATCATGGAGCCACTACTCCCCGCATCCCATTGTACATATGCGGCTTGATACGTCCCTTAATCAGTGGCTCATGACCATACACAACCAGACTGTTGTTCGACTTTAGAAGGAAATATGACATTTGACGACTTCCAAGAAAAGATCACACACGCTGTATGTACGACTGGTCAGACAGTTTGACTGCAACATCCGGAACTGACGGACTTGTCAGCAAGCGAGTCGTGAAACTTCACCGAACCGCGGTTCCTCCGTTCCTCAAATCGAAGCGATCCCAAAGCCTTGTAAACCGTTACGCCAATGGCAGTCTGAGCAGAGCATTGACCGCCAGGCGCAGATCAAGCTCACTAAACTGGTGCACATGCGATACCAACATCCCGATCTTGATGAGATCACAGTATTTCTTCGTGATTTTGGTATGACAGTTGCACACAAGACAGGGGACAAGAGATGGTTCAAAGGCTACGGCGACGACCAATACGTGTATTACGCGCAAAAAGGCGAGAAGAAGTTTCTCGGTGGCTGCTTTGAGGTCGAAAACTTCGCAGAATTAGAGAAGGCTGCACAGGTAGCTGGGACAGGCCACATCGAAAAGCTATCAGACGCTCCAGGAGGTGGCCACCTCATCACTCTTCACGACCCCGAAGGCTTCCCCATCAGTCTAATCCACGGTCAATCGAAGAAAACACCGGGACCGTACCCAGAAATCCTTACAACAAACTATGAAAACGAGAAGCCACGAGTTGCGCGTTTTCAACGATTCAAACCTGGGCCTGCAGCGGTCCACAAACTTGGTCACTACGGCCTATGTGTGCAGAACTTCGAAGCACAGATGGCCTGGTATACACGAACGTTCAATATCGTGCCCACCGACATCTTATACGTCAACACATCAGACGGGGTCAAGAAAGACGCAGCCATGTTTGCACACATTGACATAGGACAAGGCTACACAGACCATCACACAATATTCCTCAGTACGAACAAGACAAGGCATGTACATCACTCCTCTTTTGAAGTGCACGACTTTGACACACAGTCGTTGGGTCACGAGTGGCTAGCCAAGAAGGGTTACAAGAGCGTATGGGGTGTGGGCCGGCATATTCTGGGGAGTCAGTTGTTCGACTACTGGTGGGACACAACAGGAAACATGATTGAGCATTACGCAGATGGTGATCTCGTCAATGAGGACACGCCTGTAGGATGGGGCGAGGCTGGCGATGAAAGCTTAGCAGTGTGGGGGCCAGAGGTACCGAAATGGTTCCTGGACTAGGTACATTGCACTGAAGCTGGGAGGAAGACACTAGAAATTATAGATTGCGAAATGCTAGTGTATTATCCGAGAAAGCTGTCGATGCATGTGTGAATACATATTTTCAACTAAACTTGCAAGCCAGAGTCTTGCTACGCCACAACGGCAAGAAAGCGAGCCAGACCCAAGTGTTGTGTCACCAGGAAGAACATGGGCAAGCGACACCTGGATAACGCATAATGCATAATATGCGTGGAACTACATGTTCATACAGATGTTAGCAAGAGCTGGACTATCCTAACACACCTTGTTGCGTAGAAGATATGACAACGTCGCGTCTTGGCCGCGATTTAACAGTCCACTCATATATCACGCTTCTTTTTCAGCATTTGGGATGAGGCTATGTTCTAGGGTTGATTTCATTCTTCGGTAGATAGCCTAGCTTCAACTTGCGAACTTTACTTATAGAAGTTCTTCACTTCCAACCCCTTGTACTGGAAACTCGTCCCCTCTCGCTTATCCAATACCTTCTTGTGATGCACATCCTTGACTCTGGCTCGCACATACTCAGTACCTGACGGGACTGGTCTGCTCAAGTCCTTGTCCTCCTCCCTGATCAAGTCCAAGCGTTCCAGCAGCGGTGAAGGTACAGTACGCATCGGCGCATGATTACCAGGTCGGCTGAAGTACAGTAGTCCCAGACGGGGGATGTTGATCTGGTCTTTGGGTGGTGTAATAACACGGTGGATGGTGGATTTAATGAAGCCTGAGCTTACTGTTAGAACCATAGTCACTGCACATGGGCAAGCTGCAAACCCACCATTGGTCAAGAACGTCAGTGTGTCTGCCGCATTGCAAGTGATACCACCGGTCACTGGCTTCACATACTTCCACTCTCCCTCTGGCGTTCTAATCTGCAACCCAGCGACATGCTGACTGAACAGTAGAGTTAGGCTGCCAAAGTCTGTGTGTCCACCTGTTGAGTATGCTTGTGCCTTGTCCCACTCCTCTTGTGTGCGCACGTTGTAGATCATGTATCTGATAGACATTTAGTTGGACTTTTAAGGTAGACTCAAGAACATCTCACCTTAGATGATCGTCTGAGATTTGATCATATGCATGTGCATCCGCCAGATAATTTTCAGGCAATTCGAGGATGATGGCGATCAGGACGAAAAGTTTGCGGGCAACTTCCCAGACATCGCGGTGGAAGTTGCGTATCTCTTCCCAATTTTCTTCAACGACCTGATGCTTTCCAACGTCTTTCCATGCCGGTATATCTTTGTGGATATTAAGCTGCTCGACGTTAGTTCTGCTTTGTTATTGCAAACATAGACAATGCGTACCATTTCGATGTTCTCCTTAATGCCAGTATCACCGATCCACCTCTCGTTCTCCCTGTACCCGAAATACTCGCCCTCCGCAAAGTTGCACGGAAACCTCCTCTTCTCTTCAAGGGGCTCCTTGAAGAATGTGTTGCCAATACTGAACTGGCGCAGAACTCGTTCATCGTCGATACCAGATCCAGTGACAACCCAGAATCCAACTCTTGTGATCGCATCGTACAGCTGCTTTGCTAGCTCTTGTTTGCCGGCTGGCTCATCGAATCGAGACAAATCGATGGTAGTCAGTGGCGCCCAGTCGAGGTCCTCTGTTGTTTTTTGTGGCCTGCTCCATAGCTTGACGATAGGCTTGCTGGTAATCTGAGGTGGAGGCGATACTGCAGAGGGGGCCATGGCGGCAACGATAGATCGATTCGCTGGATACAAGACAGTGAGAAACAATCTGGTCGACTTCAAACATACATTTTGCAGTAATAACCAGCGCTCTTATCTGCCTCTCATGCGTGATGTTGCTTGCGCGGGGTCTATGTTATGATTGGACGTGCAGTTTCCGAGTCGTTGTTTCTCCTCACGATGGCGTGCTTTTCTGCAACAACAACGTGCTGATCCTTAGATTGTCGGCAACAGCGGCGTGAACCTTTGCAGATGATAATTATGGCTTCAGATTGACATTCTCCGCACGAGGCGTCCAACGAACGTGCTTGTATGCCTGTAAGGCGTCTAAAGTAATATGGAGGTCTAATACGTCTTCTGACGGCGGAACCGAACAAATCCCTAGCAAACTGTGGTATGATGCTTGTCGATGCTTGCGATTGCATGTATTTGCTATCTCTTGGTATTGGCGGAGACCGCTTATCGTCATCCTGGGTATCATGTCGTGATGAGTGCAGGTCCATTGTGGGCAAAGAACACACCGGCATCGGTATCGACGGTGTTTCATGAATGCCACTTTGGCCGGAGGGTATATTTGCTGTGTCGTGCTGGCTCGATGAGCTTTCTATGAGGGCGTGTACGTGTTCATTCGAACTTTTCCCAATATCTGTTCTCTGTTTCTCCTATCGATCTTGTCAGGTTGAAGCCAGAGACGAAGGCTTAGATGGCCAACACCAAGAACCCGACCGACAAGCTGAGCTATGTTGCCAACGAGATCCCAACAGTGTTCGAGAAGGATCTGGTATCCGTAACACCGACTACCTCATCTCCAGCCGCGGAATCCCTCACCGCTAGCCCGGAGATTGAAAGGAAGCTGCTGCGCAAGATCGACTTCTGGCTCGTCGGCTTCTACTCGCTTGTCTACATCTTCAGAGTCATCGACAGTGCCAACTATTCGAACGCAGCCATCATCAATCTCGAGGCCGGGACCGGTATCAAGAAGCAGCTTGGCTTTACACCCTCGCAATGGGCATGGACATTGTCCATATTCTCATACAGCTACCTGATCTTCGAACCGACCAACACCATCCTGCTGAAGCTCTTCAAGCCATCGAGATGGATGTTCACCCTAATTATGGCGTGGGGAGTCTCTGCGTGCTGTTCAGCAGCAGCGATGAACTTCTCAGGCATGATGTGCGTACGCTTCGCTATTGGAATGGCTGAGGCAGGCTTCTTTCCAAGTGTACTGTACCATTACGCGTTCTGGTACAAGCCTACTGAGATGCCGCAACGCATAGCTTTCTTCTATTCAGTGGGCCAGCTCTCAAGCGCTCTGTCTGGCTTGCTGGCGTATGCAATCGCGCACTTGGATCAACTAGGGGGTCTCTCCGGATGGAGGTGGCTTTTCCTCCTAGAAGGCTTGCCAGCGATTCTGCTAGCCTTCGTCGCATTCTGGTTGCCGGATTATCCGGAGACAACCGAGTTTCTCACAGGAGAAGAGCGACTGCACATGAAGAACAGGCTGGCCAGTGGTGCACCGCAGGCTGAGAAGAATTGGGACTGGGAGTCACTGAAAATAATGGCAAGAGATCCGACTTTATACACATTCAGTCTATACTGGGTTTGTCATGGTATTGGGGGCTTTGGGGTGGGGTTTGCGCTGCCGACTGTGATCTATCAGCTTGGCTTCACAACTACAGCTAACTCACAGTTGATGAACATTGTGAGTATCCGCTACAAAGGCTAAATCGAGTGCTAATCAGTGTAGCCGCCATATGTTTCAGCGTTCCTGCTGCTGAACGCATTGGGCTTTATGCTGCAGCGAAAGTGGATCAGACCCTGGGTCACTGCTGTTGGCAGTAAGTCAAATCAATGCATCGCAATGACCACAGTGCTTACACGTCCAGTCGAAACGACCACCATTGTTTGCTACATCATCCTTCTTACCGTTCACAGCCCGGTTGTTCGCTACATATGCTTGATCGTTGCCGTAGCCTGCGCAGGCTGTGCATATCCGGTGATTTGGCCTGAGCGTATCAGAGCGCTCGAGGGTACGGTAGCATCTGGCATAGGTATCGGTCTGACAAATGCTTGCGCTCAATTCAGGTACGTTGAACTAGCCGACTCGGTGAATGTCTGCTGACATTTAACAGTGGCATCGTGGGACCGCATGTTTTCAGCACAGTATTTGGCCCAAGATACCGCACCTCATACGCCATCAATCTCTCGGTTCTTGTAGTTGGCATTTGCTCCATCTTGACGAGCTGGCTCCTCGTCATCAGAAAGGACCGCAGACGTGCGGACCTTGCGAAGCAGGGGCGAGTGCAAGTGTTTTGAGGGTGAACATAATTCACGATTTGGTTGTCGGAGAATGGGGCTTCGTAGCTCCGCCTGACCTTGCCAATGGAATTAACCGAAAGTTACGACCATGAGGCTGCACCACCTTTGGATCTGTGCTTTTTGTGACGCATCTTCCGTTTCCCGGTGCTCCTCTTCTCTTTCGGCAAGAACAGGAAACCGATCGAGCGCAACGGAATTAAGATCAGCTCTTCACCAAGCTGCTCGGTGATCGTCATGGGGTTCAGATGATTGATGAGGCTGTGAATAGATGCGATCAGCGAAGATAGCCACACAGCTATGTCCTTCTGTCCGGTGGCAACCGCACGTCCAGTAGACTGTCGTTGCTGCGCGCACAAGGTGCTCTGTGACTTTGCGTGTATCCCCTAGCTCGAAAAAACGGACATCCCGGCGCGTTGAACAGCCTAATAAGATTGGGAGAGGCTTGCGGCACGAACATCGGTGAGTGTTTGTGATGAGCTTTCAGATTCAGATCCCATGATGCCAACGGCTAATTTCAATTGGACAGTCGCAGTGCTGAGTAGTGAGGATGTCATTATTGAGGATGTCATTATTGAGGATGTCATCGGGTGAAAGGGCTGGTAGCTACGGGTAGCAGTTGGATCCGTATCGTCAGTAGTTACTGTTCCGCATGGCTCGGTCAGATAGCTGCATGGTTGCGGAAATGCTTGCCAATGAACTCGAAACCATCTCGAGGTCAAACTGCCTCAGGCTGAAGGGGTCACAGAGCTGTGGTTGCCAGGCTGCCAGTGGCTGGTCGGGGTATGCAGAGGTTGTACAGGAGCCTCACCAGTCAGCATTTCGGCATGAGAGCCTACTGAAATTGCGCGAGGCCTTCTTTCGTACAAGGCATCGCCATGCAGGGGACCACAGCACGCAGAGGTCAGCCGGAATGCGTGGGGTGTGAAAGAGGATCGTATACAGCTCAAACTAAGCCGTATTAGGAGTTATGAAACGCGCTTGACGTCGATGCGCCAAGTTTGGAAGGCGGTTCCACGCTGCACTTGCTCCAAGACGTTGGTTCGAAAATGGCTCGGCGCATGAATCCGACGCTAGGTCAAAACACCACAGCGTCGACAACCGTGGTGCTCAAATATTGCAGCACGATACGTCCACCTACGCTGAAACCCTATGGAGACCTGACGCTGATGAGAGGTGTACCGCTATGTGACACTGACCCTACCTGCAACTACTCCGGGTTACTTGTGACAGGACGCCGCTCATCCGTCAGGCTGTGTTAAGGCGTCGATCGCCACGGTCCCTCTCGGAACCCGTCTGACCTAAAGAATGATGATCACCGGGGGCTTCGTTCTTCCTCACTACTGTAAAACCGTGCTCTTCCTCTCCTTTCATTCCTCAATAATCACTCGTGATATCATACGAACGCCCGGTCATTATTTACTGCAGCCTACCCCCGCTCTTCTGCACGCGAGAGCAAACGGCGCCGCCTTCCATGGGCCGCCGCACCTCCACTTCCTAACATCTCCTTGGCCTTTGGGCGCACAAGTACACCGTGTCGCCTCCATCATTCCCTCCACTGATTCTTCCACTTCTGTTCGACCAAAGGCCTGGTGCCACTGAACCGATATCTCCTTCAAACACCATTGCCATGGCGGGCCGCACCTTCCTTTGCCGGCTAGTCCTCTATGTCGTCTTTTCGATCACCGCAATCAGCCTATTCACCAGATCCGGATCGCCTTCCTTTTTCTACCGGTACTCGAACTCTGCCGCTCTACAGCAAGAGGATATTTTCTGTCCGCAATCTGAGCTTGCCGACGATGTATTGGTCGTCTTACGCACAGGCGCCACCGAGTCTCGCGAAAAGCTGCCCGTGCACCTAAGGACCACTCTCCGATGCGTGCCCCACTTTGCCCTATTCTCTGATCTGGATGAGCAGATTGAAGGGCATGAGGTACATGATGTCCTGGGAGGCGTCAGTGACCAGACGCGCCAAGAGCACGAGGACTTCAAATTCTATGACCAGCTGCACAAGCACGGGAAACGAGGCTCGCAAAACCAGCAGGTCTTTACAGCACAGTCGGGGTCGTTCAAGGGCGATTACCTTCAGACAGAAAACAGCGGATGGAAGCTGGATAAATGGAAGTTCTTGCCAATGATCGACCAGGCATACGCGAAGAAGCCTGATGCCAAGTGGTTTGTCTTCATCGAGGCGGATACTTACCTGGGCTGGAACAACCTGCTCGAGTACCTTGCTGGCTTCGACGACACGAAGTCATACTACATCGGGAAGCACCTCTACATCAAAGACGTTGAGTTCGGTTATGGCGGCGCAGGCTTCGTCCTCTCTAACCCCGCCATGCGCAAGGTATCAGAGCAGCGCTTGAACAACCTATACCACTACGAGGAGTTCACCAAGTCGCACTGGGTTGGCGACTGCGCACTGGGAAAGGTATTAGAGGATGTAAAGGTGCCACTGCATCGTGCCTTTCCGCACTTCCAGAGCGACTCACCCGCGACCCTCGACCCCGCCGTCTTGAAGATCGATCGCGATCTCTGGTGCTACCCCACCATTACCTACCATCACGTCTCGCCGACTGAGATAGATGAGCTTTGGCAATTTGAACAGAGCTGGTACAAGGAACACAACAACGTTGTCCTGAGACATCGTGACGTGTTCCTCTCACACGTCCGATCTAAAATCGGCGCATCGGTGGCATATTGGGACAATATGTCCGTTGATGCGGAATACAACGCTCATGACCACTCCTCATCGCACAAGAAAGAGGAGCGAGAGGCGTGGAAGTCGTTCGCGCATTGCCGTGCGCTCTGCGAAAGCCAGACCAAGTGCATACAGTTCTCCTTTGACTCGGGGAGCTGCTCGATCTCTAACTCGTTCCGACTGGGCTACGCAAAGCCAAATGAGAAAGTAAAGAGTGGGTGGATGACAGACAGAGTCAACGACCACTTTAGGTCGCTCGATGACAGGTGCGGAATAAGAGACTGGTTCACACCCGCGAACGAGGGTGTGAACGCCAAAGCAAACGCGGAGTCAACAATGCGACGACAGAGGAGATAGATCAGGACACTCGGAAGAAGTGAATGCGTTCAGATCAGGCTGAAAGGAAACTCGGAACCACAATGATACCCATACTACACACTCGCTAGGGGATGCCCCATGCTCTCATAATACTAGGCCACGGTAGCCCGTAGGACCACACTACACCACCATAATTCAATTAACAAAAACATTTGTAAAATAAGCAACATTTTATTGTCATTGTATGCGATACCGCATTATAAAGAGGTGAGGTCAAAATACACTCAGAAGACCCTTCGACCCCGGCGTCTCACCGTGTTCTAGACCGCAAGCCTCGGGATCGCCCCAATATTAAACCATGCCCCATGCAGCCCGATCTGATCAGGTCATCGACGACAGTGGTTTAGTGCTACCCAGATTCAATGAACTCTCAATCAATTTCTATGGTCGAACTGGGGTACCGCGGACGTGCTAACGACCGTTGTTGTCAAATCTGGTCGTGGAGACAGGGCTTGGTCGATCCACCCGCAGTTGACTTCACCACAATCCGTTCATGGAATCGGGCCATGAACCCTTTCGTGCAAGTGTTGCGGATTCGTAGGCTTGGTGGTCGTCCTGCTGTGCTTCGGGTTGTGTGTCAGACACTGCATCCGGCTGCGCAAGAGTGTTGACAGCGCCGTCCTTGACATCTCCTTCAGCAGGGCCTGTCATTTCACCGACAGGTCCATCAATAGTCCCCACCAGCGGAGCCTTGTAGAGCTCATACTCCACCTCGCCCCGCTGTTCTTCAGTCGCTTCACCCTCCTGTGTTTGCTCCCCTCCAGCGTCTAATTCACCAGCACCAAACTGCCTATCTTCATCATCCCACTGCACAAATCCGTCGCCATTCACGCCCGCAGGCCCAACCAATTCTCCCTCCTCGTCCCTGAAACCATACAGAGCCTCTCCTCCCTCATCTTTAAACGCACCAAGCGTAGTGCTCCCCCCCTCCTTCTTGTCCGCACCCTGGCGCTCGCCACCCCAACTCGGCCGGTCCCAGATCTGGCTCAAATCCATCCCCTCCGGCGTCCCCCAGCCAGCGACCACACTACCACCGCCGATATACCTACTACTTGCGATATTCTCGCCGACCAGCGCGCCGCCGCCTCTGCCTTTGCACCCCACAGCTTCGCAGCGCCAGCCCAGACTCACGAGCCCCAGGATGATGAGAAGGACCAAAAATCGAATGAGCGTGCGGCTGCGGGGTACACGCGGACTAGGAGAAACGACCGTGTGGGTGGGTTGGTCGTAGCCCACGAGTCTCGATTGGCGGCGTCCACGGTCGTGGGAGGGTGAGGGTGACTGGGCCGCGGCGAGTTTCTCGTCAAAGTCGGTGTGCAGAGAGAGGAAGGAGCGGGGTTTGTGGGAGAAGTAGTCGGGCGAAAGTTGAGATGTGCGGGTCATGTTGGCAGTGGGGTTGCTTGTGCTAGTCGTGCTGATGGTGTGCGATGAGCGGAGGGATTGGCGGTAGAGAGGTGATATTGGGTCGAAGTAGGGTGTGCCTAGGTCGATGGAAGAGTAGGATGGCATGCAGCGCTGGACACTGTATGATTGTGAGGACACTGTCGAGACGTGCTGGGGTGTATGCTCGTTCTCCCTGCGAGGCGGTATGAGATTGCGTCTCAGGCAAGGGCGCTCGACGCGTCTCGCGCCGCGCTCAAGGACAAAGAATACGCGAGGAACGACAACGGAATGTAAATCACAGGTAACATACAACTACACTCTCATCTCGGTTGCTGCTTCGCTCGTTACATAGGAAAGTTGTCTTTTGGCATGTAGCTTTTCAAATTCGTCGATCCGTCCATTGTGATCGTCAAAATGGTAGGAAAATAAGTGCAACTTTCCATTTCCATCCGCAAAGGTATTTCCAAAGCTTATGTGTTCGTTTCTCTTCATATCCAAATACCAAAAGATCATGGTGCGCTGAACTACGGGAGCGGTGCTCAATGAGCGAATTAAAGTACATATAAGTAAAGCTGGCCGAGGCGAAACGGGGTATGTGGTGAATGAACGAAGGATATGTGGTGGTACTCAGGTGACGTTTGGTAGGAGTGGCTTATCCTGCGGCTGCTGCTGCTGCTCATGTTCCGACTCGTTGACTGAGGATGCTTCGTACGAGCCATTGTCGGCATAATTTAGCAGTGCCTGTGCATCGTCAAGTCCTGAAATAGCGAGGCCTTGCTTCTCATCTTCTTCGTGGATGGTACTTCCTTGGATGCTTTCTTTGCCAAGCTCGCTCCTCTTGCTAGATGCTGTGTCAACATCTTCTTCATCCATCAGATTTGGTGGACGCTGGCGCATGGCACGAGCCTTTTCTAATGAAATGGTCTTCTGCTGATACGTAGTGGTGAAGGGAAGGCCCTCATCGCGGTCGATTGTGGCTTTCATGAGTGCTGCCATCCACAGTCGGCCTACTGCCAGGCTATCGACGGCAAAATAGTGCACAATAGGCTTGGTGAATTGCACCCCCTTCTGCAGACCAGCGCGGGGTGGGACCAGCTTGAAGATGAACATGCCATCCATGTTCTCCTCGACACTGTTCGCAGCTTTCGCGCTGTCGACAGATGCTGTCGTCTCGATGGTAGCATTGTGAGGAGAAGATGGCGACGAGGCTGCGCGGGTGATGGACGCGTGTAGACCGGTCATTCTTTCATTGTTTGCCGGCAGCACACGGTGCGAGGAGATGTCGATGAGGCCCTTTTCTTCTGTGTCGTTCTCGCTGTAATAGTACGACAGACGTCGGCCTCGCAGCACAAACAGACGAGTTTTCCACGTTGTCATCAAGCTGGAAGACTTCTTTTTCATCCATCCGCTGTAGTCACAGTTCTTCATGGCTTCCTGTGGTGTAATCTGTTGACGGCCCTTGAGATAGGCGCTAGTGCCATGTTTGCTGGCCTTTTTCTTGGCCACCACCTCTTTGGTTGCATTGGAGCCACTGGTATGTCGCCTATCACCCTTGTCAAGCTCAAAGCTCTTCGATACCGATGTTCCAGAAGGTGTGCTTGATCCTGTCCTCGTTGGTGACTGCATAGGCGAATCTTTGTTCGACGAGTGAGCGACATCCACAGCGCTCGCATTTGCCCTCTCCCCACCAGTGATGGCATCCGATATAGCCCTGAGGCCAGCTGCGCGTGACTTCTTGCTGAAGAAAGAATTCGATTGTGTGACTCCTCCTGGCGAAGGTGAGGCACGACCAGTCGATGACGTTTCACTGCCAGGAAGCGCTGGCGAATTCGCGATTGCATCGATGCTGGGTGTGTCATAGCTGAGCTTGGTAACGGTGGGCGGTCCTTCGTTGGCTGGTTTTAGAGGACGTATAAAGTCAAAAGCGCTCGAGCGGTCGCTCTTGACACTTCCTCCATAGTACTGCTTAGCCGCAGGAGACACAGCGCCTTGTCGCATGGCTGACTCAGCACTGCCAATCCTGCTATGCCGGCGGCTATACGATGTGCTAATGCTAGGGTTGCGGACAGGGTTGTCACTATCTCGCTTTCGAAGCAGATTACGGTTCTTGCGATTGTCGACCTCGCCGCCCGAGAAGTAGCCTCGGTCCAAATCGTTTGCTACGTTCAAGCCGGCTTCTCTGGTATCAAAAGCTGTTCCATTGGTGCTCGAGGTGTGCATGTGGTTCGAGGAGACGGGACGCTGTAGATCGTGCGAAGTCTTCTGGGGCGATCCCATGGTCCAGTTGCGGTCAAATGATGGAGCTTTCCTGTGCGCTGGCCCAACAGGCACTGTTGATGCAGGTTTGACATTGCCTGGAGCTGGCAGATTTACATTGTAGTCAATTGAGGAATGCCGCCTGTTGTGGTTGAGACTGCGAACAGAAGCTGCAGAAGGGCGGGTGCCGAGTGGTGGAGAAGCTGGAATTGTGTTGATTAGTGGAGATGTCGGCTCAATCATCGAGCTTGTCGAGCGTCCTATAGAAGACATTGTGCGGGGCGTGTTCTGGCGACCAGTGCTTCCTCGAGAACCCATGCTTTCCCTCAGTGTAGGTATCCGCGGTAGCATGCCTGCACCCAACGAAGAAGCTCTGTTTCTTGTAATTGTCTCCGCCATTGGTGTAAAGTCCTCAAGACTATCGTGCGGCGTCAGAGCTTTGGCAGCCTCTTTTGCATTGCGGACCTCCTGCTGTAGGGCATTGATCTTCATCCACGTGCGCAGACGAGGCCCCATTGGCCCCAAATCGAATTCCTTCATGAAGATGAAATTGCGGTCCACACCCAGCAACGCCTCGCCGTCGATGTCCTGGTCTTTGAAGACGTCGCAGTGTTTCCTCTCGACGCCCACATCCTCCAGGTACTCGGCCACACGCCCTGGCGACCATGTCTTGACCTCCTCTTCTGTGTGGAAGTTCTGCTCCTCGTCGTCTGTTTCCTGGCCATTGATGTACGACAGACGGTGGTGGCTGCTGTACTCGCTTCCAGAGTCGTTGTTCATGTTGCCGGGCTTCAGATCTCGCTGAGCTACGGCTGCGCTATGACGCGGCGTGCTCATGTCGGTGATGTGCTCGTCGATGACGCTCAACGTCTCGTTCATGACTGGGCTCCCTATTGTGGGCTCTTCATAGGGCTCTTCGCCATTCAGTGTCATGCTGATGCTCCGTGGCGCGGCATTCAGCGAGGTCCTGCGCGCACCCACGGCGCCAGCGTTCGCGTTCGCTACGTTCAGGGGCTCTGTTGGGCCCTGGCCGAGGGCAGGCGACTTGGGTGCGCTCAGCGGCTGCGTCGACGGCGACGACAGCGAGGTCGCGGTGCCAGGCGCAACGGGCTGCGTAGGCGTTTGCAGCTGCGAGGCATTCGAGGTGTCGCGCGAGTGCATGGGCACGTTGGTCGTGGAGGGTGCTGGGGCAGGTCGCGTGTAGACTGCGATGTATTAGAGACGGTAACAGCCCCAGTAGGCTTCCCAGCAGCGTAGTGCCTGGCACTCGGTCGCTGCTGCTCTGCGAACGCCTCCGTCTTACGCACCTTCAGGGAACAGCCCGTTCTCCCCGCTCTCTGTGTTCTTGCCCAGGAACCAGCCATCGCCGAAGTCGTCGTCGCGCTCGATCAGCTCGACGCGATCCCCCCGCTTCAGGTCAAGCTCGTCCGGGCTGCGGGCAACAAATTCATCTGCGGCAGCCTGTCAGCATTGCTGTGGGAGTGCGCCGCAGCGTCCGCGATGGTCGCAGTCGAGCTCCGGTGCACGCTAGAGGGGGGTGGGGAGACTCACGCACGACAACCAGCAGGTCGCCCGGCCGGCAGTGCTCCGTGTGGGAGCGCAGTCCGGAGACCATAGCCATGGTTGCGCCGAGGGTGAAAGGAGTGTGAGGCCCGGCGCAGGTGGGTGGCAGCAGGTAGACGTGAGGAGGGCAGAGGAGGCGTCAGACAGCCCAGCCTCAGCGACTGAGCATGATGTAGTGATATAGTGCGGAAGCGTTCGCGCTATCGCCGTCGCTGCCAAAAAGGGTTCTTTGGTCTCTATGCGGACTGACTCGAGCACGCCGCTTTGAGGATGCTCCCGAGTGCGCCGTTGTTCGAAACGTGCAAAGGACAGCTGTGGCCAAAAGTATAATCAGGTGGTGCGGCTTTGGCCTGTATCGTGGCACGTCTGGCGCCCTATTCTTGGACGCGGGCGGCGAGCTTGCGTCCAGCCACTGAGCGAGGGTGGTGCAGCAGCGCTCCCCTCACCAAATTAATCTATTGCTGTGGTACGTAGGACGCGCAGACTGGCTCCACGGGCAGCACCGGACAATGGACATGGCTTTCCCGCTGCACGCATTTCCTTCTGGCAGCTGGCAGTCGCCGTTGTTCTCGTCCTGAGCCATGCAGGTCGACAATGCTGCATGGCATGGCCGCTCCTGCTGTAGCTTGTTCCACAGCCGCTCCTGCCTCGTTAGCGCCGCCGCGGAAGCGACGACAAGTCGTTGTGAATGTCTTGCATTGCAATTCGCGAACTTTCCCCAGAGACCCCCGCACCTTCCACTTTATCTACGGCCGTTCAACGCGCCTTCCTACTCAACTGCAGCCAGTGACGCAGCATCAGCAGATAGAACCGTTTGTCGTGCCTGTTCTGGTATGCTCATAGACTGCCGATAAGCTCTCGTGGATATGCACTTCCCGCATCCGTCGCGATACCTGGGAACGGCGTCTCGCTCGCCAGTCCACGCCCCAACAGGCGCAAACCCACCACGGCGCTTCTCGTCTAGGGAGATCCTTCGCTGAGCAAGTATGACCGCCGGTGCACGCTCCAGTGCATCGGGCGACGTTTATGACGCCGATGCGACTGCAAGCACGTTGAACCTTGCGCTGGGCAGAAAGCACATGAAATCGTGGATGACTGGCGCAGTCGACCATGCTCCTCTTATGCCGTCAATTCCTCATTCGCCTTCAATCCTCACGCCAAACCCTGCATCCTCTTTCAAACGGAAGAGAGGGAGGCCCAGAAAATACCCGCTACCAGAAGCTGTCGACCAGCGGCATGCGACCGGGACAGCTACTTTCGGGAACAGCCTCACAACTGCACCCTTACCTGAGCGACTACCGTCTTCGAACTCGACGTCGCCACAGCTCGCCAACATCGTCACAGACCGTACACAGAGTCGCAGTCATGGCAATCTGGATGTCACTGTACTCCCTTCACCTACACCAAGTGAAGAGGACGCGCACAATAGAGGCTTACCGATTCACGAGCTAGGAAGAAGGCAGTCAGTGAACATTGACGGGTTTGATATTGCGCATTTCCAGTCACCGGGCGCCTCCAGTCCAGCTCCAGCAACGGCTGTCAGGAGTCCTACTAGACAAGACCTCTCTCCACAAAAGCGACCAGCGGAGGAAGGCTCAACGCCCGTGGAGATAAGAGCGCGTGTCGATACTTCACAGGTCCCAGCAAGTACGCCTACAGTGATGCCACCTTCGGGGCTGTTCACCTTTCCAGAGTTCCCGCGACGGCCCTCAGCACCTCATGCTCAGCACAGGAGCCATTCACTAGGTCAAGCGCCAGGTCGTAGTCCTTCCCGCGGCCAGATGATGAATAGGCAGATGGCATCCCATCAACTCACACAGACGAGACAACACTCCGGCCATCTTCCGAGCTCGCGCAGCAATACATCTCCAGTACAAGACTCCTTTGTGCAGAATGCACCAGCGCGTCAAACGTACGACAGTCCACAACTCAATGCACAGCCGTTTGGGATTCTTCCGAGTACTTTGCAGTTCGCGCAACCCACTCCTGTTCTACCTTCACAATGGCATGCGTCCCACCATGATGCCTGGTATACAGTTGACAACTGCGAACAGGAGCTGATATCCCTCAAAGCTAAATACCCAGTCACGCTTCGCAATCGCACGGATGCAATACGCCTGCAGGTTCTGGAAGAAGCAGTGAGGGGTCTTGATTGGGCTTATCTGACTCTGCATCAGTTCTATTGTATAATGTCTTATTCGCCGCAAGATCTCCCTCTGACTTTACAGCGCAATGGCAACCTGTATGTAGCGCATTCGCTCATTCGGGAAGTGCTCGATGACAACATGCAACTGTCGCCGACTGTCCTGGCCTTCTTCTGTACCTTCCCGTTTCCTGTTGAGTATCTTGCCTCGACATGGCCTATGAGATATCAGCATGCAGAACGTGAATTTGTGGGGTTTGTCACTTACTCAGCCAACGTCGGAGCTTTAAGGCAAGCAAGTGAGAGAAGGAGGGTCCCGCCAATCCCACGTGAGTTTGCCAGCTGCGCGATCACGTCATTGACATTTCAACGTCTTCTCTTCAGATCAATCATTCGTGTCCTGTGGGGACGTCACCCTCACATTCCTGAGAAAGGTCATTTCGAAGACCAGGCTCTGAGCGTCTTCAACAGAGCGCAATCAGTATTCGAACAGCAGAGAGCAGCGGGCGAACTGGGAGGTCGCAAACAGGCAGATTCCGAGTTGCGAAGCTGGAAACACGACTTCATTCAAGTCACGAACATGTTCGAGGCGTCGTTACAAAGACGAGGGTATCAGCCATTCAATCCAGCTTCACCTCGCCTGAATCAACAACAGCCACACACCCAGCCAAAAGTACATCCACAGCAACGACCCCGCGCTACACCTGGCCCCGCAGATTTGGCATTGGCTCGTCGTCTCCAGCCGCGTCCCATGGCGTCCCCTCTCCCAGCATCGCAGACGCAGACGCATCTACAGTCGCAATTTCGCCAAGGTTCCACAGCGTTGCTTCCTCGGCCTGGCCTCATACAACCCCAGCAGCGAGTTCCTGCCCCTTTTCGCTTTGGTCTCCACCAAGCTCACCTTCGCAGCCCTGTCCTACTGGTAGCAAACCTGGCTTTGCCATCCTACTACTTCTGGCAAGGTTTCGTCCACAAGCCTCAAAGACTCAAAAGCGCGAATACCGCCGTCGAGAAATTATCCTTTACATTTTCAGCGAGGGAAATGGATGTCATTGCTAGTGCAATGTCCACTGCCCCAGGCGCTGCAGATACCAGACTCATCGACGAGAACCAAAAGATGATTCGCTTGCGGTGTGTCAAGTGGCCAGCTGAAACGTCACCGAGAGATGAGGATTGGGCTGTAGCAGATAACAGTTGGGTACCATATTCGTACTTTTCTCTGAATGATGTCCCGTTGCAATTGCGCAAGAAGCTCTACAATGGGAAAGACCTACCCATCGACCTCACAGGGCTCATCAAAAAGGGCGAGAACATCCTGGAGGTGTCAGTCATGAGCAATTCCACTGATACCACCTTTCGAAATTACCTGATGGCAGTTGAGTACCTTGGAGTTATTACCAAAACGTCGATCAGAGAGCACTGCAGGAACGAGACTCTCGCTGCCAAGGATGTAGTCAGCGATATCATGCGTAAGCTTTCGCACCGGGCTACGGACGACGACGACATTGTTCTGTTGGAGAGCACTATAGCCATTAATTTGCGCGACCCCTTTAGCGCTTCGAGGATATGCGATACGCCCGTTAGAGGCAAAGCATGTCTCCATAACGAGTGTTTCGACCTCGACACCTATCTCGAAACCCGACCAAAAAAGGGCGATGTCACAGCGGCTGACCAATGGCGCTGCCCAATCTGCAAAGCTGACGCGCGACCGACATCACTTGTCATGGACGGCTTCTTGGTTGAAGTACGCAAAGTGCTCGAGCTGAAGGGCCTGTTGGATACAAGAGCCATCATAGTCAGCCAAGATGGATCCTGGAAGCCGAAGCTAGAGGAAAGAGATCCCAACGGTGTTTCGGATCGCGATACCCCCGACCCTACTCCTGCAGCAGCACCGACGGCAGAGAGGTCGAAATCATCTGTTGTCCACGATATCATCGACCTGGACAGCGACTAAGTCGAAGCCCTTTTTTCTTGTACGTTCTCGGGATCTATTGAGTGGCGTCTTGGTAAAAATTGTGGGGCACTCTGGGAAATAACCTACCGTGTATATATATTTTTCCGGTTTGGTACTTTAGGTGGCATGGTTTTGGGACACTGGTCAAGCGGGGGGAGGGTATGCATATCTTGGAGACGATACCCATACTTTGATCAATACATGACTACGGCTGTTCAATTATTTCTATTCGACTCAGCCCGCAAACACGCTCTCTGCCTTCAACTTCTTGCGGAAAAGTAGAAACATGAAAGGGATGATTGCCATCACTCCAGATGCAATTGCCAAGGTGCTTCCTGCCCATCTAACACCTAGGCCTTGATAAAGTGACGATGCAGCAAACGGCAGACCGACCGCTACAAGAGATCGCGTCGTACTGGCAGCAGCTTGTGCAGAAGCGGCGTAGCGTTTGTATGTGTCCGATAGATATAATATCATGGCAAAGAAGACGAGGATATATCCAAAACCGAAGAAGAAGCCGGACAAGATCATGGGTGCGACTGGGGGAATCGATCGATCGGCCGTGAAGCCTAGTAGGAGAAGTGCAATAGGAATGCTTCAACATGGTCAGCCATGACTCGGCAATAGACGTCATCCACTTACCATGGCGCTCCAATGCAAGCCAGTGGCAATCGGCGATATTCGGAGACTTTAGCCCAGCTCTGGCCCTGCTGCTCTGCTCTTTTGTACAACACACCGAAGCAGTGGGCGATGAGGGAGCCGCATGCCACTCCAATCAACACTGTCTTCGTCAGCAACGTGACAATGGTATCTGGTAGCCGAAACATACTTGGGATGTACGAGAGACCAACCAGATCCTCTCTCAGACCGTAGATCCCGCCATACACAATGGGATTGCTTTGGAAGAAGAGATATTGCATAGAATACACCAGAGCCAGATACAAAGCAGTAAGCAGCAGAATCGGCTCGCTCACCATCATAAGCCACGGCCTCTTCAGCGTGATGCCCAAGCTAGACACATGCTTCCTCAGAGTAGCTTTCGGCACGTCTGCCGCGGATTTCTCAGACACTTCTCGCGCGATAACAGTAGCATACGTCTCCGGCAGGCACCAGACGAACGGAAGTCCAACCCCCGCTATCATCAAGCCGACCCAGAACGTCCACCGCCATCCCAGATGCACAGATGTGAATCCCGAGATAAGCGGTCCTACCAAAGGTCCACACGCAGCAACAAACAGAAAAGCGGCGACAGCTTGACCCCTCGCTACTGGGCCTTCGTATACATCAGCCAATAGACCTGCGACAACCGTGTTCGGCACCGCAGCACTCAGACCCGCAAGAAGCCTGAATACGACCAGGGCGGTAAATGATGGCGCGATGGCGCAGCACAGTGTCCAGATAGCATAGGAAGTGAAGCTGCCCGCCAGCAGCGGTCTGCGACCGAAGTGCTCGCTCAGAGGAGCAAAGAACAACGGCGATACTGCGAATCCAACTTGGTAGAGAGAATTCAAGAGGACAAACTTGCTTGTAGAAGGGTCGAGATTGAAGTCCTGCAGTATCGCAGATTTGGCGCCGGAGGGGAGTGAGGAGCCGAGCGTGCTGTTGAATGCTATTATGAGGCCTGTGGTGAGGACTAGCTGTTTCCGGCGCTGGGAGATTAGACCCTGTCGTACGAACATCATGACTATAGCCCACTTACCTTTGAGAATGCAAAGCCGTATTGCGGCACATTGGAGTGGCTGGGTGTCAGCGCCGCACCCAGCATGTTGGGGTGACTTCTGCAAGTGTGGCACGCGAATGCTGTGGAACACTGAGCCGGTATTCTTGAAGGCGAGTTCATCGGTTGCGAAGTCGGCGCACCAACGCTAGTCACGCCCTGCAGCCACGCCCTGCAGATCTGGAGCTTTACCTAATGGAGAGATATCAAGCATTCGAGTGATGTGCACGCTCACGCCTTCCGCCTTGGACAGTACGCCTTGTAGATTTGGAAGGTGCGCAAGATAACGTTAGATGAAGGTTTGGTCTTGCGTGACTGACGTATCAATATCATTAGATAGTATGCCGTTGAACGTGTCTTTATGGTCGCGAAAATGTAGTTCATCTCTCCCACGAGACGGAAACGTCAATAAGACAAAATTCAATGGAGGCTCAGCTGCGCAGCTTGGCTGAGCCAGTCTTCTTGTTGCTTCCAGCTCTTTAGCCACTCTCGATTGTCAGCCAGTGTCTGGTTCCAGCCGTCTTCGTCGCCGAAAGCAACTCGTCTTGCTTCCCTTTGGAACATCTCATCTGTCGGCATTATGCCCTTCATGATGTTGTTGCGCGCAAACTGACTGAGATGCTGAGCCAAGACATCCGCGAACATATAAGGAGTATCGTCTTCCACCAACTTTGGGAGCACCATGTTGTTTGACCCAGAAGCGCCGTTCTGGTTCGGTTCTTGTGGCGAAAGCAAGCCTTCCTGATCGAGCAAGGAGAGCATCTGATTGAAGTGATCTCTCGACGCAGGATCGGTTGCAGAGAATGGCACAAGACTTCTGGAGTCATCTGCAAGTAAATACGGTGGCAGAGCGCAAGCAACGCGAGCCGAAGTGGCGGCATCAAATCCATGATCGCCAGTCCAGTCGGCCATTGTCTTTCCCTGACGATAGTGTGCAGCCAGATGGTTGACACGTTCGTCCCAGCTGCCCAACTTTGTATCGCAAAAGCCACACCGTGAGCTTATGGGTGGCAGATTTGCTTTCCAGTCGTCGACAAGCGGAAGCGTTTCGATTCCATGGAACAGTCGAAGATGTTGTACGAGGTGATCCTTCCGCCGAAAAGATCGTGGCGTACCCTGCTCGGTATGACAAGCACTGTGGTTGTGCTGTTCGAGATGTTCGGTGGTTGGGTCTAGTGCACTACAATAGGCGCAATGTGCTCTTCCGGTCGACAGAACAACGGCGCCACCATGGGGTGCACACTGCCACTCTGTCGTGCTAAGATGTAGTGACTGCTCATGTCGTGCCCAGTCATATTTGTGTTTGAAGGTATCGCAGCAGAAAGTGCACTTAAAGATACGGTCTTCCGGGTTGGTCTCTTTTCGAATAGCCTTCGGCTTCCTCGTCTTCTTGGTAACACGAGATCGTTTTGATGTCCCAGATGCTGCTGAGCGGCTTGAGTCAGCAGAGTGCCGCGAAGACACACTGCTGGCCACACTGGTCAAAGAAGGAGGCGTTCGGTAAGTGCGGAAGGCGTCAAAGTTGGGCGTCCAGGGGCTGTTTGGCGTTCCATTTGCCATAGGATGCTCCAACGCGGAACAGATAGCCGACAAAGAAGCTGCTTCGTTCTGCGGTGGTGAATCCTGCCATCTTTGCATTGCAAGTGATTGTGGTTCGCTGTGCGTTCTCTCGGGCGTCATGATTGGTATGGGGCTCGATTTCCCTGCGCTGCGTTTGAAGTATGTGCTTCGTTTCCGTGGAAGCGACCTCCGCTGCTGTACAGATTCCGAATTGCGCTCATGCTGGACCTGCTGCAGCAGTACGGACAGGGGCGCTGCCATATCCGGGACAACATCATGTGGCACAGTTGTGTAACCATTGCCAGTATTCAGGGTACCAAGGTTTGTGAAATCGTACTCGAAAGGGCTGATTGTTGCGTTGCTGCCATCGGCTGCAGAATCCGGTGCGAAATGAGGAAAATTGTCTAGCCAATCTTCAGTTGCGGGGTCGGCAATGAAGTCAGAAAGCCAAGGCATGTCGTCCACCGCAACCGATTGAGCAGGCGCATGTTGATCAAAGTATCCTCCTTCCATCATGTGCTGCTTGTAATCCCAATGTCAAGTTGCGGGGGAGCCCTCTTGCTTATCATCGACGCCGGCACCGGCGTTCGCTGAGTCTTATGCACAGGCACGCCGAATCAAGTTAGGCAGCGAAAGAGAAGGGTCACTCTAGCGCGTTTGCTTCACGCGTCACACGAGCCAGCTCGCGTCTCGAACTAGCAACACACGTCTGCAAGATAACTTTGACCTTCAAGATACGCGCTTACAGTGTCCTATGAATCATCAATGTGCGCCCTTGAACCCGCAGCCTCGTGCTAGCCTGTGTAATGGTACCCCGTAACGATGCCCGACGCCAATAAGACGCGAGATCCAACATGCATCTCAAGTAACACTGTCTTCTGCCAATTGATGCAGGTTCTCAATCAGTTGCCTGCTTTGGCCTTGCATCAAGGTGAACAATCTTTCGTAGAGTCAGCGTGACCAACATACGACCTCCAGGTTTGTGCTTCTCTTTTTCGAACAGTCTGCATGTCTTCTACAGAGTGCAGGCGCTCACATCAGTATCACTCCTTCGCCCTGCTTTTACGGCCAATCGGAGACGCGAAGGCCAGGATTGACTGTAGAGGACCATTCAAAGTACATGGCGTCGACGCTCGGGTCGCCTTTTACTGCATAAAAGACTCGAACTCCCCTCAAAGTCTTTCGGCTCAGTCAGGACAGACGAGCTTGAAAAGACCACCCTCAAGCTGAATGAGGCATTGATAGCTTTTGCTCCCGTCCAAATCACCGCTGACGAATACCACAAGGACCGCTGCGTACGCAGCTGTTGCGGCGAAGACCTCCGCTCTTTTGGCGTTGGTGCACAAGGCGATGCTTGCGGCAAAGAGAAGGGTGAACATGGATACGAGGCCAAGCTTTGCTCCCGGACTCGAGACAATGTACAGCGTAACAATCGCGCCGATAAGGAGGACCGCGGCGAGGATCAGGTCCAAAGTAGCCACGGTCCGAGCGATATGGGAATTTCTGTACAGGGCTGTTTGGTCAAGCGAATTGGAGACGTTGCGCTTCTTGAAAATCCAGTTCTCGCGCAATAAACGCGAGAGATGGTCGGTTTCCACCGGCTTCTGCAGTGTGACAAGATCCAACTTGGAGTCCAGAAACTCGCTCGCGCGACCCGAGATGAGGTCAAGAGGTTTCTCCGCCGTTGCGCCCAGCGCCGCTCCTTTCAGAAAGTCTTTGTACACCTCAAGCACACGATTCCAGCTTATCAAGCTGCGCAACCTGCGATCGCAGAGACAGAAGTTCGTCTCCGGTAAGTCAGCTCCAGTATCGATCGTGAAGCTATCAAGCAAGGCACTGGACTTAGGGTACTCTTTCAAAAACCCGTAGCTTTCCCCAATCGTTCGCAACAGCTCTTTCTCAACGGTCTTGTCTATTCTGGCGTCTTCAGATAAAGTCTCCCAACGTTGGAGTGCTTCCTGAACGTCCATCGACTGCGCATTTCGCGCTTCCTCGTCCAACGCATCTGGCTGCGCCTCAATGTCCACCAATCGGGCCTGCAAATGCAGCAGACCACGCGCGCTCAGCCTGGCGAACTTTCGAAACACCAACGGGTCGTCATCCGGGTCTTGAGCAATCCACCTGGCGAGAGCTGGATATTCGTCTCTCTCCTTTCCCAGTTCAACGTCCGTCATCTTGTTAAATTCGGCCGTTGATGATACTGTAGAGTGGAAATTTGAAACGAATAAAATCAAGCACTTCACGCTCGCTCCTACAGCCCATCAAGACCGCCATGGCCAGCGCCCCAGACGTATACACCGTAGTATCGATCATATCTGCGTAACTAGACAGCTCTGGAGCCCTTGATCGCTACCCTGACGTCTCTTAGAAGCCGCGCAGCCTCCTCTTGCTCCTCAGCAACCTTCAATGGAAAGTACTTGGCCCTAATGGCACTGAACCGGAACGTTGTCTCAGCAGTGGCTATCAGTCCGAGGCCAGCGTAGACGGTGTAGCGCACAGCTGGCCGCGCTTCTCTGATCTGGTCCCATAGGTTCAGAGACGATGCGCTCTCCCGAGGTGTGTGGGCTTTTTGGGAGACACTTATCCTGAATAGTGGAGCGTACCCAGTGCTCGAGGCTGTGAGGCTGTGCAGTTGGCGAGTTGGAAAAGGCGAGGCTCGTTGCGCTGATACCAGTCTCTGAGCTGTTTAGGGGGCATGATATTTCGAGAGATCGAGAGGACCAAGCAGTGGATAGACGAAGTAACGACTCTATAGAAAGTTCTCATCAAGCAGAACTCACCTCTTTCTTCTATACTTACACATCTCGCAGTTCGTTGCCGAGTTCTCAGTGATGTTGTTGTTGCAGCCAGCAGCCAAGCCTCATCGTCCTTTTCCGGGTGAGAATCGCGAAATCAGACGCAATTTCCCACTAGCCCCGACAACGGGCGAGGGGTGCTCATGTGCGCCGGTGACGTCTGCTCTGCAACGAGACGAAGCTGGACAACCAAATGGTGTGGGCGCGGCGGCCGCTCGTGGCCAGTGGTCACAATGTCACATGGAGACTGCCGATAACAGAGACGACAAGTCTCGGCGCTTGTCAGCCATTCGCATTCTCCTTGTTTTCGGATCGATGCGCGGGGAGGGAGCAGACAGGGATACCGCGGCATGGCTGATGTCCACATGGTTTGTTGATGGCCCACCCTTTGCATGCATCACTCAGGAACGCAAAGCAAACTTCACGCGCGTTGGGGCAGCGGGCGCTCAACACTCAACACACCTACCACCTGTTTTGTGCGCTGCCTTTGAATCTATAGCTGTGCACTCGAGTACTATGCCCACCACCGCCTACCTCACCGCATCGCATCCAACATCTACTATAAGCACCCAAACCTGGCTACTACTGCCCAGTTAGCCCCGCGTAACACAACAGCACGCATGTCAACCGGCAGCGCGGGCTACATTCCTGGGCCGCGCTGTTGCTGTGGTAGCAGCGACTGTGCCTTCCTCGCCCATAACGGCCGTCTGCTTGAGGGTCTCGAACGAGATGTCTCCAAGGCTGCACAGCTCGGTCAAGTATGTCCACTCTCACATGCTCGCCGCCCTGCTGTCCTCGCCTGGCTGCTGCTCCGCTGAGCGGCTACCCTCACCTTCGCGCCATGCCGCTGACCTTTGCCCTGCAGGCCCTGCTCGTCCGCCATGAAGCCTACGTCGCCGACTCGGAGCGCGAGCGCCGGCAGATGATGGCCAACATCGAGCGCCTGGAGAGCGAGAAACTGGAGCTCGAGGCCAAGAATGCGCAGACGATCAAAGAGAATCGCAATCTCCTGGACCAGCTCGAGCAGCTGAACGAGTCAATATGCGGCTCGGACGCCCAGATCCAGGCCTTACAGGACACGCTGCGCTCGACCGAGGAGGAACTGCAACGGTTGGCTTCTCTAGCAGCACGCACACAACTGCTGGAGGCCCAACTATTCGATCTGGAGCGAGAGCAGTCGCGACTACAGCACAATTTCGACACCAAGACAATTGAGGAGCGCACGGCCATACAACGCTGGCAAAAGGCCGAACGAACGCTTGGCGACCTGCAGGACCAAATCGACCGCATCGAACGGGAGGCTCGCGACGAAAGGGAACGTCATGTCGAGGTTGTTACACGTATGGAGAGGAGGATGGCAGTCGAGGGCGAGCTGAGCTCAGCGGCAGCACGTCTCAAAGCAAAAGCTGGCCAGGAGAAGGGTGGCAGTACTGTCGTCTCTCACTTCGTCAAGGACATACTACTGGATAACGCAAACCTGCAACATGGCATTCTGGAACTACGCGAAATGCTAGTCAATTCTAACGAAGAAGTTGAACGATTACGGGATCAGCTGAGGATACACCAGCCTATCTCGACGTCACCAGTTCAAGAAGTTCCTGGATCGACACTTGACAAGGAGGTTGACCTGGAGAATGAGATTGTCGAGCCAGTTGGAGGCCAGGAGCTGCACATACACCACCACTACCATGGATCGAAGTCGAGCAAGAATCTACCCAAGGTCACAGCGCAAAGACGACACAGCAAGAAGAAGCGCTTCAGCCTCACATCTGGCCACTTCGACCCTGCACCATCTCTCAAACGAAACTCAACCGCCACCATTCTGTCCCAGACTTCTGTGACTGTGCCCAACTCCCACCGCTGGTCACAGGCAACAACACTTGGTCCTGGTTCTCTACCAAGCTCACCGGTCTCTGATTCGCATCGTGGCTCTATGTACGACCGTGTGTTCAGTGACGCAGCCTACGACTCCTCCAGACCTACCAGTCCTCCTGACTCGATTGACATACGCTCTCCCATGTTTGGACCTGCGAAGTCCAATGACTTCTCTTTCGACCCAGATGCTGAGCCTCGTCATCACCGAAGGAGCAGATCTCGAAGTCTGAAGCCACCTGCGATGCTGTCCACATTTCGCAGCGCTAGTAGCCCAATCGCCATGACCACTAAAAGTGCTGCTCATGCTGTGATTTCTGCCGCCAGCAGCCCAGCCAACTCATATATCAACGACACCTTCGCCCTTTCTACGAGTCCCTCGATGCACCTTGAACCTCAGGCCGCGATACCCGAAGAGAACGAGGACTCTTCTATCTTCTCATCTGAAAACGCCCTGGTCACTTCACCAGACGAACCTGAAACTGACAATGACCTACAATCACCTATCGCGCGTACACGACCTGCGCTACGTCGTCACGCATCTCACGAATCGCTCATTTCAATTTCTGGTATGGACATACATACATTACAGTCTCGGCCTGCACAACTCCTAATGTCGAATCGATCACGCTTCTCAACACCTAAAGGCGCCGGCTCAGTCGATCCTGAACTCACTCCCTGGACAGCCACCGCGCACGGCAGCCTTTCGCAAGGTAGGGCAGACAGCAACGACAGTCGCTCCTTCCTGTATTCTACAATCGCAAATCAGAAGCGGGGCTCAAGGACGAGCGATGCGCCGCCTGCAGGCAAGAGCTCCGGTGGCTGGTTTTTTGGCAAGTGGGGGGCAACTCCAACATCGACCTTGACAACACCTGCCGCATCACCGTCTCTACGACCTACCTCCTCTGAGTCGCGCCAGACACAATCCTCGACAGACACCGCGAAAGCAACCACGCTCGAAGCCACAGCTGCCAAGAGACCTGCGAAGCCAAAGCTGAGGCCAAGTGGTGTCAACCAAAACGGTCCTATCTGGGGCTTCTTCGACAGCATACCCGAGACACCGACCAAAGTGGTCGTTGTGGACTATGATGCTGAGGCTTTGGGTGAGGCGCTGAATGACCGTAGCCCACCTCGCGCAGTGGCTGAAGTCTAGGCAAGGTCGGCGAGCCTGTGCATGACCTTCGTTTCTCTTTCCTTGTAATTATCAGCGATTACTACATCCTACTATCTTTTAATCATTTCCTATTGTTACTGCATAGAGCGTCATATCATTTTTGGATAGAAGAATGAGTGTATGGCAGCAGAAAGGGTCCTGTGACGTGAGAGGACGTTGAATATACCCCCAAGACCGTACGGTAATCTCATATGTATTGAGAGAGCAGGATAGCAGTATCATAATGACAAGTATATATCTCATCCACTACGCCACTGTCCCCCACCACTCGAGGCATAATTTGCTCACCTCACGGTGCCATTCTGGTTTCAATAGAGGAGCCGGCTTTTGTTGCCAGAGATGCTGAAGGATCCTATGTCAGCTACGTTTGACACCGCAACCAAGAGATTCATGAGCACACCACCCTGTAGGCGTGAACACGCGTTTAGACATGCTGATTGGACGAATAGTAATGGTGCAGTGTATGAGTACGATACGCCTCTCAGGCCAACGCAGCGCCACGCATCGCTAGCTTTATATTGACGGAAGACGGTGGAGTGCGGCGCAGTCGGACCAATGGAAACGATGTTAACAGCGGAGATGGGATTGAGGGATATTCGGTAAGCTCCAGGGTGCACTGCAGGGCTGTGTATGTGCATGTGTCCAGAAAGGTGCCATACCGTGTCCATGGGCCGTTACTTCACTGAGGTAAGTATACAGCCTGCTCAAACGATCGAGTGCGGAGAAGGCCAGTGGCGACAGACGACCACGGTCTGGCATGGGACGGTGAGGCAGTGCGCACAGCCTCCTCTCCACACGCCAGCTGTGACTGAAGGCTGTGAGAGGCTCTAAGATATCAGCCTGAGGCTAGAAAGCGGTACGCCTGATGATTGGAGCACGAGAAATGACCAGGGTGACATGCATAGACGAGGCTGGATCCTAGCCGAGCATATGTATACAAGATTTCGTAAGACAAGTCACAGTAAATTGAACAGCATGTGTGACCCGTTAATCTCAAGCAGTCGATTCGGGCTTTGTGCATATATCATTGGCCAGGTGCATGCACTGGTGCAGTCGCATTGCCCTGTGATGCCCCATGCGGATGTGCCTGAGGTTTTTGGTAGGGCACACCTGCCGCAGTTCATGGAGCATTGTTGATAATCCTGGCGACGTCGCAGGAAGTGCGCTCCTTGTTGACTTACTCTCTCCTCTGCAAGACCTTCTTCTCCTTTTTGTCCTCGATCAGCCATGGATCACGATGATAATAACGCCAGCTATAACCCATGCATGGGGTTTGGCCAACCTAGCATGAATGATGCAACCGAAACAAGCCCGTCAAACTTCTCGTTAAGCACTTCTTCGAGTCAGAACTACACTGCGCCTACAATATCCAGCTATGACTGTAAGAGCGACCAGCGCAGTCTCACCTCACCTGCAGCTCAAACATGTGCACAGGGATTACGCCTCAAGCGACCGCATCCCACTACAGTATGATGCAATCGAACTACAACATCACAGTAATGACAACTGCCGATTTTGCACCACACTGGCCAATGCTAGCAGAGAGTTACTATCCCAACCCGAACAGCTTTCCACCGCAAATATCCAGCTATGAAACGCCTCCTGTCAGGTACGTATAAATTGCAGCTTATTTCGATGTTTCCATTTTTTGTGCAGACTTCATCTGCATCACGACTTGCTCAACGATCACGGCAACATGGCCGACCTTAGCAATTGCTAAGCAGACACAACCGTGTGGAAGGGACCCAAGGATAGCCGGAAAAGCCACCAGCTCAGGACATTGCCTCAGGAAACCCATCTGCCTATTCACTTCTCGGAGAGCCAGCGAGCTATACCTGCATGGGTATACTTCGTGACCGGTCACCCCCGGAATACAGAAGGCCAGAACACCGTCACAGGCAGTCCGGCTTTCGAAGCCCGATATGCTGCTAAAACGATTGCAGGCTATAAACAATCGACAGTCTTTCGAAAATCAAGCACTGTCGCTGCTGAAGGTCATCGCAATCACAAAATGCGATTGCGTCGTAGCATCGAAACGCATCGCCCAGCGCCAGTCAGAGAACTATCATCATTAGAAAACATGCTACAAGTTAAGCTGAGGATCTTGATGTTTTCCGAAGTTGCTGCTAAACTCAAACTCTAGTATCAGAAAGACATTCAAACGCTTTGTTACGGGTCGCCTTACTCTTCTCGCTCATCGCGGATGCCTTCCATGCAACGTCCGATCTCGCATGCAACTACTGCATCGAGACAGCTCACACTGTCCAATCCTCTTCGTCAATGGATCTCGCTGAGAGGCATGCCTCGTCTTATCGTCACATGCTGATTGCCCATGCTTTGTGTGCTAATAGCGACACGCAGATCTCACCCACAGCCTTATTTATGGCAGCCTCTAGCAGATAAGGTTACCCCGGCTGCACATCAGTCTTTCCCAGATCACGTTACGAAACCGCAGCGCTCATCTCGACAAGCAGCTAAGCCAATTCTAGGCAGCTCAATTCTAACCAAGTCCAGCTCGGATATGCTCGAGTCAAACAGACAACAAGATTGCTCGCCCATGGTTGGCCATGTGTTCGCAGACGGAACTTACCAGTGCTCTAGTCCCGGCTGCGAACACATCACGCTGGGCCGCTTTCCTGACCTCGAACGCCACCACAATTCTGTGCACGAAGGGTTCACAGGGGCGAGAAAGCAGTTCTGGTGTCCGGTAGATGACTGCAAGAGAAGCAAGAGGGGAGGTAGACCATTTCCTAGGAAAGATAAAATGCACGATCATGTGGACAGGGTCCATGGCGATCGAATATTGGGTGATACTTGAAGCAGTGAGTGCAGGTTAGTCGTTTTGGGTCACAAATGTTTTGTTCACAATGGATAGGGACATCTTATAATTCACGACCATTTCCAGCGTTCTCATTTCCTTCGGCGGCTCTTTTTGGGTGTACTCGTCATGTTTCACCAAACCGTACATTTCTCAATCTCTTCTCGTCGCAGCAACGTGTTTTTGACGTTGCATGATACCCAGCCCCTACCTCGGCGCACACCACGCTGGGTGACATTACAATGCGTAACTAATAGCCTATACCCTAAATAAGAATGCAGAATGACCATAGGGTATTACCTCAAAATGCCCAGAGCCATACCAATCCTTGATTTCCTTTTCCGGACCCAGTCATCTCAAATGCGCATAAGCAAGAACAACTCGCAGCCACCTCTAACTGCCTGCATATCAGACGCCAGAACACCGTGCATGTCGCATGAAGCCTAACCAAAAAGCCTCTTTCTTGCATATGGAAGCCATGCCCGCCACTCTACTTCCTCGTAGACTTGCTAGACACCGTGAAGCCGACCCCGCTGTCGTTGACCTGCAGCGTCTTCTTCTGCAGCACCTCTCTCTCACTCTTCTCGCAGTATCTCGCATTCAGCTCCTCGATCTTCGGCACCAGCTCGCCAATCCTGAACGGCTTAGAGACGACATCATCCATACCCGCCGCCAGCAGCGTCGCAATCTGCTCACTCCTTGCATTCGCCGTGACTGCGATGATCGGCACATGTCGCCTCAACTCGCCTTTGCGCTCCATCTCCCGGACCTTGGATGTGCAGGCCAGCCCGTCCATGACGGGCATCTCTTTGTCCATTAGCACGACGCCCAGGTCGGGCGCGTTGGGGCCGGAGGATGAGTGGTAGGAGGAACTGGACAGGAGGGCGATGGCTTCGCCGCCGTGGTTGGCAACGGTGGTTGTTATGCCACGATTTGTAAGCTGGCGTTGGAGGACTTTTTGGTTGACTGGAGTGTGTTAGTAATACGGCCGTGGCGATCAGTATGCAGAGGATGCGGCGTACCGAGATTGTCTTCGACGATCAGCACGCGAAGGTGCGCGTACGGTCGTTTTGGCTTGTCAAGCTCCTTTAGCGGTGCTGGTGCTGTCGCTTGAGTAGCGAAGTCCTTGATCTTCGGTGCCCCAGGGCGGCCCTTCTCTGGCGCGTTCGACACTTTCCTAGACAACGTTACTGCGGCAGGGACGCTGTCGATGACTTCCTTGGGCTCTGAGCTTCTGCGGCCTTTAACGTAAAATGCAAATGTGCTGCCCTTGCCAGCCTGGGACGACACTCCAATTTCGCCACCTTGTAGTTCTGTCAGCTCACGAGAGATGAAAAGACCAAGACCTGATCCACCATACTGCACGTGTGTGCGTGGACTGGCCTGGGAGAAGCGCTGGAAGAGGAGCTTGAGCTCTCCGGCACTAAGACCTCGCCCTGTGTCTTGGACAAGGAATTCGAGGAAGATCTCTTCACCGTCGCCCCAGTCTGGACCAAGGGTCTGATCAATGCGCTTCGACTTCATGGGGAAGTAGCTGACGGCGGGTGACTTGCTTGCCGATGGGCGACTGGTAGAAGCGGCGAGAACGACGGTGATCGTACGCGTCTCCTCGGTCGATGTGAACTTGATGGCGTTGGTGGTCAGATTGATCAGAACTTGAAGCACACGAGACGGATCGATCTTAACCCAGTCAATGTTCAACTTCTTGAAAGACTCGCTCAGAACGAACTCCATCTGGATTCCGGCCGTCTGCACTTCACCCTCGAACATCTTGAGAGCACGCTGGATGACCTGTAGAGGCTGTGCATCCACCGGAGTCACCATCAGCATCGCGCTGTCGAGTTTTGACAGTGTCAGGACATCATCGACAATTCGCTTCTGATGCTGCGCGCATAAAGCAATTGTCTGTGCCGCATCAATCGAGTCGGCCACTATCCCAGGTTCGATGTTTTGTAGACCGGATTGCCTGAAATCGCCGAGAATTGTTGAAATCTCATCAGCGCATTGCAGAATGGCGCTTAGCGGGTTTCGCATCTCGTGACTCGTGATATCGATGAAGTTCTCTTGCTGCCTCTTGAGCTCGACAGCTTCCTCCATCTTTCGTTTCTGGAAGCCTTCGGCCCACTTCTGAGGGCTGATGTTTGTGATGCTTCCAAAGACACTCTTCAGCTGCCCGCTTTCATCTTTCTCTGGGAAGGCACTGAAAAGTACCCAGGTATCACTGGTCGCATTGTTGTTGCGGTCTTCCCATGGTGCCTTGAACCTGAATTCGACGTTGATCGGTGCGGTGTTCTCAACAAGGCGCTTCCAGTGCTCCTGGATTAGGCTCTGATCCTCCTCTTTCACGTAATCTATCCATCTATCCGTCTTGTTCCGTTCTTTTGGGACACGGGAAATTTCGAACCATGTGTCGTTGCAGTAAGTAATCCGTCCTGCGTGATCGGCGATGAAAAGGCCTGCAGGTGAGTACTCCGCCATTCTCGTAAATCTGAGCTCATTCTCTCGAGCTTCTTGTGTGCGTGCTGCCAGCTGTGTGGACAGGTTGTACCGATCCTCTGCTGCCAGCTTCGCAGCTTTCTGGCCTCTTCTGATTTCCTCCTCGAACAAGACTACTGAAGCCAGGGAAGTCGCGAGTTGTCGACTGAGGAGTTGAACAAACAGATTGTAGTCGTCATCGTATGGCCTGCGTGGATTGACACCCATGACCAGGAATCCCAGGATCGTTTCGCCCGTGGTGGGGTGGATAGGGCAGACCACGACATCTCGGCAGGCATCGCCGAAACCGCGCCACTCGAGACCGTCCATCATCGATGAAGGTAGGTCGCCTGACCCAATGCTGATGACGGCAGGCTTGTCGGTCTTCATAACTTCGCGGAAGACGGGACCAAAACCTTCGTGGCCTTCCTTCAAATCGATTTGGTCAGGAGCAGCTTGATGTCCACCTGGTACACCGAGAGATCCTTCCAGGAAACAGTGCTTGGCGGCCAGTAGACTGCTCGAGTGCAGAGATGAAGAGTCGCTGTCGCTTTCGTCGGACACCGAGTAGAGCATCACGAAAGGTGTGTCAAACTCGTTCTCAGTCAACGCAATTAGGACTTGATCCCAGAAGCCTTTGACGTCTCTCGCTGTTGCTGTCCGTTCGCCAACCTCTCGAAGAGTGAGCATTCGCCGTTCTGCAATCTTTCTCCTAGTTTTCTCGAAAGCTGGATTGTACAATCCCATTACGGTTCCATCTTCTCCAACCATAGGGATGATGGACCACGAAAAGTATGTCTCCTCCAAAAAGCCACTACGCTTCATGAATAAGCAATCGTCGTCCTTCATCGTGGCCTGACCAGTAAGGCGAGCGTTCTGGAAGACGTCCTTAACTTCGTCCCAGATCTCTGCCCAAGCGACTTTGTAGCTCTGTCCCATCAGGGTAGGGTGTTTCTGGCCAGCCAGTCCTGCAACGAGTCAGTTCAACAGCATCGTGCCCTTCAATGCCAGTACTTGCCAATATATGCCTCGTTGTAGATAGCGACGAGCTCCTCTCCCCAGTACATGGCAGCTGGGTGAGGACTCGCCCTGAAGCCTAGTCAGCGATCCGCAACAGACCTTACTATTCTTTCTCTAGAGACTTACATGATCAGATTGCACATAGCCCTAAGATCATTCGACCAGAACTCAATGGGACCTAGTGCTGTCGACGCCCAGTCTATCGAGCGTGCGAATTGGATGTGTCTCGGTAGAGAAGGCGACAATGCTAGCCTAGTCCAGTCGAAGAAGCCCATATCGTGGTCCTGGGATGCTTTTGGTTCTCTATGGAAGGAGTCAACGTCGCCTGCACTGTGAGCCCTGAGAACGCACTCATTCGTAAAGGACGAGTCCTCTATTGAGGATAAAGTAAGGTGTTTGGGATGTGATCTTGGCCCACTATCATTGCTAGAAGCATTGGTCATTGTGTTGTTCATGTGATTATGTGTCATAATGCTCAGCGAGTTCGGTTCTTTGTTCTCCTGTGTTACCGGTGGGCCAAAGTAGTCGTGTCGCTCACTGACTTGATTTGGCGATGCTGCAGTATCCAAGCTCCGCCCTGAAAGGTGGCCCACTGAAGATGCTGAGGGAATGGCAAACTCGACTGACGCACTCGTAGACGGTATTTCGGCTGTGGTAATGGATGGTGTTGCTCCAGAAACTATTCGTAAACGTCTTCTTAGTGTATAGCAAGACCATACGATACCGCCGTGCTCGACCGGTGTAGGATTTGCGTCCCACTCGTCTCCCTGTGATGCAGTGCTCAACAGCCATCCACGAAATTGATTGCTAGCGTGTGATGAGGCTTCGTCTGCAGGCCGCCCCGGCGGCTTCCCAGTAACAGTTTCCCATAACGATGCGTTCGCGCGTAAGGCATTGTTGGCAAATAGTATCTGTAACGCAGGTCTGTCGGGCGCGTAGTTGGCGTAGTCGCCAATGTCGACGATGAAAGTAGGTCTTGTGTCGTATTCCAGCAGTTCAACCACACCGACCGACCCTAGGAGCTTGAGAGGGTCGTTACGGTCGCGCACATCAGGCGAGGATATGCGTGGCATGCCAGACGGCTCGGAACTCCTCCCGCTGGTCACACCTGTCGTAGCAGGTGGGCTCAGACCACTGAAGGTGCCCCGAGCCAATGTCACTGTCTTTATGCCGCCATCCTCGCCCTGTGTCTTGCTCAGCATCCTCGCAGCAGCCTCTGAGCTGGAAAACCGCGCAGGCAAGAGCGGGCGTGCGCGCCTGGAGGAAAAGAACAGCGGAGACGGTGGCTGTCCGTCAAAGCGCAGTGGTCGACTACTGGCGCAGTTGAAGAGGTCGAGCGAGTGACGTGCGCGAGCGTGGAGTCGACGTCGCTTGTGCAGACGCTCGGTCGTAGGCGCGTCGTCACGTGTGCGTGGCGCTGGTCGCTTGATACCGAAGACGGCGGGCGGCGTTGTTACGTGCTGCGGGGCCTTGAATGCCTCACCACCAGACAAGGGCGCAGAGGAGGGCTGCGGGGCGGTGGTGAAGATGTCGAGCGGGTTCTTCAGCGACCACGGGCGTTCAGGTGGCGGGAAAAGTGCACTGGAGGGCTGCTCGACGAGCGGGGGAGGGCGCGGGCCCTCTGGCGGTGGGTTCAAGGCCTCGTGATATTCGGGCGTGCTGAGGCGGCGGTCGTCAGGACTCCTCGATGAAGGTGTTGCTCCGGTGAATATTGACTTCGGCTGCTTAGACATAGAAAGGCCGTCTGCCACTGTCGCTATCTGGGCAAGAGCCAGCCAGCAGCCGCGACTCTGTCAGTCCGCGGGCATGTTATTAGTAGGGCCGAAGAGCGCAGACGTCGCCAGCTCGAGGTTCAAGTGTCTCAAGCCTCTACGCTAGGCTAATCAGAGCCCAGCATGGAATCGACGATGACGATCACGGCTGGCTGTGGGATTTTCCGCGGCAGCAATCAGCACACAGAGCATGAGGGATGAGGATGGTTGGGGACTTCAGCTCACGTTAGCGCCTCGCGCAGGTACCATCAGCCGTCTGTTTCCAGCTCATCCCTTGGGGGCGGCTTTGATGCGGTTAGAAGCCGGAGATCTTGCGTCAGCCAGTCTGGGTCTGCATACGGACGGTGTCGGCGATCCGAACAAGGGCCCCGGAAACGCTTGGAGGTTCCTGTGACTCTCCGCAGGGCTGGCTCCATCGCGCGCTTGCTTGACATTCTCCCTTCTTGCGGGCCCGGAGCCGCGCGTGAGGAGATCTGATCTTGCTGCTCTGCGTGAAGCGCAAACGCCAAACTTCCGAAAAGGACCGACGTGGAGCCTCGTGCTCGTGGCAGTCTGCTTTTTGACGTCACGCATGCCAATTTGAGATCCACACCGATTCCAGACCCTCGGCAGCCACCGTGGACAGCCGATCGGAATTGCGACTCACGACTGTTTGCAGCACCAGAACCCAGGCATTCATCTCTGTCCAAACTTCAGTAGCATTCATACGGATCGCTCGTACCACTAACACTGTTTTAGCCACGTTTGTACCTTTTTTGCTTTTTTTCGAGATCCATCTTGCCGTCAAGTCACGTGCCTGCTGATCATGTGCTCGTCGGTGCTTTTGATCCCGATCTCCGTCCTCCACCCTCGTCCTGGGCCGCTTGAGTGCCATTGATGTCCCTGGCTGTTTGCATGCACCGCCTCGCTACGATGAACAGCATCCTCATCGCTGATCATCGTTTCGAACACGTTGGCGCAAAGACACTTTGTCATTACGTGGTCTACCTTCGTCCTGTCACCTGAAAGTCACGCTCAATCTGTATATTCTGCACCTGCATCAACACTCGTGTAGCAGCGCTCATACATGTTGCATCCTCATCATATTTCACATGCTATGGAACAGAAAAAGTACGAATACTCGTGTCATACCAATGGTTGTCATTTTCGCGCGCGCGACTCACGATGCAGCGGAATCTCGCAAATGCACGACTGTCGAGCTCGGCTGCACTTGCAAACTGCGCCATTTATTGTGGCTACGTCTAAGCCACCCATTTCAATGATTACAGGACGGCTGACTCCCGTCGCTGTACTTGCACGCAAGAATGCGGACACCCAATCCTTGCCTGATGTGGCATCCATCAGTCCACTCTTATCCACATAATGTCGGAGCCTTGAACAGTTGTCCGCTGCTGACGGGCCAAACCGCGTATGAAGCTGAGCTAAGAGTTACATACTGAAGAATCGTTACTGAACCCGCATATTGGAGGAGACCAATTGTTCTACACGCCAAGCATTGCTAATCCACTCCTCATGTCCCATGAAGCTCATACTAACCGCCAGAAGCATCAGATCCTTGGGAATCCCCACTTTAATTGACATACTCGCCATTCAGAAGGCGTGTACTCAGCTATCCCGGTGCCCCTCCATTCATCGACAAGGCGTTTGTACAACTTGGGCAACTTCTCTAGTGGTTGTTGCTTTGCCCTGCATGCCACCGAGGGGTTTTTGAGGGCCCGCTCCGGTGGACTGTGCTCGATACTGCGGGCGGCGGTCACTGTTTGTTTAAATAGTCACCCCGCGTGAGCTTTCGCACTGTCATTCTCTTCCCCTCTTTCTTACCTTCTCCTCGCCTAGTTCACAGAGTAATTGCTTTGCAAGTGCTCAACATCACATCGCCAGCATGGACTTTCTCAAGAAGAAGATGAAGGAGCTGCTCGACGACGACGACAAGCCCAAGGACAAGCCCACCGGTGAGCTCCCGCATACAAAGCAACCATTCAACCATCTCTGACTGGCGAACAGACTCCTCCACTCCAAGCTCGCAGCCTTCCCACGGTGACTCCCATGGCGCACCTGGAGGTGCTGCTCCCGGTGACCGCAGTTTGTCCGATAGCTACTACAGCGGTGGCCAGGGTGGCCCACCTCCTCAGCAGCAACAGTATGGCCAGCCTCAACAGCAGTATGGTCAGCCACCACAGCAGTATGGCGGAGCTCCTCAAGGTTACGGTCAGCCTCCTCAAGGTTACGGCCAGCCTCAGGGCTACGGTCAGCCCCAGGGATTCCCTCAGCAGTACAACCAAGGTCCCCCGACGCCGCAGGGTCCACCCGCGCCTTACGGTGCTCCTCCTCCAATGCCGCCTGGCTGGACTCAGCAGTGGGACCAGAGCAGCCAGCGCTGGTTGTAAGCCACTCCCTCCACATATTCGGTTCACCACGCTAATTGGCGACAGCTACATCGAGCAGGCCACCGGTCGTACCCAGTGGGATCCTCCTTCCAACCTTCCTCCTGGTCCCTACGCTCCTCCCGGCCCTAACGCTCCCTACGTTGCTGGAGCTGGTCCCGATGAGCGTGGTCTCTTTGGCAACACCCACGGACACAGTGGCCATGACTATAACACAGCGCCTGGCGCCCCTGCTGACCCCTACAAGGCCGAGACGGAGAAGAAGGACAAGGGCCATTCTACCGCCATGCTCGCAGCCGCCGGTATTGGTGGTTTAGCTGCTGGTGCCTGGATTGGTCACGAGCTGAGTATGTCACCTGCCTCGACCTTGAGACTCAAAGTACTGACACTCCATAGCCGAGGACTCCGACGACGAGAAGAAGCAGAACTATGCCCCCGCGGCCGCCGCTGCGGCTCCAGCTGCGTACGCTGCCGCACCTCCTGCCACAGACCCATACGCCAGCGACCCCTACGCCAACGACCCCTACGGCGACCACGCCTTTGCTCCCCCTCCGCCAGTGCCCACTCACGACGCCGATGGCAGCTCCATCTCAAGTAGTGACCGCGAGTCGCTCGAGGAGAAGCGCCAGGAGCTCATCGAGGCGCAAGAGGAGTATCAGGAGGAGCTCCAGGAGGCCTACGATGACTGAGTTAGACGTGCCGTGCTCGTATGTGGCACTTTGGACAATCGAGGGCATGTGTGCGTGAAGAGATGATAGCGGCCAACTTTCTCCTTACTGTAACTACCCTTCCAAGAAGCAAGATTATGGCTGGCATGGCGCAGGGAAGTAGTAGTTCGACTGCCCAAACAACCTAGTAACCCTTTGTTTCTCAATGGAATGAATTCACGGCTACGGTCAAACGACTATGAGCCCACTGCCGAACTCCCCGTCCCTCCCCTCCTCGTGAAGCCTTGTGGATATCTCGCGAATGAACATGTAGGAAATGTAGCGAGCGTGTGTATCCTCCAGATCGTGTGCATGTCCAGGTTGTGTGCATCTCCATCGCATTCTGCATGGTAATTTCGTCCTGCCGACTCGGACCGCTCCCACAACATCGCCTTAGCAGCAGCAGTCAAAGCAATCCAGACAGCACTCGCACGTCTCGCCACACAACCAACAACAACACAGCGTCGCCAAACAGGCGGCGAGACAACCGCGGTCCTTCTTCTCCTCCTGCGGCGGCGGCGGAGGGCCTTGCTGGTAGTACATCTGCACATCAAACAATCAGCGTCCATTCCTTGCAGCACGCTCCGCGTCTTGAAATGCAGAGGTCGTGGGCAGCATTGCTTACCTGCTGCGGCGGTGGCGGGCCCTGCATGTACGGTCCTTGCGGCGGGGGCTGCGCGTAGTAGCCCTGGTTTGGCTGCTGGTACGACATATTCAGTTCGCTAGGATTCGGGAACGGGCGTCGTTGATTTAGAGTCGGTGTGGCTAATTGAGGCGTCGAAGTGGCAGTGGCAGGTGTGAGGCTTCGGTCGCGAGCGAACGTGTGGCAGGTTGGTGTGGCAGAGGAAAGACCGGGCTGTGCACACCCACACGGGGCGGGCGACTTTATGTTTTAGCGACGAGGGGCCTACGGGGGGGAGGATGCGAGAGCACAGATCAAGTGCCAGACAGGGCGATTGCACAGCCGGGCCTTTCGCTGTGGTTATGTCGAGGGAACGACCGGCGGAAAGTTTGCGTTTGCGTATCGGCGCGCAACACCCATGCTGAGACGATGCGCAGCCACAGGTGTGGCAGCGAGTGGAGCCCGCAAAGCCGCTGGCGCTGCGCTGCGATTCTTGGCGCCTGGGCATACGGTACGCGTGGATAAAGACTCTTGGCGGAGAGGAAGAGAGGCGCATGACTGCGTGGTGTGCATCAAACGATATTTGTATGACCGCAGCTATTCGCAAGGAACAGAAGGGTTCATCTAGCATCCTCCAAGTCCTCTTTCTCAAGGCTTCACATCGAAGAAGCCATCAACAGAGGAGTACATGTGCACAAAAGCGACTATGTTATGGACAGCGAATGCAGCTTCACGAGATTGCTATGTGAAGTGAGGTTGCGCTCACACGCGCCAGTGCCGCATATCCGGAAACTAGACTAGGGTGGCCTGCGCCTGTGGCGCTCGGGGGTGCCGTTTGGTGCAAGTCTAACCGTGCCAACCTGGGCGGCTTTACTCGCGGTAGCTTTGCGGTGAATGTGTTTGCTCCCCCGGCAGCTTCGTAGCGTATCGCCGTATTGTATTTTTTTAATACTGCTTGGCTGCGCTGCTGAGATAGTGGCGCATGCCGAGCCGTGTTGTAGAAGCCATGCGGGAATGCTGTGAGAAGGGAGGTGGCTCTTCGGTGAGACAACGGCAAATGTTTGGTAGCACGCGGCTTTATCCGGCACGCCGTTCGAAGGCCGTCGAAGGGTTGCTGGCCTAAATCCAGGGGTTCAGTTGACAGCGAATGACATTTTGGAAGCGCAGCGGACCGAGGCGATGACAGGAGAGGCTGCCGGGATCTTGCTTGCCGCAGACCCGTTGAGAATGGGTTTCAGGAATCTCATGACAGGCTATCAATAGCAGCCCGTTAGAGATAATGGGGTGGATATTCAAGCTCCCTCTTCGTCCCCGACCATCTCCTCAGCCTCAACGCCATCTTGATCCACGCCTTCTACAGTCCCCCTAGGAACAAACCCCCTCTCCTCCCTCCTCTTCCGCACCCACTCCCCAAACGGTCTCCAAATCGCCTCCTTCTCCGCCGGCTTCAGACTCGCCGCAAGTCCACTCGTACTTGTAGCCACAAAGACCCTGCTGCCCACCCACCCCTCCTCCTCCACCTTCCCCATATTATGCCCCTCGTCCTGCCACCCATACGTGAACTCCTCTTTCCTAATATTCCGCCCATACTTGAACCGCCAAATCGCCTCCCAGATGCCCTTACCGACAATGCACACCGCCTCTGGCTTATAGGCAGCGAACTTGAGTTCAAGGGCTCGTGTTCCCTCGGTCATTTCCGCCTTGCTCAATTCCGCAGCGTCTCTCGACGGGCGCGCGACGATATTAGTGTTGCCCATGCAGTATCGCGCCGGCAGACTCGTGTCCTCGCTGGGTGCGAGACGGCGATCAGTTAGGCCTGAGGAATGTAAGAGCTTCCAGAAGTGGTTTGAGGGGTGTGCGTATGCGTGGCCTTGGCGCGCGGTTGAGACGCCGGGGTTGGTGCCGACAAAGACACATACTAGGTTTGCTTCGAGGATGTCGACGAGTGGGGAAAGGTGAGCGTATTTCGAGGGTTCGGCGTATTTGCTGGATTTGCGCTGCTTCTTTGTTGGGCGAGGTGACAATGTTGGGGCGGATTCGGTGATTTCGGTCTTGGTCACAGTCGTAGTGCGTGAACGTTTTGCTGATGGGTGAGGTGATGCATTCGTAGGAGATGGTGTGTCGCTCTTGTTGGGTGAGTATTGATACTTGGCCAATCGTCCTTGGAACGATGCAGGTGGCGGCGAAGATAGGGTGCCAGGCGGATCAGAGAGTTCGCCGTCACTTGATGGCATCGTCTTGAGGACAGATTCAGTCTGCATCGAGCGCGTTCGAGGCATCCCATGAAGCGACCGATGAGGCGTCGGGCGAACAAAATTGTGCCAGCTCTCTCTGAAACTACCATCACACGGGTACAGCCTAAACATCGGCTTACGCGACGCGTTGACGTCATATCGCTAAATAGAAGCGCGCGCTCGCATGACTGTAATGAATAGAAAGATGTTGAGGTATTCAAGATTCTTTATAAATGCATTGGCAAAGACATGATAAGTATGATAGCTGCAGCGCAGGTGCGCCACAGATCTTGCATTGACCGCGGCAGTTTTCCAGCCACGCAAAGAACTACACGCAGCTCTCGCCGTAACGCCACCGGTGTATATACTCAAAGATTAAACAACCTCCGAGATCTCCGACCAACTCACACAAATGCCTAAAAAAACAAACGCCTAGCCAACTTGCTTTGCTTTTCGAAGTGACATTCGACCCAGACCGACGCCGTGCTTATGTGTAAGATACTAGGATTAAGAAATTAGCCAAAGAGAAATCGTGCGCCATGCATTACAAGATCATAAGGTATCGAGCCAAACGATGGGAGAAGAAAGTAAGCGAGCTCATTTAGTGCCGGGCGATATTGCGGGCGAATCGGTGTGTTCCCTTGCGCCAGGTTTCAACGAGAAGGGTGCTTTTGGTTGAACGGCGGTGTCAGATGTTTTGATTGGTGCAGGTGCCGTTGCCAGGATTGGCGAATTTTTGGGTGGTGTATTCTGTCCACCTTCGTCTTCTTCGACGATGGGAGGACAGTAGGTCTTGAGAACGTGCTTCAGGGCGGGTCGACGGATAGGCTTTGATAGGAAGAAATCCATGCCAGACTCCATGCATTGCTTGACATTGGACTGCAGCGCTGTCAGTGTTGAGATTGTGAAAGGGGCATTGATGGAACTTACCTCTTCAGCGTATGCGGTCAGAGCGACAATGGGAGCAGAGAACCCAGACTGACGAATCAACCTTGTCGAGTCTAGGCCGTCCATGTTCGGCATTTGCACGTCCATGAAGATCAGATTGAAGGGCTCTCCTGCTTCCATGCTTTCTTTGACCCTGTCAAGAGCTTCTTGGCCATCCTTTGCTACCGTCACATCGTACACGTCTTCCAACTTAAGCATGCGCATGACTACGATTTGGTTAGTGGTGTTGTCTTCCGCAACAAGGACCTTGATCTTCTTGCCACCCTTAGTGGCTTCGGCTTCTACACGCTGCATCGCTGCTGCTTGTGAATTTGGCGACTCCAGTGGCGCGTTTGAAGCAAAGAATGGCTGGCTCAACCCAACCAAACGCGGTTTTGAGTCTTGCTCGAATGACACTGGACCCGCGGTTCCGGCAGCTGCAGTGCTGGCGTTAACAACCGGCACTGTTCTATCGCCACTCCTACCAGAATGCCCTGATCGCACAGATGGAGCATCCTCTCGCGATGCAACACGAGGCTCGTCGACGGATGAGTTTCGCCGCGAATTGGGGTCGGCTTGCGAGCTTGCTGTGCTGTCGGCACGGTTCGACAGGTGCTTCAGCGGTATGGACATGGTGAAAACACTACCGTGGGCGACCTCGCTCTTTAAGCCGATGGTGCCCTTCATCAAACCAGCCAGTTGCGAGCAAATACTCAGTCCAAGACCGGTGCCTCCGAACTTCTTGCTGAGACCCAAGTCACCTTGCACGAAAGGCTCAAATATCTTGGAGTGGATGTCCTCGGGAATACCCGGACCAGTATCCTCGACCTCGAATTCGAAGGCTAGCCATCGTCCAGGCGGAGGGGTCGCCGTGCGATCGTTCATCATGATGTGCGAGTAGGGGTTCGGCTTATCGAGGGGGTTGATGTGGTTTGCTGTGGCGAAGCCGTTGTGACCTGTGGTCGACACTGACCCTACTTCTGAACTTGTCGCCCTGAATCGGTTTTTTGAATTTCTTGCTGAACTTTGCCTAGAAGCCAACGAAGCTTTTCGACTGTCAGTCATGTAGGCTTCTCCCGTACAGCGGATAGTCAGAATAACGTTTCCGCCTCGTGGTGTGAACTTCAAACTGTTCGACACAAGGTTGATGACGACTTGCAGGATTCGGTGCTGATCTCCGTATAGAATCATATCCTTGAGCCTTCCCAAGCCGTAAGGCCCGAGGTCGCCAGCGTGGTTTGGGCGCCCGTCGTCATTGAGGTTGGCGTCGTAGGGTCCTTCAAATCGCACGCTCAGGTTGATATCACCATCTTTCGCCTGCTTTTCAAAGATTGCCAGCACCTGCGAGCTGATATCGCGTAGCCTGAACTCCTTCTCGTCTAGGCTTAGCTGCTGTCCGACCTGGTTCTTACTGAACGTCAAAAGATCTGTGAGAAGATTAAGAAGGAGATCACCGCTTTTGTAGATGATCCCTAAAGATCTTCTTAGCTTTACTGGATCGTCTTCAGACATGCAGACTGCGCACATGCCCAAGATGCCGTTGAGTGGTGTCTTGAGCTCGTGGGAGATGTTGGCGATGAACAAGGTCTTGCTCTCGTTCGCTGCTTCGGCCGCCTTTTTGCTCTCGTTCAACTCGGCCGTCCTCTGCTGTACCCTCTCTTCTAGCCTCTCATACTGCATCATGAGCTCGTCTGTCATCTCATTGAAGGTTTTGGTGAGATCAGTCAACTCATCATGAATGAAGTGCTTCCTATCCTTGACTTTACCGGGAATGCGAAACTGTCGTCTCCTCTCGGCCTCTCTCTTCTCGGCTTTGCTGGCTTTCTGGTTCCTTCTGTAGTGGATGACCTGACCGAAGAACCCTTCCTTGCGAGCGAGTGCTTCATCGTGGCCATCGTTTGCACCATCGTTGCCCGAGCTCAAGCTGAGGTCGTCCTCGAACAGGTGGGGCGCAACCGTCTTTTTTGTGGCGTCTCGCAGACGTCGAATTGGCCGGCTGGAATAGTGGGCGATAGGGAAACTGATAAGGATCATGGCGCCCATGGTGCCGAAAACGCAGGCGAGGATGACATTTCGCAAATGGTAAATTGGTCCCCATACTTCGCCGTGCGTCTGCTCAACGATAACAACCCAGTCGACCATGGGGCTATCCACGACACCGTACCCAACAGCAACATTATCCTTCTCCTCATTGTATGTAGAGACGATACTGCCGGCGTTGCTCGTCGCTCCCGTACTTTCGGTGTAGGCTTGCTTGATGGCAGGGAAGGCGGTCCAGTCGAACGCCGATGGGTTGATTGGTTCGGCGTATTTGCTGTGCCTCGACACGTCGTCTCTGACAGTTGGAGGGATCAGAAAGCGTACTTGAGCGTTCTCAGGTGGATCTGGATTTGGGTCCTTGTAGAGGTATCCAGTTGGGAAGTTGTTTGTGGCATTCTCAGGTCCAAAGAGCATTGTAAGACCACTATCGCCCAAGCCTTCTAGTTGGTTAATGATATTGGTCAAGAGTGAGGCGTCCAACACAGCCGTGAGCCAGCCCAGTGTTTCGATGTTGGAAGTATTGTTAATAATGGGCAACGTGATTGACACTAGGCTGAGGGTGTCATTGACCCTGTACGGTCCAGAGAACAAGTAGCTGGTATTGCTGACAGGTCGTCCCTCAAAGCTGCCGTTGTACTCGTTGAAGGTCGAGTTGTACGGTATCGCTGTGACGCTGACTTTGGGGTACAGCTCGGGAATGAAGCCATAGTCCTTGTCGCCGAATGTAGCTGGCTGTCCATTGGCGCTGTTGTAGGGTAATTGCACGTCGAGCATGGTATCGGCGGTACGGCTGAAGAGGACTTGGTCGGTGGTGTTTCTAGGGTATATACGAGCCTGCACGGCAATGCGGTTCCTCATGTCTCCAGTGAACAAAGCATCGTAGTCCTCGGTGGTGCGACTCCAGTTCTCCCTTGAGCTATTGCCCCAGTAGTATCGTTGTAGAGCGGACTGCGGGGCAAGGCGATTAGACGCTTGGACGACGACGATCTGCATGAGGTTGAGGTTCGAGGCAACTTGGGCGGCCTTGAGCGAGGCAGTCAGGTTGAGTCTCGTGGACCTATTTCCACGTTAGCCCACAGTCACACTGCCAATCGGTCTACCGACCTAATGTTGAGCACAAAGTTGTGGTTCGTGATCCAGGTCGCAATGGCAATCACGGCCAGGCCGACCATGCTGGCCAGCAAGACCAGACAGCCGAGCTGTTCGCGGATTGGGATCCGCATCTTCACCATCACGCTTCACACCAGCTGTCTGGAGCGAGTGGTTGTCCGTGGGCGGCGGCAGAGGGCAGGCAGCGGAGGCCCCGGGCGGCGCGGCTGTCAGTCAGCGCACGCTGCTCGCGAGCTGCAGCTGAACCACGCAGGAGTCGACGGGGTCGGGGAGTGAGTGGGCGGCTGCGTGCGTCCCATTCCTGGGCGTGGGTGGTGCGAACGGTGCGAGGACGGCGCTGGAAGATTCTCCCGGTGCGGAGAGGCAGGTAGTGGTGTGGTGAATGCACGCAGGCGCACGACAGCAACAGCTAGGCCCAAAAGGGGGAGACAGCCTCGGACAGCGGACTCAGGTCGCTCAATAATAGGCGGAGGCGCGAATAGAGTGCGCGTAAAAAGAGGGGACGAACGGGCGCTCTTGGGGCGGCGGTGGGTAGAGACTGGGGGGGGGCGCAGATTCCAAGCAGACGGGGCTCGCAGTGAATGGATGTGAATGGACGTGGATGGCAGCAGGCGAGCGACCAAGACACCACACATGCCACGACCCGCCAGGCGTTGAGCTTGCTTTGCTCGGACGGCCGCAAAGGACACACGCGCTGCGCGGCCCCCGTTGAAATTAGCAGCGCGCCATGACAGGCTAGCAGCGTCGCTTGCAGCGAAACACGGCTGGCCTGAACGACCTTGCAGGTCAACCCGGTCGCGCTCAGCTACCGCGGGCTTGCGGCCAAGCAGCTAAAGGGGATGGCCGCCGCGTGTTGGGGTGCATGCCATTCTGCAATTGCATGTCTCGCAGCAACCGCATTTCCTCGCTGCACCGCGCATCTCCCTTCTCCGCGTCTTTGCTGGGGACCCACTGGTCGTGTTAAGCTGGGCGGGCTGTGGTCCTGTTTGTTTCTTTGGCGTCGCCGCGTCCCCACCTTTGACGATCGGCAGATTCGCACACCTGCCGCTAGTTCCAGACCGCGAGAGACTTGACCAACGGCTTACATGGGCCCATGCCACGCTTGCCAATGCAACACCGCGGCCTCCCAAGACCAGCGAGACACAGGGCGCTGCTTCGAGATGACTGCTAGAGACAACAAAGAGTGTCCACATAGCGCTGCAAGCCACTGCTGTCTTCTGCCTAACAACGACCGTTAGTCTACCTGCTCGCCGAACTGTAGTTCGCCGGGCCGCGCCGTTGTCTGCGTGATGGCGATCTGCTACAGGACGCGCTATATATGATCATGTATTCGGCAGATTGATTGCTCATTCGGCCCTACGCGCTTACCACTGCATCTCGTCTGCACTGCACTGCCGGGGTGTTGTTCATTCATTATTGTGCCCGCTTGCAGCGCTCGTCTCAGCTACTCCGGCACAGAAAGAAAGCTGTTCGCAGAGGCATGTGGGCGTTCCACCTTTCCTGCCAACTGACCGAATCCGTCAGAAACACACTGGCATTGACAATGCTCGGCTCTTTGTATGTCCCAGCTCATCTGCAATGCTGTCAACATGCTACCTCAGTCAAACACCACGGGTACACCAAACGACTCGCCACCGCAGTCTCAGACAACCGAGAAGCCGGCAGACGATCTCCGGTGCGCTGCCGGTTGCTCTCTCGCCGTCGAGTTTGTGCGCGATCTCGTTGCATCATCGTTGTGGTAGTGTCTCCCAAGCTTCTGCAGCTGCGTCAACGCTACCATCACACTGCAAACAACCTTGCCAACCCCGTCTCTCTGCAGTGTCAATCCGTCACGATAGACGGCAAGATCGCCGACTTCTCCTCCACGAACAGCCAGTGTTCCCCGGTCCGAGTACGTGAAACGCGCAATGACCAGGCTCGAGTGCTTTTGGCTCAGCTCCAGCGAGATGGGCCACATACTAAGCCTCCACTCATACACTGTGTCTCCCAATGTGACTGTCCAGTCTACAAAGTTGCGCGACTCCATGTTGTACCTCTCTGCGACGCCGTCTGCATCCGTGTGCTTGAAGTGCGCGCGCGGCCGCCATGGCAATGGCCCATCATCGTCGAACGATATGGCTGCCAACGTTCGCATACGTCCTTCGTCGGTGTAGAGTACCTCCATCTCTGGCCTCTTTGAGAAGAGCCGGAACGTATTCGTAGTGATTCGATAAGCCGTATTCGCGGATGACCCGTACGCTACCAGCATCTGTATCCTACGATCGTACCGTCTCAAGTGAAACGTCTGGTATGGTCCGTCGTGGTCGCCGTCATCGTAGGCAGGGGCTGCGGAGGAAGCATTGTAGTCAGGCAGCTCTTCATCGTGGTCATGATGCTCCTCGCGTAGGTCAAGTGCCTCGTCCAAGCCGAGGCGTACAAATTGCTGCTGCGCTTCCATGGCGGGCTTGCATGACGGCTGGACAGGCTAATCAAAGGTTGTGGCATATATGTAGAGATGGTGTGCATTTCGGTCGTGAGGGATGCGACCTCCATAGCGCGCGTGAGGAGTGAGGAGCTATGACGACGATGATTTGACGTTGCGGATGGTGCCGCCAATCGTTAGTCAGCCATTGATGCGTGAGAGTTTCCAAGTTCGGCAACGACCATATCTGTAGACGCATCAATCGCTATCACAACTAACCTTCACATCGCACATACACGCGTGTCTACCGTTTATCGCCCATTCTTGCGAGTATCTTAAGGATCGTAGTGGGATTCTCACGCGTGTGCTTGCTCCTGCTTGCACCTGCCTGCTAGCGTAACCCTGCCCGTTACTTCCCATCTCGACCGTGCAACCATGTTGGCATTCTCGAGTCCATCTCTTTGACCCCAATTGTCATTTCCACATGCAACGAGATGTCGAGCGGCTGCAATGCTTTCTGAACATGATCGCAATCTCCGTGGTCCAGATGGAGCTAGCTTCTCCGCGTTTAGGCCCGCGTTCTCGATCATCTCATTTCAACTCTCTTCAACAGCACGCCCACTGAAGGGGTCATGCATCGAGCAGAAAGCAAGGCCAAGAGCGGGCACAGTCTGCTAAATTATGTACCCGTTGCGCAAATTTTGCCCTTCCTGCTTGGCAACCAATGTCTACTATCAGAACGAGCTTGAACGGAACACACAAGCCCTGATGGCTGGCATCTTCCACCAAGCCAGTGGTGTGGTCGTATGGCTTGGTCAATGCGATACCTGCACTGCAGATGCTCTCGAGGCCATCGAGAAGTTTATTATAGAGTGATTGGTCCGCGTCCCATACACTTCGTTTTATGACTCGGTAGATGTCGAGCACAGCTCAAACCTAGACCTGACCTACTTCGATTGACTGGGATTCACTGCACTGATCAATAGCCTAAGCTTCAGGTGTGCATAGGTAAGTGGAGCATCCGCACTCTCGCTGCCTATACTGATGTTTTCACAGGTGGTGCAGTATCACGCTCCGCAACTCTCCCATCAATGTTTGTGGAATCAAAGTCTTCCCACGGGAGAAGCTTTCCAGGACCCAGCGAAAATGGGAAGCGACCTTCACCTGTCGAGCTTTTGCGGCGGACTTTGACGACTGGCACTTTGCGCACGTCTTTCCGGCGCCATCTGAGGCGCACAGGATCGAAATCGCTTAAGACAGGCGATGAGATTTGAACCCTTCATTGAGGTGGGCTGCTATTGTTGCTTCGACCCCAGCAGAAGTCCGGTCACTATTGCCTGATCAGTGAGGCATTTGTATATGATATCACGCATGGAGGAGCATTGGACGTTGGCTTGCCTGTGCAGATCATTACCATGACATCCGGATCATGCCTGGCCTCCTCTCTTGCTAATAGCTCTATCATGAAGCGATGCCTGTCTATGTGAGCAACAAGTTCATGCTTACATCACGAACATGGTGGCTTGAGCCAAAACCATGCTGGCACATCATGATAAGGATCTTCTGCGAGATACTGGGCTCACGGGCGATGATCGTTCGGACGATTTTGATCGCATGCATGCACTACGTGTCTTCTACCGCTGCTCATGGAGACGGTCCACGTAATCAGGGCGCCTCAAACCGGAACAAAGGGGGCAGTTGCACGACGCTCCTTAAATCTCAGTGTTGACCGCAACTATGTTATCAAAGCGCTTAAGTCTTTTATTCTATCTCACGCGGATGGACATGTGGCGGAGATCTGGATCAGCGGCTTCGGCAAGATCAAAGAGACGAACGCCACGCCTTGCAGCGGCCGTGTCGGTGTTCGTGCCTTGTCTTTAGAATTGGCGCTAGGTTCAAACTCGCTGTATTGCGTACGCAGTATTCACCCGAGGAACTGCAAGTACAGCTATGGGCAAGAAAAGAGAATGGATCGCACCGGCTGCGTATTCGCCGACTGGCACCATCTTCTCCCGTTGCGGGTTAATTTGCTACAGCAGTACTGCAACCTTACTTGGACGGCGCAGCAGAGTCACAGTCTATGCCTCCGCCCTGATGGGAGCTGGTGAGTCGTCAGCTCATTTCGAGTCCTGCCGCACAACGGACATTATTTAGGCTTCAATCTACCATGCCCAGGATGTGTGCATGTTCACTTGGTACTTGTCGGTTCCGATACATAGTACGAGGCTAATGAAGATGCAGACCAACGCACCATAAAGATACAGCGAAGAGCCGCGACTATCAACTTCTCGCCTTTTTTTATTAAAATTCGTACACTATGAGCTCCATCACTTGCCCTTCTTGGGTTATCGACTCAGCTGTCTAGCTCCTGCCTGCCTACCTGGCCATCTCAGACCCATTTGATGACAACCCTCTTCTACTTTCCAACCTTGCCATCAACAACAACATGCTCTTCCTTGGGACAGCCTATAGCAAACAGAAGGGTGCTTCTGGCACTGGTACTATTGTTCAGACTGCTGTTCAGATGTACGCTCGAATAGGTCCATAGAACTCTGGCTGGGTCTAGACTGTCTCCACTAAGTCCAAGCATCTCTCCTAGGAGCTCCAAGCCATGCAGTTGGCCAGAGTCCAGCTCCCGTTCACTCCTGTTGAGCCTACCTCTAGATGATTGGGTCGTTTGCGGTGACATTAAGTGGATCACAAACGACGAAGCAAGTTCGACCCTAGATGAAGACAAGCACTACCATAGGTCGATTACAACCGCGAAAATTCTCTCTCCTCTTGAAGCTGCATTGGATGTTACTGATCGCCGACAGGAATCCGCCTGCGCTGTCCTTAAGTTGTGACTGCCTGACTGGGGAGTGTGCATTTAAGCAGCACCGTATAGGGCGGGGAGCCTTTCATTCTGGATAAGGTGCCACTTTAACATGTGTACCTACGGAGGAAATGCTTGCAAATGGTTTCATATTTGATGAACGTTTCGAAATGGTGACTGGTACGCTGTGGGACGTCTGCATGAAAATTACGCCCAAAGGGAAGCCGTTCTCTATGGTAGGAAATTTCTCTTGAATTAGTCATTGGGCTTAGGCTCTGATGGTAGAAGAGACCAATGAGAACACATGGAATGCATAATCTTCTCACACCCCGAGTTGCGATTGATCCTCTCATCTCCATGAAAACCCCAACAACCAGACATGGTATATCCATGATGTTGGTCGAATATCTGCATTGTGTCATTGACGGGACCCGACCATGGCGTGCATGCAGTGTTTTGAACATTTGCTTAAGAAGCCAGTTCTCAGGGCAGGATGTCTTGGCGATGAGATGGAATAGACAGCAAGAGCAGCAGCCCACGTGTTGTGAAGTCGGGTCAGTTGGGCACGTGATGGCGCGAAAAAGTAGACGCACCTTCCGACAACATACGAAACCCGTTGTCATGTACGTCTGCGCACTCATATCAGCAATGAGAGGCTGGTTTCGGTCGCGCGACTTTTTCGAAGTGTGTGCGTGCTCGCAGCGAGACGAAATACCAAAGTGATGTTGAGGATTTCAAAGTGAGGTGCTGGCTTGCGCCGGGGTCGGAGGCCCCCATGTACATAGAGCCGAAACTGATCACTGTTTAGTGACCGAGCTATGCATAACAACGTCCATATCCTGCTGTCGTTTATTGCCTTGCTGGAAGAGAAGAGCTTACATCCTTCCAAAACATCGGGAGTGCCATCACAGCACGCACGATACAAGAGCAGGTCAACACAATCTAGTTCATAACTCAGTGTTACTTAAAAGCATTGCAGGGGTATACATTCGTAACATTATTTCATGGACGCCCACATAGCGTAGCTTTGGCATTCGGATTGCAGGCCAGCATACGGGAACAGTCTCAGAGAGTATACCTGAAGCCCTTCTGGTCACCCTCCGTGTACTCGAGCTCGATCTCGCCGCGATCAGCCTTCTTGTTCTGCGCAATGGAGATCATGGTGACGATTCCAACAAGAATAACCGAGAAGCAGCTGGTTGCAATGCAGGCATAGATGCCGGGGCGGTAATGAGGCGCATCCTGAGCCCTGAACACCAGACCTCCGGCAATACCACCAACACCTCCCATACCAACAAGTGTAGCTGAGCAGAAAGCGCGCTTCCACTGTCCACGAATGTTGTTCGCCTGGTACGACATCGTTGCGGGAACGTTACTGTTGGCACCAGCGGTGGTCAGGAAGACTCCGAAGTATCTCACAGCCGGGGACTTAGCGAAGCCCATGATGGGCAGGCCAATCAGGCAGAGGATCATGTTGAAAACGATGAGTGGACCACGGATCTTTCTCTTGTCACCAATCCAACCGCACCCGTACATGATGATGGCGGCAAACGCGTACGGAGGTGCGACAAGGCACTGAGCAGCACCGACAGTGAAACCCATGTTGCGTTGCAGAATGATGGGAAGGAAGTAAGCCAGAGCGTACGAGACGGTTGTAGTGTTGAAAAAGATCTGGAAAATTGGTCAGAATAATTGATCCCCATCCATCCCGAGTGCTTTGACTTACCAAAGCATAGCACCAGACCTTGAAGTCCAGGCCACCCCGGAAAAACTTCCTAGTGTTCCATGGCTCGGGCTTTGCATCACCGCGATCCTTGTCGACACGGTCGATGATGAATTTGGCTTCGCGCTCGGTCAGGAACTTCCAGGACTTGTGCGCCTTGTCGGGGAAATCGACCAGCATCCAGTATGCGCCAATGCCAAGGAAGCAAGTGAGAGCACCTTCAATGATGAAGATCCAGCGCCATCCAGCCAATCCCTCGCGTCCTTGCAACTGCATCAGTCCGTAGGCCAGGATACCAGCACAAGCAGATGCCAAGCTTCCGAGAATGTAGAAGACACTGTATCGCTTTCCGATGTCGTAACGTGTGTACCAGCAAGACATAAGGTAAACTAAATTTGTAAGTTGTCTGTTTATCAGCGGTTACTACTTGTACTGACCACAAGAGGGAAAGAATCCTGCCTCCAAGATGCCAAGTACGACTCGCAGAGCAGCCAGAGACTGCCAATCTTCGGCAAAGCCCATTCCAATCATCACTGCTCCCCAAAGAGTGACAATGACGGACAAGTGCACGCGAGGACCAAGGTAACGGATGATGACTGTCGAAGGTGGCTGGAAGACGATGTATGTGGTGAAAAAGACGAGGGTCACGACTGAGTAACGTGACACCGTACCCATAAGGACGTTCAGATTCAGCTCGACATTCATACTTTTGATTCGTCAGCATGGCTCATGATCTCAAGCGAGGGATGTGCTAACGTACCCAGCAATGGCGGCGGCGGACAAATTTGTACGATCCATCAGCGAGATGCAGTAAAGCGCTCCCACCGTAAGAACGAGACGACGATCAATGCGGTGGATGATCTTTCTCTGCTCCGTCTCGGTGAATTCGCACTCGTAGCTATCATGCGTCGAGCTATTGACATCTTCTTTGTGAGTCACATAGTCCTTCTCGTTGTCGACGTTATAGTCGTTGTGAGCAACAGTGTTGTTCGCCATTTTGGCGGTGTCAGCAAATATGCTGGAAGGGATAGACAAAGAGCTTGGGCAGAGCAGTGGATGCGTGATCGCACGATACCGTTATATGTATGTTCAACTGGCCCCTGTACGGCCTGTCGTTACACACTGCCAAGCAACCTACAGGCCATTTCACGACATCAAAAATCTGGAAAGATACCGAGGCCTCGGCGATCCTACCCATTGGAGAGATGGGATCTCAATCATCCCAGCAACAGCTCCAAGATTGTGGAGGATCCCAGAATGAGAGGGAGACGCTCTGGGCGCTCAGCGGCGGACGATTCTGGGGGTTTGTCTTGGCACATGGGGACCCCGCAGGTGAGAGGACGCCTCTCGCCTAGGGGACCCACCCGTGGCCCGTGTGCCAATCGAGGCGGGGCGTCAAATGTGCAAGACTGTCCGTTCGCGGCTTTATGGCTCTTATCTTGTGTCAAGGCGACTGCGCGCGTGGGAGGCGTGCAACTAAGAGCAAGTCAAGCCAGCGCGCGTTTGCTTGTCAACGTCGACCAACATCAACGGTCAAACGTCGTGCCCTTTCTCAAATGCTGGTGATCTGCATGCCACCACGTTTCAGCCGCTCTCACGCGGGGTAAATCCACAGGCGTTGTAACACTCCACAATTTCCGTCAGATTGACCCAACTTGGTAATACCTCCGGCGGTGGGTATAGGGGGTGATGCTTCGATAATTGTTGCATCAACACCAAGCCGCACCACGCCGGAAGACGCACTTAGCATCTGTGGTGGCTTGTCATTTGGCTTGGCATCTTTTGGTCGCCCTCGGAGTGCTGTACCTAGTGCTTGTCGATGAAGAAGCATCTGTGATGTAAGACACGCTGTCATGACCTAGGACATTGGTCATTGTGCCGCCAAACAGCGCATTCACAAGATATTCCTTTCTTTACTCCCACAAGAACGAAGGATGAGATTTAGAAGCTGCACAGAGGGCTGTACTCCATAGGGCAAAGAGTCATCCGACTTCGCGCACTAGCGGCTCGTTTTTGACTCGTCATGGGCACTCCAGTGTGCGCTTTTGGGAGACGACTTCCGCGCTTGCAGGCGTCTGTGGCCTTTCACCGATCTTCCAAGACTTTGGGCTGATGCAGCGGTCTCATTGCGGACGACCAGCAGGCCCCACGAGCCGGAAAACTGCTTGATGTTCTCCTTTGACAGAAAACACAGCGCCGTTTGCATCCGCGCTACCTTGGCGAATGCCACTCATGGGCTCACGCGTGGAATACGCTTTGTTACCAATGTCTGGTGCACTCAAGACGTTCCGTGAATTCTCGAAGTCAGTTGTCAAGCAGACTATGCACATTGAGAAACTCAGTGTAGCGCACTTACATGATGGACATGTCACATTATCAGAATCTCTGGAACGGGCGCTTTAGCAGACGAAGCTGCGCACAGCTTATCCTCTGCTGTCCCTTCGACTGTGCACTCAGAGACACCCGGCATGGGTTTGACCAAAGCATAGATCTGGTAGGCACAACTGTCCAGATCCTTGCCCGTCAAGCGATATGCCACATGGTCATCCTACGTTGATGGCCTAACAGTGGCCTGCTTGTCTATTGTTGAACCCAACTGCCTGGTCCTGCTGGGGCTCTTCCCCGGATCAGCGAGTCCCCAGATCTGACATAACCGCCCAGTCATAAGGCAGGCACGATCTCAGGGACCGAGGCTTCGAGGTCAGGCCTTATGCATCGCAACGCCACACGCTGCGCCCCTTCTCTGTTTTCCACTTCACTGCAACCGCAGCGTGGGCAACTACCAATTAGACTGACGCCTTAGACCGAGGCTTCTTTCACGCCGTCCAAGAGCCACCCGATGGCTTCCATAGCCCGAAGGCAAATCAGACGAACAACCACGACACCATCCGCACTGTACAGTTTTAACAATACATTGTCGAACGATAGCACCAATGAGGTACTCAACACTCGAAGAGTGACCGAGGCACTCTCGTGTCGCCAAGTGGAGTTAAGCGATGCACAACAAGGGCCTGCCTGCATCATGCACTCCAGCCACGCACCCGCCTGAACCATCTTCGGATAGAATGTGCGACGACCTAAGAAAAGTATCGTCAAGTTCCTGAGACAATTTGGCAAATTTGAGAAGGTTGCGTACCCAGCATCTCGCAGCGTTCATCCTGGGCCTTGAACTCGTCTTGCTTGCCACTTCTTTCAAAGTGTGAAGCAGAGACATGTTTTCATACTTGCTGACACCAATTTGCTCGTTTTTTCAGCGCCCATTTGCAAGCGTTTCACTGTGGTTTCCTCGCGATTGATGGGACAGACACGGCAAGTGCGGGGCGTCGGCTCGGGTCCGGATTATGTCGAACACGCTCAGTGATGAACTCATGCATCATCTCTCAGCGTAAAGATACTCCATCGAGTATCCCCGGATGCTGAGCGAGGTATTCGTGGTACTAGCTTTTATTCCCAAGTCGAGAGCAGAATATGGACGACTACTCTACGCAAACTGTACAAACACGAAGAGAACGCACAGAATGCCACCGACCAGCTGGTCATACTGGTCGAAGCTGAAGCACATTACATGATGGTGCGACAGCCTACGTGGACTGCTTCAAAGATATGGATTGCTGCAGGCCCGGCATCGTCATCTTCGCAGTTTGATACCAATTGTCTTGGTCGACCTCAACTAGCTCATGCTAGCTACTCCATCCAGATCGTCGGCATAGAAGCCAACCTCAGTCTATTCATTCTCATTCTGGGTATCGCCTTGGGCTTCATCGGTAATGGTATTGGCTCATAGGTTATGCCAGAAACCGGGTTTCCACCGTTGCAACCCACCTCGCTTGGCATTTCGACGATGCCGTGACTGGGCATGGAAGCAATAGAATCCTGTACTGGCACCGTCACAATCTGGTAGGCCGCTTCTCTGATCCATTCAACCCTTATATTACAGAATAGGTCCTCCGCCGCAACGATGATTCTCGTCGCAATTGTCAACGGCATCGGTTTATGGCCAATATCCTACGCAGTCGGTGGCGAAGCATTATTGCTAGGTCTGCATGTCAGGATTCAGGCCCCACCTGGTTCACCGACAGTCTGGGTAACGGCGCGCTGATATTTGCACTGCCGTACATCTTCAAATCTGACACTAGTCACTTGAGAGCAGGACCCAGATGCGTCTTATCGGTTTTATGCCTAATTGGCCTAGCTGTCAGCTGGCTGATGGCGCCTGGGATGCGCCATCGCTTTACTGCGGCGAGTAATAGGATATTCGACTAACGACTGCCCACGCAAGGTCTCAGGGTCTGGGCGCCGAACGATGTTATGGGAGGGCATTGACAGTCTCCGCGGGAGGCAGTTAGATCGTCAAAAGATCGATGGCGCTCGATATTGAATGAGATGCATAGTCTATTGGCCTTTGAGACTATGTTCCATGAGCGAACAGCCTGAGAGTAATCACGTACTTATCCGTCCTTCTTGAGCGGCTCAGGCACACACGGTGCCTTGACCTTCAGATCCTCCTCCCCTTGCGTGAATGCCGCATAATTGAGACAATTACCCATCTCTTCCGGCAGCTTCCAGTTCTCACCATCCTGTATGATTGACCAGAAGAGGTAGAGCAAACCCATACGCACGCTGATCGTCTCTTTCTCTGCATCGAACGCATCGGTTATCTTCATGGGTTCCGAGTAGTGCAGTCTGGGTTGCCGGAACACAATCTTGTCTTTCTCCTTGATCTCTTCAACGTCCATTCGGAGGTACATGATTTCATCGCTGCTGACGAGAAAGGCGTAGCGATGATTGTTCATGAGCATCCACTGTACGAGGTCGCCTGGAAGCGGTCAGTACATCATCCCTGGCCTTCATGAGAGCGGCTCTTACCAAGCACACAACGCAGACTACCATATTTGGCTGTCTTTCGCAGTTTGTATGCCTCAGTGAGGGCTCCGGATCTGCCAGCGAGAAACTCCACGTGGCCAATGAGGCGCGCTTCGGGAACTCCACCGAAGTCTCTGAACCTGACCACGTAACATGGTTGCCATATGCAGTCATCTGTGGCAATGCCCTCGTCTTCGGCGGTGCCTAGTTCGCACTCCACTGTACTTGTCTGCACCCTCACCGCGTGAGTTTCAAGTACTGTAGTCGCCAACCACACGGCTGCGCGCACTGCATGGAATTCGAAATCAATTTCGAAGAGTTCTGATTTGTCGGCCGAAAGACGAATCTTCGGGGCAAAACAGTCTCTAGGCACATGTTCCCAACGCAGCTCTAAAAATGTGTGGGCTAACCACCCGTCCATCCAGTCCTTTACTCCCTGTCTGAAGTCTTCCTAAGGTCTCATGAAGCCTGTGTACCACATTTTGTCCTCATAAGGTGAGAGGAACATGGGAATGGTCTGCATGCTGGGGCTCGAGGGCGAATACTGCAGTATGATCGCTTCGTACGCGGCGTTTCGCGGATTTTGCGGCCAGTCTTGACCGTTTTGGAAAGCAAGCTTATGCAACAAGTCCCGCCGCAAAGGAACAGGAGACCTGCTCTTTCGTTTGTCTTTCTTAGGCTGGCGTGGAGGTGTTTGCACATTACGTGAGCTGTGTTCGGATCCTGAGAAACGAGTCGGAGGAGTAACGATTTCCTTTTCAAAGTCTTCTTGTGCGTCATCATAGTCATCGCCAAATCGTGAGACAGCTTCAATGAGGTCCCATTCACACTCTATGAGCGTTTGAATTGCCACACTGGTAGGCTCCTTGGTCGCTTGAATGAATTGGATTATCGAGTTGCGCTGTTCCGTATTGAGACTGGCTATGTATGTTCCGATCTTCGCGCTGCCACCTGGGGGTGGGCTCGGGAGGTAGGTTTTGACCTCGGAGTTATCATTTGTGAGGAGGTCCGGTACGAAAGTGCCCGCTTCCGTGGTCCCGTCTGGAGGACTGTGACTGGTAGACGTTACATGCACCAGCAGTTCTTTCGAGGGTGGGCTTCCTGCACCCTTCTGATCATTTCCACGGTTCGCCATAATGAAAGAATGGTAACGAATGATGCGAATCGATAGCGATGACGTATATGCCGGACGATGAGTAGTGAGTAGTGAGTAGTGGTGTTGAGAGGAGGAGATCGGCCTCAAGGAAGAAACTGCCGGGTATTAATCGTGTTGCGTGGCACACTCATCTTTCTAGGAAAGAGGCATCAGTGGATGTCAATCGCACACCTGCTGGAGGAAAGGACGGCACAATCAGACATCTTGGCAACTGGCAGCGCGTTCGCGACTGGTTCGCTTAGTGACAATTTAAAATCATGTGAAGTCGATAGAAAGTCATTGCTTGGATCAAATGAGCCATGTGGGAGGTGAGGTGGAAAAGGAGAATTGCGCAGGTGAAAGATATCTGACTAAGCACACCCACATATTGTGATTGGCCTGAGCGCGCACCCTCGCAGGCGCACAGCATCTCAAGACTTGCCACTACGAAGTAGACCACCCCAACCAACAATGTTATCATCACGAGTAGGGAATACTGCGAGACTGCGCTGTTTGTCATCGACTCAGCTCGTGGCGCCGGCTAGGTGCATGTCAGCGGCAGGAAGCCGTCGCGCATGTTTTCGGCCCCAGACAAGGCGCGTCGCGAGCCTACAGTCACGTGCCCTCCATCACTTTCGACCTTTAACCTCACAACAAACATTCTCGAAGACGGCAGAAGAGCAAGCAGAATATCAGAATGGATTAGCACCAACAATACTGCAATCTGCCTTTCCCAAGAAGACATTCGCCATCCTCGTCACCATTAGCGCCCTGGCATACTACTTTGTCGACGTCCGAGATCTGGATTGGACTGACGATGTAGTAAACAGCTTCGGTTACGACAATGTCGGCGTCACACCTCTTCAGTTCTTCGCCAGCAAGGATGAACTGGATCACTTCCTGCAGCACCACACCGGGGACCCCAGTCACCTAATGAAGGACCCGCAAGTCGCTCAGTTCATGAGCGAGCACTTCGACAAGCTAGCTGGTGGGTGGAGAATGACCGAGAAAGACGCAGCTGAGGAGAGTATCTCTGTGACACACGGCTGCCGCTTTAAGAGCAACGAGCCCTGCGAAGACTACTTCGCCTTCGGCACCTCCCCTGGCCCAGGCCAGCAACCATGGAATTACTGGAGTATTATGGACGGGCATGCCGGTCGTCACACTTCCTTTATGCTTCAACGGATACTCATTCCCTCGCTTTCTAGCGCGCTCCTCACACTTCCTGCGCACACGTCCCCCTTCGAGATCGAATCTACCATTAAAAACACCTTCCTGCGCATCGACAAGCAGATTATGGACTCCGCCCGCACAGCAGCCAACTGGTTTCCTGCAGCCAATGCCGCCGCCATAGGCGCGCTCGCACCCGCGTTCTCGGGCTCCTGCGCGCTGCTGGCTGCGTTTGACCCGGCATCCTCTGTGCTCCGCGTAGCATGCATAGGAGACTCGCGCGCAGTGCTTGGACGCTGGGACCCCTCGACTCGCTCCTACACCTGCATTCCGCTGTCAGAAGACCAGACAGGTTTCAATGAGAAGGAAGTTAAGAGAATCACCGAAGCACACCCAGACGAACCGGACATCCTGGACCCAAAAACCGGACGCCTGATGGGGCTGGCAGTGACCCGAGCCTTTGGCGACCATCGCTGGAAATGGGACAACGAGTTCGTCAAAATGGTGCAAGCCAAGTTCTGGGGCTCGTCGCCCCGCCCGCAGTCCAAAACAGCGCCATACATGACCGCGGAGCCCGAAGTCACAGAGACAGACATCGTGCGCCATTCGTCCGGGAAGGGGAAAAGTGATTTCATGATTATGGCTAGCGACGGGCTCTGGGACAGAATCAGTTCCGAGCACGCAGTCGAGTGTGTGGAGCGCTGGCTCGAGGCACGTGATCGCGGGCACGGCGAGGTGAAGAACGATCCTCGCCTCCAGCTTACTGCGCAGCAATTCGAGAACCCGATGGTTGAGGATTCGGGCTTTACTTACAACGCTGAGACAGGCGAACAGGTTGAGTGGAAAGCGACGCCCGAGTACTTTGCCATCGAAGACGAGAATGCAGCTGTCTGCCTTGCTAGAAATGCAATGGGTGGAACGAGGAGGGCTCTGTTCATGGGCGTACTCAACGCGCCGCCGCCGATGGGACGGTATGCTGTCGATGATACAACAATTATGGTGGTCTTCTTTGACAAGTTGGATGAGCAGACGGCGGGGAAGCAAGCCGCGTCCAAGGCCGGGATGGGCGAGAAAAAGAGTTGGTGGAAGCCATGGTGATTTGCCACAGAATCCGAATGTTGGCATAGGCTGGCAGGCAGCATACCAACTGGTAGTCACGATTGGTAGATAGCAAGGGACACTTATTTACGCAACATGCAGTTAACATCGAGCACTGCGATCGATCTAAGTGTGCTCTTCCCGTGCAAGAAATGACAAGAGACTGAAGTTGTAGGATCTCCATGTCCCGCTGGCAACTTTGTTTGCTCGATGCTGAACTTGCAGCAGAAAAGTGTAGGGATACTCTCTAGTCAGGCTGTTTTGACTGGCTACAAAGCGCTGAATATGAGCTCGCAACAGATTCGCGTGCAAGCGCCAGATGCTGTCCATGGATTCCACATGATGTCGTGAGCAGAGAGCGCTGTACTCGGTGTGCCAGCTGGCGGCTCATGCGAGTCGAGGTGACCTTCAGTTCGTAATAAGACGTACTGCGCTTTCTTTCTCACGTTCAAAAGTGCTTGCGTCTGTACCGACTGGCTCGTCCGAGAGCACCCGCCTTGCCTCCCTTAATATCAATGGGTCAAGTCAAATACACAGGGATACGGGTGAGCAAGGCGCTTTTGGAGAGCGCCGCGTGCTCGAGCGACAACCAAAGGCGAACGCGTCGGCGCACATGTTCAAGGAGGACCGGTTCGTGGAGAGAGCGGCGTGCGTCGTCATGTTGTGGAGGGCGAAGATTGGAGAGGAGGATGTTGAAGCATATTTCAATGACTCGGTCAAAAAGGGAGAGTGGCAGTTCAGAGTGGTGGCGGAGAAGATGGGGAAGCTGGAGAAGAGGCTGAAGAGGTGTGTCCTGGCCTGCGAGTTTCAAACAACGTCAACGGCTCCCTTTCAAATCTCCAGCCCGCTTAGGGTGCTTGTAACGATTTCGTGGAGCAAGATAGCGGTGACAATGTCTGAGTGTGCCTGCAGGCGTGATGGTTGTGCAACGGGGGCTTGCCGCCACATTGGGCCTGTTGATTGCTGGTGCGGCATCTCTGAGTTTTCACGAGCGACACGGTTGCGGTGGCAGGGAAGTCGTGTGTGGAGATGACGCGGCGGTCAGATTGGTTCGCTGGTGAAGCCAACAACACAAATCCAAATCACCGACTCCCGAGGTTCGGAACGGTTGCGGCCAAGAGGCAGGGCTTGGTGTGTGGAAAAGGATCCAGCTTTTCAAGTCACGGAGCCAGTTATGGAGCCACTAATCGCAGGCTCGTCATCCATGGCGAGAGGCGTGGAGAGGGGCAGGAACGGCCGAGCTCGATGGGCGTGAGTTGACCATCAACGGCCTCCGGCATGACAAGATCATCGGCTGCAGCGATGTTTTGGGTGGCAGGCAGCAGCAATGCGACGGGCGATGAGGACATAATGTGCAGCTGCAGGAAACACGTAGGCTAGGGAGCGTGCATGGAGAGTGCAGCGTGCGTTGTTTCGTGTTCGTCCAAAATTGACGTTCATCATCCGCCGCTTCCAAACTCTAGCTGAAAAGAGGGCGATAAAAGGATGGCCGTGGAATGCAGGAAACGCAAGCGATGACACGGACCCCTTTATCAGCAGAACGCCAACAGCACCGCAGGCACACACGGCCACGAGATGCAACGCAGAAAGATGCAAATAATTGAAGATGTTGCCCGCCATGATGAGATGCTGCGAGAAGGCGAGGCGTGACTACCCCATGCGGCCTAGCGTGCGTGATGTACTGTTCCCCAGGGCTCACAGATCTGTGACCTCCCTCTACGCGTGCCGCCGGGTGTCTTCCCAAACGATGCCGCGCCATATGGACACCAGCTTTTCAAGGGGCGCCACGGCCGCGCTGCTCCGGCCAGCACCAGCCAGCACCACCGCCCATCTCCCCTCTGCGCCCCCATCCCCATCGCCTGCATCCTCATCGCCGCCGATTTGCATCACTGCCACCACATAGGCAAAGGCCCTGCAAGCACTCGGCCACACACCGCCGCACTGCACGCGTACCAGCCCACCCCAGAGCCCGCTGACTGCAATATTGCCCGCGCCCGCAAAACTGCGCTTGCCACCAGTCCTTCTGTCCTCATCACCGCCGTCTGCACCATCGCCAACGCCATCGCGGCACCACGTCGCCGGCCCCAGCCTGCCAGCGAAAATGTCTCCCAAGCCGGCAAAGAGCCTGACTGCCGTCCTGAAGCTTTCGCCCAAGATGCTGGCGCAGTTTCCCCACGAGGCGCCCGCTCAGCCGTCGCCGGCCTCGAAGCCAGCATCGACGCCCGAAGCCTCGCCTGCGCCCATGGTGGCCGACTCCACTGCCGACTCTAATGCCGCCGACACGCCTGTTGCCATGAACGGACCAAGCACGCCGTCATCACTCGCACCGCCCGCGCCTGGCAGCAAGCGCAAGGTCCCCGCACCGAAGGCTGGCACGAAGCGCGGCGCTGCTGCCATCGACGGCGCCAGCACATCAAGGGCGCGTGGCAAGCCTGGACCCAAGAAGCGCAAGCTGTATGTCGCACCTTTGATCCGCACGTCAAGATTCAGCATGCTAACGCTCAACAGCGGTGATGAGATCAACGACCCCAACATCAAGACACCCTTTGCCGGTCCCAACCCTCTCCAGAAACTTGGCCCCAAGGCCAACCAGGGTGCCATCAACGCCGGCCTGCGCGCCCTCGACCGCACGGGCAAGTTCAAGTGCCGCAAGTGGGAGAAGAAGGGCTTCAAGCTTCGCAGTTTCACCGGCGTCGTTTGGAATGTGCCGTCCTGGAAGGCCCCCAACCGCAGCTCCGCCTTCTCAGAAGATGTCAAGAGCGACACGACCGGCTCCAGCGACACCAAAGTCAAAGACGAAAGCAGTGCTCTCAGCGAGAAGAGCGGACTCGACGGCGACGCCTCCACACCCCTGGCGCCGCTCATGGAGGGCCTCAACAGCTCGCCAGCCCCTGTGCCTGCTGCATAGTACCTAGCTCTCGACCGTTTCTATCCTCATGGTCATTCTTTTTTGCATATGTTTTAGCATGTCTGGCGTTCAAAGAGCGCATTGTGGGTATACCAAAAGGGAGTCTCGATCAACGGCGTTTGGATATGGCACAGGGAGACTGTCTTGCACATGCGGCGCGTGACGTGCTTGACTACAGGTCTGGCGTGCCAAGGATATACCACGCATTTATCGTGCGTCCGCTGGGAAGGGCTATGATTTGTATAGTAATACCACATATCACGATCAAACGCATCATTGCCAAAGTACCATTTGTCCCCTGACCACATTGCCGTGACTTGTGATGCATGGGGGGTGCGCTATCGATCCCCCGCGGTAGAGCTATCACCTTGCCGAGAGTACCCCCAACCCTCACTCCGCGCCAGCACCTTGGACGACCAGCTCTCAGGCCCACGTTTCTGCTTGTTTCGGTCCGTAGTATGTATGCGTTTGCGATCGCACATTGCCGGTGATTCGGCCGTTTCTGCGTCTGGCCTACTCCACGGCGTGCCATACGCCGCACCTCGCCCACGACACCACTCTCCACACTCCCCCACATCTTGTGTTTGCACGCGCAACACCGCCCGTTCGCCCTCCTGAGGGCTCCGTCGATCGCGCTTTCATCCAAACGAAGCTCGTGCCGCAAAGTATTTGGTCGCAACGGCTACTGCGCCTGCTCTTCAACACGGCACAACCGTTGCCTATCGTCTACGGGCTCTGGCGGCGCCACAACGACGCAATGCGGAGAAGTAGCTACGCAGCAGCTCTAGCTGGCAACACAGGTATTAGCCCTGCAAACGCCGCGCCTACCCGCTCCGGAGCTTTCTCGCATCTCGTCAACAGCTCGACACCTCACACGATAAGCCAGCACCGCCAGTCGCGCTCCATCGACGCCGACGGTCACCCCAACAGCATGTCGACTAGTTGGGGGAGAGGTGGTGCACTTCCGTCGTATTCGAGCCAGACCGGCCACTGGCAAGGATTGGGAGGGGGAGCCCAGGACGTCCCGCCGTTCTTTGTACCATCGTACCTGCGCGGTTCGAAGCACGCTGAGAAGCTGCAGGAGGCACACAAAGCGAAGTTGGCGGCGCAGCGCGAATTCAGGTCAACGCAGTCTTCGAACGCTGGCTCGTTATCGACAAGTTCGAGCAGCGTCAACCTTCACACTCACAAGCTGGCCGGCTCGCACCGGGGGCTGACACATGAGGTCATCGAACGAGCGCCTGTCTTTGTCGACGAGCCGGCCTCGCCCTGGCCGACCAAGTGGAACGAGAACGACAAGTTTGCGCAGCTCGATATTGAGCATGAAGGCAGGCAGGCCAAGTTCTCTGGGTCGCAGAAGACCCACGACGAGGCGGCGTCGGTGCGTGCAGACTGTCCTATGCCGCGGCAGTGTGGCATATACTACTATGAGGTGACCGTTGTATCCAAGGGAAAGGACGGGTATGTCCCTTGTGCAAGTCGAGGAACATGTTCACTAACAAGCACTCAGGCGTATGATTGGCGTCGGGTTCTCAGGACCCAAAGTTGCTCTGACTAGGATACCAGGGTGGGAGCCGGACTCCTTTGCATACCACGGCGATGATGGGCAGATCTTCAACAACACAACGTCAGGGAAGAACTATGGACCCAAGTTCGGCACGCTCGATGTGATCGGGTGTGGCATCAACTTCCGCACAAATACAGCGTTCTTCACTAAAAACGGCCACATGCTGGGTAGGGGCGCTCGTACCTTTGCTGGAGTACTCTACTGACCACCACAGGAACTGCTTTCCGAGACCTCAAGGCGAACATGCCGTACTATCCTACGATTGGTGTGAAGAAGTCTGGCGAGACATTACGTGCGAATTTCGGCCAGGAGCCCTTTGCGTTCGATATCGACAAGATGGTACAAGACGAGAAGGCCGCCATCCAGAAAGAAATCAACCTGACAAAGTTCGTGCCCAGCGCTGCGTCCGCTCCTGAGGAAACTCAGTTCATACACCGACTGATCAGTCAGTACTTGGCACATGATGGATACGTTGAGACTGCACAAGCATTTGCGGAAGAAATCGTTGATGGGGCACGCGCACTTGCCAACGATGATGATGCAACCATACCGTACCAAGAAGCCGTCGAGGATGTGGATGCACTGAATCGTCAAAGTACGATCCCCTCAGCCTTAATTTACCAATGCTGACCCTGCTAGAAATACGCGCAGCCATCCTCGAGGGCGACATCGACAAAGCGCTCAAGCACACCCAAGCATACTACCCCTCCGTCCTCCGCGATAACGAGAACATCTACTTCAAACTACGGTGCCGGAAGTTCATCGAGATGATCCGCGACTGCAACGAGCTCACCACACAATGCCAGTCCACACGCAAGTCCAAGCACCCTGCCTCGAATGCCAACAAGCGAAATTCGACCGCGACGGACGAGTACGATTTCCAGATGGAGCTTGACGAGCAGTTCGGGGTCAACGATCCCACGCCCAGCCTCGACTATCTCGATGATGACGATCTGGTGGACAAGCAGGCTACACTGCAGCAACTGACCGCCAGTACGATTGCATACGGCCAGGAGCTCGGCGCGGAATTCGCCAACGATCCGAGGAGAGAAGTCAAGCAAGCGCTCAGGGATACGTTCGCGCTGATTGCGTACGAGAATGCGAAGGAGAGCAGTCTCGCGCCGCTGCTGGAGGTCGACGGACGGACCCCGGTGGCTGAGGAGCTGAACAGCGCTATCCTAGGTATGTGTTGCGACACTGAACGTGACATCAGGAGTCCTACTAACACCCCGACAGTGAGTCTCGGCAAGTGCAGCTCGGCAGCCATGGAGCGGCTCGTGCAGCAGACGGAAGCGCTCGTGGGCGAGCTCGCCGAGGACGGCGGGCCCGGTGCATTCGTCAACGTCCGCAGGGACTTTCTGCAGTAGGGTGGAAGACGTCGGCGGGCAAGATGCGTCGCCTGGATGTGGAGGAAGAGGGGCGTTTGACGAGGATGGGCGGTGAGCAGTGCATTTGCATACGGGTTGGGCGTTCACGGGCGTCATGAGCTGTGTCGGGGTTCTGGGAGGTGTTTGGGTTGGAATCGTGCTGTATTGTAGATGGCTTGGAAGGCGCGGCGCCGCTATACTCAACTCCAGGTTATTGATATCGCGCGCTCGACACTGTCTGTGCATACGTGTCTATGTGAGGGCTGCTGCGCCATGCTTTTGCATTCATACATCTATATGCACCGTACATCTATGTGCACCGTACATTTATGTGCACCGTACATCTATGTGCACCGTACATTTATATGCACCGTACATCTATGTGCATCGTACATCTATGTGCATCGTACACCTATACGCATCGTACATGTGCATGCCCAACGCCCGCTATGCAAGACCGTAATCACAATGCAACCCTGCTCGTTCAAACGCAGGCTTACCCAGCCAAGCAGCGCACTCACTGCACCGAATCACGCTGCCCAAACGCCTCGCCCTGCAGCACCGCCTCGCCTGGCCCGGCGCCAACCTTGCCCTCGGCCATGTCCGCACCGCCCGCCCCGTCCCCGACACAAACCCACCCCCTTACTCTATCCTTGCGCGTGCTCAGAATCGCATCGTCGTTGGGAATAGCCTTGTCGAGCTCGACGCCCTCGAACTCCAGATCCGCAGCGGACGTGTTGCCAACCTCGACGCGCGCGTCGCGCAGCAGCTGCAGGATAGCGCGCGTGTTAAGCCGCAGAACGCGCTCTGGCTCGCGGGCGCCGAACACGCGGGCCGTGGCCCAGGGGAACAGGATGCCAAAGTCGGACTGCGAGAGGTGCGCGCTCGCGACGGGGTAGAAGACGTGCGGCCCCTGTGCCGACGGGGGTGCGTTGGGGGGACGCCCGAGAATGCGCTGCGTTTCGAGCTTGTTGCTGTGCCATTTGAAGAAACCTTCGGATAGGATGGCGAGCGTCTTCGTCCCGCCGGGCCCGCCGGACGTGTAGCACGGCATTGGCTTGGAGCGCAGCCAGGCGGTGGAGGGCGATTGGATGGGCAGCGTCCACAGGTCGAGGAGGATGGTGGGTGTGGCGGCTGTGATCTGGGCCTTGAGGGACGACGTGGGCCGCGGGCTGAAGAGCGGTTTGTAGCTCGCTGGCGCCGGGGGGGCGCCGGGGGGGCTGTGGAAGACGGATTTGACGAGCTGGACGGTTGTGGCGGCGCCGAACGAGTGGCCGGCGAAGCTGATGGAGCCCGGCTCGTGGACGGCGAGGAGGTGCGCAAACTGCGTCAGCGTGTCTTTGCCGCGACTGCTCCGTGCGTCGTCGGCGACGTTGCGCAGCCGTGTCCGCGTGTCCATCTTCAGCAGCGCGGCGTGGACCAGGCCCATCTCCCAGAGGCGGATGCGCAGCTGCTCGTCGCGCGCGGCGTACACGTCGGGCGAGGGCTTGTGGTCGATGCGCCGGTAGTGTACGCGCTGCGTCTTCTCTTTCGAGTCGGGCGTGTGGACAAAGTTTATGGGCGAGCTGCCGTCGCGGTGGTCCGGGGCGACGACGACGATGCCGTGGCTGGCGAGCGAGCCGCAGATGTGCGAGTATGCGTTTCGACTCCCGCCGAGGCCGTGCGAGAAGAGCATGACGGGCCAGCGCTTGGAGGCGGTGTTGGGCTCGAGGATGTCGGCGTTGGCGTGCACGGGGATCGAGGTGAACTGGAGAAACTGGGGAACCAGGCTGTCGTTGTTAGTGTGGGAGACGTGTGGTTCTCGCACGATGGGGAGCTCACGAGAAGACGCCGGCAAAGGCGCTGTTTGCGCCCAGGAACCGCGCGTAGGCTGCAATGTACTCGCGCTGCGGAGTCGGAATCCACCGCACCGCCTTCTGCTCGCTGTCCGGTCTGCACGGGTAGAAGACTCTGAACGCTACTGTGGCTAGGTCGGCAGGCGGCGCATCGTCGCTGGGGTTCTCCAGCTCGCTGGCTGGAATCTCCACGTCTATCGAGCCCACTTTGTGCGGTCCGGTGTAGGCGGGGAAGGCTGGAGTAGGGTTGATGTTCTTGAGCCACGTCATGTTCGCGCCCTTGAGCGGCAGAGAGGACGGTGCGGCAGACCGGAGCGATTGGAGGACTCGTGTGAGCGACAGTTTGTTGTGTGTGTAGTTGCGTCTTTGGGTGTGTAGTTGTGTATTTGGGTGTATAGTTGTGTATTTGGGTGTGTAGTTGCGTCTTTGGGTGTGTGGTTGCGTCTTTGGGTGTGTAGTTGCGTCTTTGGGTGTGTAGTTGCGTCTTTGGGTGTATAGTTGCGTCTTTGGGTGTGTGGTTGCGTCTTTGGGTGTGAAGTTGCGTCTTTGGGTGTGTGGTTGCGTCCTTGGGTGTAAAGTTGCGTCTTTGGGTGTATAGTTGCGTCTTTGGGTGTGTGGTTGCGTCTTTGGGTGTGTGGTTGCGTCTTTGGGTGTGTGGTTGCGTCCTTGGGTGGGTGGCTGCGTCCTTGGGTGTGTGGCTGCGTCCTTGGGTATATGATTCGAGGGCTTTGGGAGAGAATCGCTGAAAAGAAGACGACTGAACAAGTAGAGAAGCGGCCAAAATCGAAGAGAAAAGCGGCGAAAATCAAAGAGAGAAGACAAGAGGCGCATGCATCTAGAGTCTAGACAGAAGAAAATACACGTACGCCGCGGTGGCGTCAAATGGCCGAGGCATTCGCGGTTTCAACGGCGGCCGGGATGATCGAGGCCCGGTGGGTCTGGCGTGCATCATCTCTTCGATTCATTCATTACAGATTTTCTACGGTACCGTGTGCGAGTCGAGGCTGATTGAGCTGCCACGCTGTGTCGCGTGCTCAGGGACCCTGACAGCCGGATCATGGATCATGGATCATGGATCATGGATCATGGATGCCGGGGATGACGTATCGATAGCGCACGCTAGGCTCGGTCCGGCAGGCTGGCACGTGCATGGTGGAAGAATATACAGCAAAAGGTCACGCCCAACGCGCACGGTCGGCAGAGTACAAAGTATACAGGAGAACGTCACGCAGAACGCGCATGTCGGAGAATATACATTAGAAGAGACAAAACTCGCAGGGCTAGCAACAACCGCGTCCCCTTTTCGTGCCGCCGCTCAGCCTGAAGACGTCCTCCCACTCTGCGCGGGGCTTCTTCTTGCCGCCCCTCCACCGCACGGAGCCGCTGGGGTGTCCGCTCGTGATGCTGCTGGCGCCGTCGTCCCAGGCCAGGTCGCCGTACTGGATGCCGCTCTGGGGGTCGTCCGGGTCGATCTCGCCGAGCTCGATCTTGGCCAGGATGATGCGCGCCAGGCGGCCGAACAGCTCCTCGACGTTCTCGCCGCTCAGGGCCGAGACCTCGACGGCGACGGGGATGCCGTTCGCGCTGGCCCAGCGCGAGGCGGCTTCCTGCGAGACCTCTCTGCCCTCCGGGGCGAGGGTGTAGTGGTTGTTCAGATTGTAGTGCAGCGACGACTGGCTCGAGGGCGTGGGCGGCGACAGGCCGTAGTCGGAGCTCGGGGTGCTGGCGTAGCTGTAGCCGGCGGTCGGGGTGCTGGCATAGCTGTCGCCGGCGGTTGGGCTGTAGTGGCTGTTTGGGTCCACGACGTCGCTCTTGTTCCCCGCCAGGATGATGGTGATGTCGGGCCCCGCCAGCGCGCGGGCGTCGTTCAGGAACGTCTGCAGCTGCTCGAAGCTGCGCCAGCTGCTGACGTCGTACACCAGAATGGCGCCCGCCGCGCCGCGGTAGTAGGAGCGGCTGACGGAGCGGAAGCGCTCAGTGCCCGCCGTATCCCACAGCTGCAGCTTGACGCGCTTGCGCTTCGAGGGCGCCGACGACTTGCGGTCGGCAATATGCACCGTCTTGGAGGCGAACTCGACGCCGATCGTCTGCGACGAGAGCACGCGCCACTCGTCGCGCACGAAGCGGTGCAGGAGGCAGGACCTGCGTGGCTGTGAGCATGCCGCCCGGCGACCAAGGGCGGTTGGGATGCACCGACTTTCCGGCGCCGCTGGGCCCAAGCAGCACCGTCTTCGCGAGGTAGTCGTACATGCTGCCCAGCTCTTGCGTCGTCGTCTCGCCGCTGCGCGTCGACGCCATGGACGTCGCCCGCTTCCTGCCCATCCTGCCCGAGTGCTGTGACCCAAGTGCTGTGGCGTGCGGCCGCGTTATTGTCTACCTACTTTTGTGTTGTGCTGCTGCGCTTATCTGTGACGCCAGCGCACCGCCGCGATTGTTTGCTCTCGAGCAGCACCTGGCCAATCACACGCCCCCGCATTGCACTAGCGTCTGGCAACAGCGGCCTTGTCATCAACCACCATCCGGCATCCGCACCAGCACCGGCATCCGCGCCGGCATCCGCACCAGCACCGGCATCAAGCTCCTGCGACATGGCCCCAGAACAACCACCCAAGCCAAAAGAGCCCCTCCTAACGTCAAAATGGCTGCTGGACGCCGCCGCTAGGAAGCGCTCGGGCATGCCCTCGGCGCCGTCCAAAGCTCTGCTGAACTCCATCCAGCACGCACGTGACCACCCCCACGAAGTAGCACAGAGGCTGCGAGAAGATGCTCTCAGGTCTGGGAGGGATCCAAACGCACTGGCGAACTGGATGACCGAGGTGAGTAAGAGCAACGTACAGGCTCGACTGGCGCAGAGGCCCAAGCAAGCCCTGATGCCAGTCTCTCCAGATGAGCTGGGAAGCGCAACCGAGCGTGTAGAGACGCCTAGTCCTGCTCCTGTATCTCCATCAGCTACACCGAGCATCGAGCCTTCAATCCTCTCCTCGCTACGCGCAAAGGGTCAGATCAAGAAACCGACGCAGGCCAAAAAGCGAGACGGTAGGCGAAAGCCGGCCAAGACTGCAAGGTCAAGCAGTGCCAGCGGCACAGCATCGCCCATAGACATTGACAGCCCTCGGCCTGTGCCAGAGTCTTCGGCGTCGGGTGCTGTACGCGAGTCCCTGCATGCAGTTTCACGTACGCTCGCAATTCCTCTCCCAGCAACCACTCAACCAGGTGGCAACACTTACCAGTTTCCTCCTCGAACAAGCATGCCAACATGGTATCTGGCAGTGACCAAGCAAAGCCTAGACCTGCTCGAGCGGAGGCGGCCGCAGGAGCTTGCCGCTATCGACGCACTGAAAGCCTGCATCACGCGTTGCATACAAGAGAAGTCGAAAGCCAAGCTCGCCAAAGAGTACGACCATCTGCGCGACCACGTGCACAAGGCTGAGAGTAGTCTGAACATGGACAAGGTAAAGATAAAGAAGACACGCGTTTTGACCGAGGCAGGTTTACCCCGTATATTCGACGAGCATGCCAGCTTTCCCTGGGATCTCAAAGCGGATGCGTGGCATCTGTACGAAAAGTGGATGAATGAAGATTTCGACCGTGACATCCTCCGCGGCGTCGTGACCGTCAAGGGCAAAGGCCGCAACGGAGATCGACTCGACCATGCATACAGAGCGCAACACCCGAGGGGCCCAAAGCAGTTCGGCGATAACGGCGCTGTGCTCGGCCAGTGGTGGCCTTCGCAGCTATGCGCCGTGCGTGACGGCGTACACGGCGCAGCCCAAGGAGGCATATACGGTGACAAAGAGCAGGGCGCATACAGCATCATCCTCTCGAGCGGTGGATACCATGACAAAGACGATGGTGACACCATCGAGTACAGCGGTACTGAAGGCAGCAATTTCCAGATCAAGGCTGCGACTCAGTCGATGATCACCAGCGCAAAGCTCGGCAACCACATCCGTGTCCTGCGCTCGTCTCAGCTGCCCACGTCCAACAAATACCGCCCGCAAGTCGGCCTACGATACGATGGTCTTTACCAGATCAAGTCTTACAAAGAGATCAACCTCGAGAAGCAGGACCATCTCTTCCGTCTCGAGAGGATCCCTGGACAACAGCCCATCCGATCAGAGGGCCCTGCAAAGCGGCCCACATTGTTCGAAGTACAGGAGTATGACAGGTGCAAGGGAAGAATCTGATCGTGGAAAAGTGTCATGCGACCGAATGACGTGCAAAGGACCATGTGCTGAGGGCCTCCAGGTTAGGGTGCTACTCGGTCCTGTTCGGTGTCCGGAGTTTTGATTGTGATGGCGGTTTTGGATGAGGAAATGACGATACCCGTGGCGGCTTTGGCCTTCTCCCTGTTGCCAGCAGCGAGGAGGATGGTGTTGGAGGGGCGTTTGTAATACAGAATTCACGGGCCAGGCAAGGGCATCTCACGTCGACTCCTCTCGACAACGGTCCGTCACGACACAAATGAAATGAGTATCAGCTACTCGGTCCCTCAACAAATATATCACTGACTACTGCTAATGTTTCACGGCTTGACAGAGGATCACTGCAAGCCCTCGCAGGCCTGCCGGCGCAAGGGGCATGTCATCGGTAAGCAATGCCGAACTCTACTTCGACGACCAGCTGACCTCGCCTTGACACTCTAGACCCCTTTCAACACGTCGGATCACGCTTTCAAGACTCTCCATAACGATACTGCCCGGCCACCTCGTTATCTCCTGCCACGATAGCTCCCGACATGTGACGAGCGTGAATTTGGAACGTGGAATGCTCGGACGCTATTCTTCCATCTTGCACTCCGGAATGCAAACATCGCGTCAATTGTCGCACAATGTGCGAAACCCTCCCTGGAAACCCCCCAATGAGATTTCAGTGATCCTCGCGTCAGTCATGCAATTTTCACTTGCCGGTTTGAAGTGCACCTGCATGGACCGCCGAGGTCACACATTCCTCCCTTGCCCATCCATGTTCACGCGTTCGCCACTCCCTTACCTACACCACATATATACCACTCTCTGAACTCGGTAGTAGCTTCTTCATTGTCTTGAACTCTCACCACTTGTCACTCTTTACCACGCTTATCAGCGTCCGGAGCAATCATGTCTCCCACCAGCTCTCGAGCAGCCATTCGTTTTGTTGTTGCGCTTTTCCTCGCGCAGACCTTTGTCAACGCAGTCGCCGTCCCCCATCCTCACATCCACAAGGTCCTCGACCCTCGCCAAGTGGTTTCCCTCCCGTTTGTGGAGCGCCAGGAGCCAGCAGAGCCCGAGTCCAAGAATGTCTTCGATGCCATCGTCGAGACGCTGAAGGGCTACAACGGATGGCAGGTCTTCCAGGACTTCTTCAGGAAGCTCTTCAGCGGAGACCCGCCTCCTGCTGAGAACGACGATGACAGCGGCGAAGCACCATCCGTTTCTGTCTCCCTCGCCCCGGTCCCAGTGGCCTCCGAATCCCCCGTCGACGTGATCAGTGTCATTGCGAGCATCATCAGCGAAGTTGAGAGCGTCACCGAGCCCGTCGTGATTGTCCCTACCCCTACAGAGGCCGAGACCAGCACTACCGACGGAATAATGTCTATTCTGCCCATCTTCCCCATCACCACTGCCATTGATCTCTCCGGTGCCCTGGAGACCGTCGTCCCTACTGAGTTCCTCTCCGAGCTTCCTGAGCCGACTGAGGTCCCAGAAGTGACTGATCCGGTCGTCATCGTTGTCCCAGGTGCTAACTCGACTGACGTAGTCGTTGTTCTGCCCACTGACGTCGTCGCCCCTATCGGAACTGCTCCTCTCGTCACTGGCCCAGTTGTGGTTTTGCCCACTGCTACAGACGCCCCCTTCCCTATCGAGAACGGCACTCTTGTTGCTCCTATCCCCGGCACCGACGTCCCCGTTGTTATCGTCCTCCCGACTGGTGTCCTTCCTTCCGAGATCTCGGCTCCCGTCGAGGCTAACGTCTCTGCTTCTGCTGTCATCGACGCCACTGTCAGCCTGACCACCACCGTTGGCGTTACTATCACTGCTATTGCACCTATCGGTACTGGTGCCCTCCCTTCAGCTGGTACTGGTCTGCCCATTACAATTTCCGAGGTTGGAGCTCCCTTCGCCAACGCAACTGTCATCACCCCTACTCTTGTCCTTGTCACTGGAACCGGCGACGTCGTGGGTACGATTGCTCCTTCCGTCTCAATTGAGCCCATCGGCGCGCCTTTCGCCAACTCTTCTGATGCTGCCACCGCTGTCGCTTCTGTTGGCACCGCTCCCGTCGTTATAATCGGCACTGGCGCGATCAGCGGTACCGCAGTTGTCTCGATTGAGCCCGTTGAGACAATCATCCTGAGCACCGGGACCGGCATCGTTGGTACCGGCGAGTCCACCGCTGTTGCACCCATCGACACTGCTGTTCCCTTCCCCAACACTACAGCTATCGAGGTTGTCATCTCGCCTACTTTCGTTCTCCCTTCTGGAACTGCTCCCGTCGTAGGCACAATCAGCGCCGCACCAATCGTCAGCGATGCCTCTGATGCTCTCTACGCCAACACGACCACGACCACAGTCACCAACATCGTGACTCCCTCCGCCATCCTCGCCACTGGTATCGAGACCGCCGTCGCCCCCATCGGCACAGGTCTGCCCGGCACCATCGTCGTCGTCCCCGGCCCAGGAAGCACCGACGATGCATACTTCCCCAACATCACCATCACCATCAACGCAACGGCCGACGCCACGCTCTCCGTCGAGCTCCCCCTCGCCACCGCGCTGCCCGTCGAGACAACGCTCCCGCTCAACATCACGCTCGCGCCCATCGCGCCCGTTGAGACCGAGTTCCCCGCCTCGCCCATCGAGACCATGACAGCCGTCGGTCCTGTCATCGACGAGCCTATCCCTTCAGACGCGCCCGTCGTCGAGTTCCCGGGTGAGCTTACTCCCGTCCCCCTCCCCTCGCCCATTGCAGAGCCTGTCTTCAATGTGCCTGCCGTCCCCCTTCCCTCGCCCATCGATGTTACTTTCCCTGAGGGCTCTCCTGTCGCCCTCCCCTCGCCCATCGCAGAGCCTGTCTTCGATGTGCCTGCCGTCCCCCTTCCCTCGCCCATCGATGTCACTTTCCCTGAGAGTTCTCCTGTCGCCCTCCCGGCGCCCATCGGCGAGCCAGAATTTCCCGTCGACGTCACTCCCGTCCCCCTCCCCTCCCCTATCGACGTAACATTTCCCCCCGTCGAGCCCGTAGAGGAGCCGAGCACTACCTTGGTCGTCCCCGTTCCCGCTCTGACGCTCGACACCTCGCCCGTGGCTGAGGAGTCGGCGCCAGCTTCAGCAGACGCCACTCTCGCCCCTCTTATCCCTCTCATTCCCGTCCCCGCCCCCGAAGCATCGCCTATTGAAGCGTCCGCGTCCGTCGAGTCGTCCGCAGAAGCAACGGTCGCCCCCGTCATCCCCGTCGCAGCACCGGCCGAGGCATCCACGTCCGCCGAGAACTCTGCCGCAGCGTCTGCCGCAGCCGAAGTCACGGTTCTGCCTGTCGTCCCTGTTGCGCCGGTCGAAGCACCGTCCGTCACCGCACCTACGACGCTCGCGGTCGTGCCTGTCGCTTCGGTTGTGCCTGCTGCCCCGACGGTCGCCCCTGCTGCGCCTGTCGTCCCTACTACACCTGGCCGCCCGGAGACACCTGGCCGCCCGGCTGCACCTGGCCGCCCGGCTAGTGCACCTATTCGCCCGGCCGCACCTGGCCGCCCGGCTGCGCCTTTCATCCCCACCTTCCCTCTGCCCGTCGTGCAGCCTGCGGTCCAGCCGGCGATCCTGCCCGGTCGCTTTGCGGCCAGACCTCCTCAGTGAGACCGCTGAGCCCGTCTGACGCCTGCGCTCCTTTGAACCGTGTCTCCTTCTTTGCTCGGAGTTACCACGGGTGCGCGCATAATGTTTAGTCTTTTTCCGTCAGACTGAGAGAGAACATGGTCTATCCGCTACGCGATGCTGCGCGATGCTACGGGATACATAGCTAAGCTCGTTCGCACGCCTTCTTCAATCAAGTCATTACAGACAAAACGTTGTGTGCGCGCCTGTGGTGACCCAGCATGGACTTTGGCTCTTTTCTCCTCGCTGCGATCTTCTCTTGAGCCCTTCGTTTTCTCGACCACCATCGTTCTTCGATTTCTCACCCCCACGCTTCTCCTCAGTCCGCTGCATTTCCCACGCTCGCCACGCTCACATCACACCACCCACCTCTCACGCCAGAACCCCAAAGACTAACTTGCTCCAGGCCTCCTCGCCCTGCGCGGCATCTGCCGCGACCCCAGCGTCCGCCAAATCACCCTGCCCATCCTAAACCGCTTCTACGGCCCCAGCGCGTACCCCTCGCTGCTCGCATTCCCCGGCTGCCACGCCCCAAACAGCCGCCAAACGATCCAGGCCCCGGGGCTGCTGAACTGCACCGCACTGGGCGCAGAAGTGAAAGCGTGCCAAGCCAGTCGCCGCCGCGTGCTGCTCAGCGTCAAGGGCGACGGCCTGGGCGCCGTCGCGGGAAACCAGAACTTCGGCGACCCGAGCGCCGATGCTGCGCCCTGGGGTGGGTATTTCGCCAACGGCAGCGCGCCTGCGGCGGGTGTGTTCTTTCCGAATCTGTTCGATACGCGACACGTGCCCAGCGCGTTTGCGCTCACGCTCTTCAGCTTGTTTGGCGAGGGCCGCACCGAGCGCGCCGACCTCAGGCCCCTGGGTCCCGACACGCCATCTGAAGACGGGATCACATGGGTTACCAAGCCGCTGGGCGAGGAGGTTGTTGTCGACGGGTTTGATGTGCAGGTCCCGCGGGAGTGGCAGGGGACGTATCAGGAGGGCCAGTTTAACGACCTTGTTACCAGGCTGGGGGAACTTAATGATGAGGCGTGGGTGCAGAGTGGGGCCAAGAGGGGTGGGCCAGGTGATCTGGGCGTTGCTGGCAAGAGTGTTGTGTTTCAGGGATGGAATCGCAAGAGGAGTGTGCAGAGGGTGGTGATGGTGGGTGGATTTGAGGTTCTTGTTGAGTAAGGGGGAAGAAGGAGATGTCCCTGTGTCGGGTTGTGAGAGGATACGCCGAACGAAGAAAGAGAGGAGAGATAATGTGTGAGGGGGGATGAGGTTGTTGGGTTCGGACGACCATACTTGACGACTGTGGATGGACAGAACTTAGCTTTGAACGATAGCAATGTACTCGGTGTTGTCGGAGCTTCGCTGTACGCGCAACTTATTTCTTGATCACTTGCACTCAGCTGAAGCTTTCGTAGCCAGCTGAGTCGAAGCATTCTCCTGCAGAGGCTTCGCGACCTCAAGAGCTCCGCCAACATGTCGAAGGCGAGCATCAGAGCCTGGAGGTCTACAGGACAGTGATCGCTTCTGTGACCTGGCCGTGAAGTCAATAGTCTGATGAGGGAAGTGGGGATTATTTCCACGCTTGTGTCGATGGCGTGGCCTGCAAAGTCATTTGGATCCGCTGGATATCTCCAGGAACCCGTTACCGACTTCAAGGAAAGAGTTGTGATGGAATCCGCGGCCATCGGTTGCATTCTCGGAGCAACGCTCGCACTCGGCTCTTTGCCGGGGAGACGGTGTTGCGGCCTACCTGCCATGCGCCGCTCACCGATAATATTCTGTGGACAGGTCCAGTGCTCTGTGCAATACCACTATTAATCGAAAAAGGAAGACTATGACGTCGTACGACGATAATGGCTGCGGTCTCGGCCTAGTAGTCAAGAGAACTTGCGTTTCGGATAGAATAGAAGGGCCCTTGAAACTTTGCCCACCGACGTCAAGTACCATTAACATCCTTTTCGCCTATATTATGCCCGATCGAGACATAAGCGTCCTGAAGACGTGGGCGTGCGCTGTGTGACCGTCTGAGCCACGCCTCCCTGGTCGAGACTGTGCATCGGACGTTATTTGACGTGCGTCTTGCTGATTGCGGTCCACTGGTATAACGACCGAGTGTGTGATCCTTGTTGATGATCGTTGGCATGTACAATGAGCGAGAGAGACAGGTATGAGCCTCCCGCCTATCGTGATTCCAGATGAGGTGCAAACTGCTCAATGAGGACCTGACAACATAATATGCTCATTTGACCCGGCGGTCAGACGCGATAGACCGATTCCAGAAGGCGACGATATGGTTATGGCTAGGATGGATGAGTCGTCTGTTTTGGCAAAGTCCAGTGACTGGGCGCCACGGTACCACCGGATGAAATTGAAGGAGATGTGTGACAGAGCATCTGCATAAGCCGCAAGCTGATTTTATGCGCTAGCGGTTCGATAGAGACATCTACAGACCGACTGGGGCAGACCGCTTCGAAACCAGCAGGCCGGCCCGGTGTTGAGGAGATTGGCGGGGCGTGCAACGAACGTATATAGCGGGCGTGAGAGCTGTCGATTCTCGGCATCCAACATCAGCACTCACCAGAAACTGCAATCAAACATCCACATCCATCATGCTCTTTCTTCAACAGCTCACCGTAGTCACCTTGGCTATTGGCTCCGCAGTTGCCCAGACCAAGACCGGAAAGACGACCAGGTACTGGGACTGCTGTAAGCCATCATGCGGATGGTCTGGCAAGGCTTCTGTGACCGCGCCTGTCAGGAGCTGTGACAAGAGCGACAACCCTCTCGCTGATATGGCAGCCAAGAACGGATGTGAGAGCGGTGGCTCTGCCTTCATGTGCACCGACCAGTCGCCCTGGGCTGTCAACGACAATCTCGCCTACGGCTTCGCTGCTGTCAAGCTCTCAGGTGGAACCGAATCCTCCTGGTGCTGCGCTTGTTACGAGTGAGTCCTGCTATGTTAGCTACGTGAGTATCTCTGCTGACCATTCGTCCAGGTTGACCTTCACATCTGGCCCCGTCAACGGCAAGAAGATGATTGTACAGGCGACCAACACTGGTGGCGACCTCGGTGATAATCACTTCGACCTGCAGATGCCAGGAGGTGGTGTTGGACTCTTCAACGGATGCACCGCTGAATTCGGAGCTCCTTCGCAGGGCTGGGGCGCTCAGTACGGAGGTATCTCATCGCGTTCGCAGTGTGATTCCTTCCCTCAGAAGCTGAAGGCTGGATGCTACTGGAGGTGATTGCCGACTTCAGCAGGCACTTCCATCTCGTGCTAATTGGATTGTAGGTTCGACTGGTTCAAGAGCGCAGACAACCCAGGTGTCTCTTTCAAGGCGGTCACGTGCCCGTCAGCTCTGACTGACAAGACTGGCTGCAAGAGGAAGTAAAGGGATTGGGGAAGTGGAAGAAATGAGATCGTGGGTTTACGTGTGTGTGAGAAGCAACAGCCGTGCAGAATCTGTAGCTTTCGACAATCGTGGGGTTGATGGAGCATGTGCAACGGGAGAACATGGACTAGAGACGCGTCTAGTCTAGTTACCTAGGTAAACGCGGAAGCTTCCGCGCCTGTCGCACGTCAGCACTCGAACCTTCCCAACTCTGAATTTTCGACTCCTCGCTCAAAAGCAAAATACTACGAACAATAACAACGTAAGTACCATCCATCCTGTCTTCATGTTTCTTCACCTCAAACAAAGTACCGTAAGGATAAATTTCCAACAATTAGGCTGAAAATGTGGGTCTAAGCTGACCGAGAAACGGTGTCCGCGGACGGGCGTGCACTTGGCGTGGCGGACTATTTGACTTCGATGTTGTCATTGTCTGTTTGATCACCACAGCTATCTTTATAGGAGGTTGCATCATGATGGGAAAAGCCTCTTGAGTTTCATGCTTTTGGAATCATGGCACGACCGAAGTGGCTAACGTCTTTGACGCAACATGGCGAGAATCCGCCGGCGATGCTAGAATTCAGAAGCTCGGATGGCTTCATCATTGGGACTGTGGCATTGGCTGTGTTCACTGTAAGTCAACCATTCGTGGATGAAGCAATTGCTTGGAAAGCTCTGTCGCACGAAACATGAGCTCATATGTTGTAGGACATGTTTCTCTACGGAGTCGTTGTTCCCGTAATCCCATTTGCTCTGCAGACTCGGAGCCATGTCGGGCATGATCGAGTACAGTATTGGGTCTCTGTCTTGATTGCCATCTATGGAGCCTCGCTTTTGGCGTTTTCCCCACTCTGTGGCTGGCTTGCGGACAGAGGATCTTCTCGAAGATCTCCGCTTTTGCTCGGTTTGCTTGCATTGCTAGGCTCCACAGTTCTTCTTCAGATCGGTAACTCGACAGGCATCTTTGTTGCTGGTAGAGTTCTACAAGGCGCCTCAGCAGCAGTTGTGTACGCGATTTGATCTTCTGAAAATCTTCTGAGCTAACCTCATACAGATGGGTGATTGGTCTCGCTTTGCTGGCTGACACCGTACCCCAAGAAAACCTTGCACAGGCTATGGGATATGTCAGCTTAGGCATGTCGTTGGGTATCCTCATTGCGCCCTTGCTAGGTGGCGTAGTGTTTGACCGGGCTGGCTACGACGCTGTCTTTGGCATGGCATATGGCCTCATCGGACTCGACATCGTCCTTCGACTGCTACTGGTCGAAAAGAAGGTCGCTGCAAGATGGGATCCAGTGTCTGAAGTACAGGCAAATATTGTAGCAGAGCCTCCCAACAACGGACCTTCTCTCGCACGGGACAGAACGGCCGACACCGAGAAAGGCCTCCAGTCCGGAGAATCGGCCATCCCGGATCAGCCCATTGACACACTTAGAGACCGCCGGCGCGACCATTTGCCACCTGTCCTGGCTCTCTTGTACTCCCGTCGACTCCTCGCCGCGCTTTTCTGTGCCCTCATCCAGGCTGCACTGCTCACGTCCTTCGACTCTGTACTCACCATACGCGCCGCCAACCTTTTTGGGTGGACGGCGACTGGAGCTGCACTTCTGTTCCTACCGATCGTCATCCCGAGCTTCCTTGCGCCAGTCTTTGGTTGGTTCAGCGACAATTATGGCGGGAGGTATCTAGTCACCCTCGGCTTTTTCGGCGCATGTCCTCCGCTGATCTGTCTACGCTTCGTCAATGAGAACACGACGAACGACAAAGTCATCCTCTGTGCACTACTTTCACTGACCGGTCTGTTCCTCGCGCTCACATTCCCACCGATCATGGCAGAGATCTCGGTCGTTGCGGAGGCGAAAGAGAAGAGCATGCTTGCAGCTGGCCGCGCTGGGTTCGGACCAGGAGGGGCATATGCACAGGCCTACGGCCTATTCAACATGGCTTTCGCTGGTGGATGCATGGCAGGCCCGTTGTTAGCAGGTTTCATTGTTGAGGACAAAGGGTGGTCGATAATGGCTTTGGTTCTGGGGATCCTCTCGGCTATCACAGCTGTACCGGCATGCCTATGGCTAGGAGGGTGGATAGTAGGGAAGAAGCAGACTAATGAGGGTAACTCCTAATTAAGGTATCACTTCTACTTTGTTATCAAGCATCGATAATGCAAGACTCGTCTACGTGAAACAACTTGTGAAGCGCATCGCTAGCTTATGTATAGTCGATCCTGTCCATCTCTTTCTGCATCTTGGCTTTGCTACTGACAACTTTCCTAGCTACAGACGTCCAGTCCAAGGTGGCCTTACCCGTAACTTGTCGTACTGCTTCCTCGACCAAGACGGGAAGCAGTTATCCGTCCTTCTTTCTGATGAGACCATCGACAATGACCGTAGAAGCTCAGCGGGTTGAATCCCTTCATACACATGATTGGTGTGTAACAGAACACGGAACGGATGCCTGAAGACGCAGTAGCTGCGATTCCGAGCTTAGCATAGTTGGGCGAGCAGGTGACATGGGCATAATCTATCAGAGTCGTGGTGCCCGCTGCGTTACCTTCTAGCACACCTGCAAGCTCGCGGTAGAAGACATCCTTGGAACGACTGTAAGTTACCTGGAGAATTCCAGAATCAGTAAAGCGTAACACACGTCTCTAAGCGCACTGAAATCAACAGTTACCAGGTACTCCAGCAGAGACGCGTTCGCATGGCGTCGCATGAGCAGCTTCTGCCAGCCATGGTGGTGCGTGTCTACAAACCCAGGGCCATGATCTTGTCCGTGCAGTCGACGACTTCCAGTCACCACTTGCTCCAATACTTCTTTCGATCTTCGCAATCTTACCGTCTTCGACCAGGATGTCTTGCCTGGAAGCAACCACATGGCTGTCGGTATCATGAAAAAGGACCGCTCCGTTCTTGATCAGTAGGCTTTTTGTAGGTACCTCCGACATGTTGGTTGCGTGTTGTTGCATGGAGGTGCGCTGCAAATATTTATCTTTCTGCTCTCTTTATGGCTCTATCAGCTCGCACTCAACTAAGTTTCGCCTTCTGGGGTAGAAATATTTAGGTATTACCCTTAGCGGCTTTGCAGGCGATAGCTCATGTCGGCTATCTTTTCAGACGCTCGAAAAGTCAGATTGAGGGTCTTCCGTAAGCTGGTACAACTGATTGTCTTTCTTCCGGCAAGCTCCTACCGATACTCTTTGCACTTTTACAGAAGTGTGGGCGTAAATGTGATCTATTTCTATTCGGTGTTCAGGTCGCGTTTAAGCCCGGCATCTACAGCGCGCGAGGCCGAGGCGACGATGTTCGAGAAGGGTTCTTCTGCCCATAAAAGCATGAATCTTACCCATGCAGAAGCTGTGGAGATTTGACCTTGTCGCTAGGTAGTTCGAGCGCGTCATCCTCGGGGAAGAATCGTCCGCGCATGAAGGCTTGTGAGGATGAGAGTCGAGTCGTGCGCGTGCACTGACTCGGTTCAACGTTGTCATATTGCTCTCAGGGCCAACATGAAGGATGTAAGATATTCTGCTACGCCACGTGAAAGATGCTGTTGCACCTGGCTTCAAAAGAACATAGTAAGCTCTGAAAATACTTAGTACGACGTACCGGTACCGGTAACGCCAAGAACTGCTCACCAGAAATTCTCCACGGACAACACGCGAGGCATCAGCATCAACAACATCATCACCACTTTCAGCGTTGCTTTTGTATCGCCACGACGAACGCAGTCGATATCATGCGCTGCTAGAAAAATGGGAATCACTGAACAGATCGTGCCAGTCAGCGCTTCGATCTGATGCTTATTGACTGTTCAAGACAAAGTTCCAAGGATTGCGCATTTTCGCGCTTCCTTTGCGACATCCGTACCTCAGATCATTTCCATCGTATTTGAAATGACCTCCTCGTCCTGAAGCGCCACACGAAGGTCTACCTGACGGACTCAACCGACGACACGCATACGGCGCCTTAACAACACGTCCTTCGTCACAACATCCAGAGTCGACGACACCGCTCCAGCCCTGTATATCCACATGTGGTCCTGCCGACCACGCTACTGGCGCTTCCCGCTGCACAGATCGACCGGTATGATGACGGTACGGGGTGTCTTCTGTACATCCAGCTCGGGCCTATTTAGCTGAGCTGGATGCATGTTTGCCTCGAAACGCCTCCCTCATATTGATGCACGGTTCTAGACTTCAAGTTATGCTAGTAAGACCCTGACACTGGTATCATTACAGGTGCATGCGCTTCCTGCGGTGGGTTCCGCAATGTCGGTCACAGAGCTCGCGGTTAGACGAAACCCAATCCGGATTGCAATATGCATCTGCTGAGGGTCTTGCGGTAAACACCATTGGGATACATCAGCTCCTCCTTGGCTCCCAGCTCTCGGTCCTATGATGGACATCATGAAGTGCTGGCGAGTAGGCTTCGGACTGTCGCCAGCAGGGTGAAGCGAGCTCGACAGGGCATCATGAGGGTGCCAAAAGCAAAGATTCCAATATCATTTCTACTTTGAAGGCGTCTGTTGATAATAGGTAATATATACCCTCAGTGATAATGATACGAGCATGGGTGCCATCCCGGCGTACTGGTTTCGGGCCTGTAGCCACGTTCGACCTACAGTGCAGCATCTTTTCTGCAATCATAAGGAAATATCACCTTGAAGCTCGCCATACAACGGAGAAATGGTTCTATCCTCCCAAGGCTTCGGTCGAGCTAGCACCATGCATGGTGAGATGAACCACGTTGTGACCCCATGTCTGTCATCATTCGAGAGTAATATTACTAGCGTACGTGCGGGTGTGGTGCACTAGCCGTTTCAATGTGCGCCAAGGACGCAAATCGATGTCGCCATTTCATGGCACAATTGCGACCTCTGAACCCTCGCCCCGCGCTTGCGGCAGCAGAAACTAGCAAAACCGTGTGGATACCTGTCTACCGTGTGGATACCTGTCTACTGCGATTGTTCGTTTGTGCCATCTCTGCAAAATATGGGAAATCGTAAAATCAGGACTGAAGTTTGTATGATTGACCTTTTCTCCAACTTTCAGGTACGGATTGAAGATGCAACCCGACACAACTAGCCAACCAATCTTCTCGGATCCTGCATGCGGTCTATCGACGCCCACCAAGACCATCTCGGTTGTCAATTCAGCCCAGATTTCACAAGCTCAACGCCGTGCCGAGCCCAGGCTTCCAAATGTCTTGTACTCTCTTGCCCTCCGCCACAATTTCTTGTACTATCGGAGCACGTCATCGCCTTCTGCGAGATGTGATTGAACGGAGATCCTTGCGCTGGGCTCGTCTCCCACGCCAAGTCATAGAGGGCCGCTCCTTTGAGCGCCGACTTCTTGGACATCGAACCATAGCGTATGAGGCGTTATCCTCCGGCGTGGATCTGGAACCTTGCAGTCTCTTCTGACAGGTATATCTGAGATCTCCACGGCATCTACGGGCTGTCGGGTCTTGTTCTATGACTGTAGTATAAGGGTACCACAGTCCTCGCTCAGTGCCATAAACAACATATCTGGACAAGCCAAGCAGCAAAAAGGATTGTTCCAATCTTCTCAACTACACGCTGGTACACGTGTAGTCTTGTGACTTCGCCTTATCACAATCAAGCAGCTCACAAGAAACCTCGTCGCTGCCACGCAACAGCAACTACATCGCCAGCATGGTTTCAGCCGCGCGAGGCGTGGCCAAGGTCCTGGGGATCAACGTCGACTACCGCAGGGAGGCCAACCCTCTGGAGAACTCGAGCGCACTGTCGGTGTCATCAGTCGACACCTATGTGGAGCGCGAGCCTACCGTTGCTGAGTGGCTCTCCAAATTCGCACCATCATTCACAGCAACCAAACGCTACCTCCGCAGCTTGTTCCCGTTCCTGGATTGGATCTTCCACTACAACCTCACATGGCTTTTTGGCGATGTTATTGCTGGTGTCACCGTTGGCTTCGTAGTCATTCCCCAGGGCATGGCCTACGCTCTACTGGCGCAACTACCAGCTGAGTACGGTCTCTACACCAGCTTCGTTGGTTTCATCCTTTACTGGGCATTCGCAACATCCAAGGACATCACCATCGGCACTGTGGCTGTGATGTCTACCATCGTCGGTAACATTGTTGTCAAGGTACGAAAGAATCATCCTGAGATGACACCCCCCGATATCGCGAGAGCTCTATCCGTCATTGCTGGCGCCGTGCTGCTCTTCATCGGTCTTACCCGCCTCGGCCGCATCGTGGAATTAATCCCTTTGGTCGCCATCACCTCTTTCATGACCGGTGCTGCTATCAGTATTGGAGCAGGTCAGGTACCAGCCCTCATGGGAATCACTGGCGTTGCCACCCGTGGCCCAACCTACCTTGTCATCATCGATACGCTCAAAGGCCTCCCACGAACAAAATTGGACGCGGCTATGGGTCTGAGTGCTCTTGCCATGCTCTACATAATCCGTTCGTTCTGCAATTTCATGGCGAAGAAGCAGCCGAACAGGAAGAAGATGTGGTTTTTCGTAAGCCGAAATGATTGTCCGATCGTACGCTCACTGACAACCTCCAGATCAACACTCTTCGCATGGCTTTTGTCATTCTCCTGTACATCATGATCAGTTACGTCTCCAACCGCCACGTCAAGGATGCAAAGAACGCCAAGTTCAGGCTTCTGGGCAAGGTTCCTCGTGGTTTCCAACATGCTGGTGTACCGAAGCTGAATCCTGAGCTCCTTTCTGCTATCGCTCCTGACATCCCTGTCACAATCATCGTACTGATCCTCGAACACATCGCTATCTCAAAGTCCTTCGGTCGCATCAATAATTACGTCATCAATCCATCGCAGGAGCTTGTGGCCGTCGGTTTCACGAACGTTATTGGGCCCTTCCTGGGTGCGTACCCTGCGACCGGATCCTTCTCGCGCACTGCTATCAAGTCCAAGGCTGGTGTTCGCACACCTTTGGCTGGTATCTTCACTGCCATCATCGTTCTCCTGGCTTTGTACGCCTTGACAGCCATGTTCTTTTATATTCCTATGGCAACTTTATCGGCCATCATCATTCACGCTGTGGGCGATCTCATTACACCGCCCAATGTTGTGTATCAGTTCTGGGAGACTTCGCCCCTCGAGGTAGTCATCTTTTTTGCCGGCGTGTTCGTGACAATTTTTACGAACATTGAAAATGGTATCTACGCTACTATTGCAGCTTCTTTCGCCCTGCTGCTTTGGCGCCAGCTCTTCACCCATGGACAGGTCTTGGGCAAGGTCCGCGTTTACCGCGCAACTCCAGACTCATTCACTCGCAAGGCAGATGGTGCTTTTGCTCCAGGTGTTGCGCACTCTTCCCGCGAGGCTTTCATTCCTATCAACAGGCAGGACGGTTCGAATCCGAACATTGATATCGAGTCCCCCTACCCCGGTGTCCTTATCTTCCGCTTCAGTGAGGGCTATACGTACCTGAATCAGCAGGGATATATGGATGAACTGGTCCACCACGCTCAGGCCATTGCCAGGCCAACAGCACTTGATCGGTACGCCAAGTTGGGGGACCGCCCCTGGAACGACCCCGGCCCACGACGTGGCCAGCAGGTCAATGTAGACGACAACCGCCCCATCCTCCGCGCCATTATCTTGGATTTTAGCGCCGTCAATAACGTCGATGTCACCTCGGTTCAGGGCCTCATTGATGTTCGTGCCCAGCTTGACCGCTATGCCGCTCCCGAGAGCGTTGAGTGGCATTTCGCATCGATCAACAGTCGCTGGACTAAGCGTGCTTTGACCACTGCTGGCTTCGGCTACATCAGCCGTGAGCGCTTTGCATCTCGTCAACACTGGAATCCAGTGTACAGCTACGCCCCTCTGGAGACATCCAACCAGAAGACCGGAGACGTCGAGGCGCAAGACGAAATTAAGGCCGTTGGTGGACAGAACGGTTTCAACGGCAAGGTCTCCACAGTCCATGGATCGAATAGGCCGTTCTTCCACATTGACGTACCGGCTGCGGTTGAGAGTGCGATCTCGGGCATTGAGCAGAAGTTGGCACATGTGAGCCTTGATGGTTCCGAGAAGAACCTCGGTCACACAGAGCTTTCGACCAAGCAGTTGTAGAATCCCGCTCGAGCTGCGGTAGCTGTTTTCTATAGATTGATTTCTTCGTACACTATACCACCACGATTTGTGATTCATTCAGCTTGACTCTATGCTTCATCCTATGCCTCCTGTATATCGAGTGCGAGTCGAACACTGAAAATCTCCCTAAGCCACACAAGGAAGAGCCGCTGATCAGATATACTCACTACCAAGACGGTTGAGAACGCTAATCTGAGCTTGGAAGTCATGCCACGACCATAGCTGTCTCCAGGATCTGGTTGTTGCAGCTGATCTGCTGTGTACTGCATGCAGACTAGTGTGACAGGGGTCGCCCAAGGCCCAGATTTCGCCAACCAACCACAAAGTCACCTACAGAATCGACCAACCTTCGCACACGCGCCATCTTATGCTGCTTATCGCTGACTCTGTTAGATCTGACGAATATAATCGTTTCTGCCCTCGTGTCTTTGCTCGTGGTGTACCTTATTAGATCACTTCCCCGCAGTCCGCGGCCGTTCGCTATCGCAGCTTCAGCCCTCTGATCGATTTCGCATGTCTTTTCGAAGGATGCAGACTGATCCCCAGTTCTCAAAACCCAGGCTAGCCCTCAGCAGCCAATTTGTCCTCACATCATCAAGCCTGCAAGCCATACAATCGACACCTTCCGCTTCCATTGCGACAAATATTCACAAACCAGGATGCACGAGCTTCCAGACGATATCTTAGTTACCATATTCACCAGCCGCGACATTGAAACCCTTCTCAAGCTACGGTTCAGTTGCACATCGTTCTGTGCCGTCGTGCAAGCATGCATCAAGACCATCGCACCTTCCCCCGCGCGCAACACCTTCCCAAATTGCGAGCTACTTCTCTCACCGCCCAAGAGCGGATACAGTGTGCGTTGGCTACGTGACCTCATTCCCGCTCAACTAGCCAGCATCACTCTTGACAAAGACAAGCTCCGCCGCTGCCCTTACGTCAACTCGGGTTTCCTCTACGGCATTCCCAGCGAGAACGACTGCACAGAAGCGACGTATTGGCGGCAACGACTGACGAACGGATGGCGCATCTTGCAGTCATTTCAGTTAACCTCGGCCAGAGTCTACTCGAGCTTCGATGGTAGTTGCAAGAGGCCGAATGCTTTCAGGAAAGTCAGTGGCGGTGTACGGACTAGTCGCATCTGGCAAGCCGTCTCGTGTCAATATGTCGGCTGTACAGAACATGGCATGAAGCATGTGTTTAAATCGAAAAGCCGCCGCGACTCTCATGATAGCCGCAATGAGGAGCAAAACTCCAAAGATCCCATTCCAGAAATTCGTCGCAAAGAAGCGCTCATTCTCAAGAGACGCTTAGCGCAGATGAAGTCAATGTCAGATCAGGATCTACTTGACTACGTATATCTCTGGCGCATGCTACTCCACGTCTCCCGACCCTACAGTAAGCCCGGAACGACAGTCTGCGACTTCACACAAGGCTGGGGCCTGTCAACTTCCATACCAAGCCCGAGCTGGCCAACCATAATCTCCGACATAGCGCAAGGCTGCTCATGGCTCAATTGGTTTATTCTGCACACCGGCACCGCGCCCTTCCTCACACAGTGGTCTCTCTCCTCGCAGTCAGTTTATACTGCCAACAACCTTCCGTAATGCCATTTGGCGCGCATGGAGCTCCCGCAGCACACACCAGATTGAGATCGAACGCGAATACATCTCAAAATTTGAGTTTGCGCTGCGCAAACGCTGTCTCACCTCTGAAAGTTCTAAGCGTCTCGAGGCTGGAATCGCGCGAGGCATGACCATCAACACAATCAGCCTTGACTGTATACCGTGGATATACGATCAGCATCACCGAATACCAAGGCCGCCGTCAGATTTTCCATGATACAATGCCAATGATACGGTGTGGCTGCAAGGCGAATCGGGAATTACGTGTACGCCTGGAATGAACTGAAGTGACCCGGGAGCACTAAGGGGAGATTTAAACGTGTACAGAGGCAATGATGAGAGCGGCCATGGGCCACTAGCAGAAGTACCATACCTTGTCTACCTAGGCACCGAAGACGCAGCAAAATTGTGGCCCGGAAGTCAAGGAGAGGGAACCGAACTGGCATTTTGAATGAAGACATAGCGGCCTACGGATTCCCGAAAGGCTGTACACCCGACACAGATGTGTACTCTATGATCGCGCCACGAATTTAATCCGCCCTGAGAAGAACCACGAGCCATTCAGCAACCTCCTCCATCGCCGCCGCCACCGCCTCCTCCTCCTCCTCCTCCATCTCCCCCACTGCTACACCCACCATCTCCGCCACTGTATCCACCACCGCCGCCACTATAGCCACTGTAGCCACTGTAGCCACTGTAGCCGCCGCCGCTAGACCTTACAGCTGACTTTGGTGGATCAACGCGAACGTACTTTGGCGTAAAGTTCTCCTGCCTATCAATTTTTTCCGTGGAACTGCCGGCAGCGCGAGGCGTCTTGATTGCGACAGAGGAGCTCGCAGGCGAGGGAGGCGATAACACGGAAACAGGACTGGGACCGACAGGTACGGATGTCTGGGAGGGCGTGGGCTTCGTGCCGAAGCAAAGGAAGCGCATTGTTGTCTTTGATGTATTTGACCGATTGGCAAATAGTTGGGGATTGAGATGCGGAGGATGGGTTACAGTTGCTCTGCTCAAGGATAGAGATGTGGAGTGGGATGGACACTGCACTACACCACGAGGACATCTTATATACACATATATTTATTCTACAGCCTGATGCTTTCGGTGTAGCCTTCGGACATTAGGCTGCTACGAGGCGAAATTGTCCACTGCGGTGACTTGCTGCGGTGACTGAAATGGGAAGGACTGTGGCTGTAAGGCTACGGCTAGGCCGAAAGAGGCTGCATTAGACGAAACCCGCGATACAGCCGCTCAAGTGGATGTACCGTATTTGTACAATATCTGGAAGACGATAGAGATGCTGTGATCATGCGGGAGCTGTTCGCTTGTAGTGTCCTATTCTTGCTACGCTTTGTCGGTATGGTTGCACATCGGGAGAGGTAGGCAGACATATACCCATGCTCCCCACGAGGGTGCGATCCCAAGGTCAAAGTCAGCCTCGTCTGTAAGGTCAACAGTTGACAATCCGGCAGAGGCAAAATGGGGTTGCCTAGATACGTTAGTTGGATACTGAACAGATTTGATATCGCCTTGATTTCTCCCAACCGAGTGAAACGATCAGATAAAGCAAAGAGCGTCACCAGGTCAGCATATACGGCCCATAGCGTTTACCTCAGAGGTGTTGGGTGTTTGTCGCGAAACCTATCGCCCTGTTGTTGCTCCCTCTTCTGAAATTGTCAAAGATATATGAGCACTTTCAGAGGACGCCCGGCTGTAGTCGTAGTCTCCTACTGAGATCTTGTGCTGACAGCGCCCAGGAGCCTTGGGAATCTTCGAGTACTTGGAATAAGCAGCCATTCGCCATACTGGAGAGAAGGAGCCCGAAGAAAGTAGGACACAGCTAAGTATTTGCGGGGTGATTTATTACTCTGGACCGTCCTGCCAGAACTTTGACAGCAACGTACTTACTGTAGAACTGCATATGTCGAATGCAATTCGTCACTATTAGACAACGTGATAATGCCACCCAGAGTGACATGAAAGAAATTCCCACTGCAATGTGTAATTGTTGCTAGCACAACGCATCATGATCTGCACCAAGTGGCGATTCATTCCATATCCCTGAAGGAGAACCTGTCATGATTCCATGGATCTGAATATTGTCCGAGCGCTGCAGAGCATCCTTATGTCGAAACACAATTATGCTGCCCACTGCTGTAGACTGCTTCACGAAGTTCGCTGACGCAAAGCGAAGAACAAAATATGCAGTCGAGGCACAAGAAGGTGCCTCTCACGCGGATCGACCATGACACTTCTGGCGTAAGACACCGAGGAGAACTCAGCTGCCCCAGCTCACCTTTTTGACCTTAATCTCCAGGTGCGCGTCCTCAGCCATGTGTATTTTCCCCATTGATGCGATGGATCGAGTAAGCCCCTTGCATGTTGAGGATCGAAGGGAAGTGAGGCGAAAGACTTTTCTTAGTATCATTGATCGAGTGAGGCAGTGAAACTTGACCAAAGTCACTTCGCTACACGCGTCGCGTCTAAAGCCGTGAGTCCGAATTCGAGAGGGTGCCTTCTTTGTTTCTTTGTTCGTAGCCCCGCGTGGTTACCCTCGTGGCAAACGCATAGCTCTTACACGTGGCGTGTGACCCTTGAGTTGAATTTAAGATTGGTAACCGGCAGGTGCGGCCCGGGGTGTTGATCACCGGGTACCTGCATATTGATGTCTGAACAAAGAGAAGATTTGTTGACCCCCATGGCGTGTCTGTTTCGAAGCCCAACGGGACGGGAAGGAAAGCGAGTCCTGTGTGTCAGGCTAAAAGCTTCGAGCGAGGCATTGTTGAGGCTCGTCCACGACGCATATCGCAGGTCTGAATTTGCGACTCAGTAGTGTTTATCGATGCGAACCCAGTGTCAGTCGCGCGTTTGCTCCTGGAGTGGCAAACGCAGGGTCCTCATTTGTTTTGTCTTGACGATTTTCCTTTCTTCCGAGGGTTCTGAGATTCGTTAGTAGCCGGCAAGTGGGGCATTGGGTATGAGGTCGCGGGTACCTGCATGTCAAAACTGCCGCGGTGGCAAATAATGGAAGGTGAAACGCCAGGGCAAGGGATGTCGTGGTCTTGGGTGGGTGGCGATGAAACTTAACCGATGTGTGTTCCATGACATCCTTGACAATGAGAACGTCAAAGTGGCTATCAGACGTAAGCGCCGCCTCATACGAATGCTGTGGGGCATGAAGTCATGAACCATTGAGCTGCAGTCCGTCGACAGGAGACTATTAATGTTCTGTGATGCTGAGAGGGCTGAACGCCAAACTCTAAAGTTGAGTTCGTTGGGGACGGAAATTGGGATATGGGGCCGAACCGTCCAAACCCTTCAACCTCGCCAGGCAATTGCGAAACCATGCTTCAAAAGCGTTCTTGAGAAAGCAAGTATGACGAGACAAAACGGAAGCAATATTGTTGGCAATGAAGTCTTGATGACAAGTGGCACGGTGGTGTACTGCGTATGCAACAGATGCCCATGAACACCAATTAGGTCTGGACGGAAACCTTACGCCATGATACGTTGCGGCGCTGTCACTATCGATACTGCGAGCCTGGAGAGCTGAGGCTAGATCCGAGCAGCCGTTACTGGAGCCGCTCAGGAATTTCGATCAATAGTGCAGAAAGTACTACAAGCTCTGCGGAGACATCACTTGCAAGTCCCATGGCTGGTCTACTGTTGGGACCGACCCATAAAGTCTTTGTCGGTTCAGCAGCTGGTCAATTGGCATACGAAGCTCTTATATACTAATTTCAGTGAGGTTTGACATTTGCGTTGTTACGACAGTCGTTGCTCACCGCCAGACCCATCTGGTTTGTTTGTTTTGACAGATGAGCGGTGGGCGTAGCGTCGTAAGTGGATTCAAACGTCTCGGCAACCGTTCAGTTGCCGTTCACCGCTGGATTCCACTGTTTGTTTTGACGAACGAGCGATGTTGACACGTTCGCGACTCGTACACCGCGCGTTGACTAGCACCAAGTGGGCTCTACACATGGGCGGAGAACCGCTGGTTTGGTCGAGGTCCACTTTCGCGATGTAGTTTTTACAGTTGTGCGCTGGCAGAGGATTCGCCGTTCAGGATCGAAGACAGTACCCGGCTTGACTGGTCCGGAGGCACGGCTTGTTATTCCCGTGATTTCAAAGAGCCTTCGCTCTGTGTGTTGTGCAGATACACCGTCTGCTTTACCGCTGCAAAGCTTCGAAACTTGCGTCAAGTCCAACTGTATTGAGGTCTTGCGCCGCAAACCATCTGGATGGCTGAGAGCCGTCGGTGAAAGTAAGGCCATCCTGGTGTATGGGGCAGACAGTCCTCTCCACGTGAGGCCATGGATCGTGCGGCATGTTACTTCCACAGTCTTTCGCGCCTGATTACCTACCGGAAAGGGTCAAATTATCAAACTTGGATAGATCGTGGTCATTGTTCCAAAATATCGGGTCAGCTGCCCTGTGCGAGACATTCTGGGCATGGAACATGCGAACGGATCAACGTTGCTGCATGGTGAGACCGGGGTTCCTGTGAATCAGACGAGCCGTAACTTTCACAAATCATTCCTCGAAAATGTGGATACGCATCGGCAATAATGAGTGGACGAGGCTTGGCCATATCTGCAGCCCGCAGTGGAGTTGATCGTCGGCGCTGCCAACGCTGCAGAGTGCGGATCAAGACAGCAAGCGACTGGACTGTGACAGGGTGGTGACTTGCTCCTTCATACAGCCGACAACCGACAGGCGTAGTGAAATCCTAACAAGCGTTAGTTCACGTAATGTATGGCATCGACTAGGATGGTGGGAGTAACGTGATTCCACGTTCGCTTCAAACCTCGACTCACCGAGGCTGTTTGCCGCCGGCGATACCTGACAAACGTCGGAACAGTCTGAGCGTCGCCGCACAACAGCAAACAAAGACCCTGATCCTGGATACGTAGTGATCAGCATAACCCAGTGGCAGCAGAAGCGATATGAAAGATTCCGACGATGCGTTCGCGGCCTGATGAAGCCAACATGGTACCGGGGATTCGGACAGCGACGGCCTTGCGGTTCGACGCTATTCGGACCTACACTTTTCGAGGTTGCACCGGTCTCAGGAGAACAGAAACGGTTTCTGGGCGGCTCACGGAAGTAACGCCTTGATTCGTGGAGGTATGAGTCCTGCATACGATGTGGCTCTTGCGGCGGCGGATTTCCAAAGCTTGCTGGACACTTGGCCTGAGCTTTGCGCTTGTCCGTCTCCCCGAGCACGCATGGGGCGCACTGCGCAAAGGGATGAGCAAGTCATTTCTCCAGCACACGAATGCCATCGCGTGCACAGATTTTCCCTCCGGGCTCCGCGCACCCTGCACAGGGCTGCACAGGGCCAAGTGAGCCGCAGAATTTTCAGCTCTCATCTCGAGTCGTTTCCGAACTCTCCGCTGTGTTCAAAGAAAGAGTTTCTGTACGCGGCTGTCCTTTCTTTGTCTGTCTATTCGTGTTTCGCAAGGGCTGCATAAGTTTAGCTCAGACCGGGGAGGGGGCTGAGCGCCGTCCTTTCTTCTGACTGTTGGTGACTCAACGCAGTTAGACGACTCATGTGATATCGCGTTGGCGCGTTTGGGCACTTTGGGCATACTTTGTGCACTCGAGACGCGTCCCTCGCGTCCGTTAGTCTCGAGAAACGATTGGCCGGAATTATGCGATCCTCCTACCCTAGCCCCTGTCACCAACGCTGGCACGGCTGGGCATGGTAGGCCCTCCGCTGGCCTCTGCACTTGGCCTCTGCAGGCCTCCGCCCGAGGAGAAAATCTATATATGAGAACCTGCACTCACCCATAGTGTGCCTGCTATCACCTGTTTTCATACTAACCAACAGTCGTTGCCTAAGGCCTTTGATCATTTGGGTTGCTTGATTCGATATCTCTCAACTCTGTTGCCTACTCTAGACCATTGTAACTACTCGACGACCACCCATTCCGAGTACTTGGCATCGACTATAACGACTTCCTCATCTACGACCATCAACGCACATACATCCACCATGTTCGGATCACGATCGAGAAAAGAGAGCGTGTCTCAGGGCCGCTCGAGGAAGGAGAGCGTTTCAAAGCACAGGACAAGCACCTCCAAGCACACAAAACAGCCGTCCTTCAGCCAATCGTCGAGGAAAGTAGAGAAGCTGGTCCAGCAGGCTCGACCGGTTTCCCAGGCTCCCTCGTCGAATGCCACGTCGCCGTCATTGGGCAGGTGAGCACACAGCTACTCGAAATCGAGAAGCATCACTAACAGATCATTAGCACCATCATCACAGTGTGCGTCGGCGCCGAGCAGCGTCTCTTTGCAGCACACGAGGACGTCCTGTCTCACTCACCCTACTTCCAGGCTGCATGCAGCGGTCAATTCTACCAATCCTCCAACAAGCGTATCGATCTCGCTGACGAGGAGCCCGAAGTCTTCTCCTCGATCCTTGAGTACCTCTACAAGGGCGACTACTACCCTCGCCTTGAGTTCAACAAGAAGCGCAACACCTGGACCCTTGAGGATGGTGGTAACGACAACGGTGCCAACGAGGCCGTGATCTACTCGCCCGCAGGGCCCATCCTGAAGGACACAGTGATCTACTGCCAGGCCGAGAAGTACGGACTGCAAGAGCTGAAGAAGCTGGCTCTTCGCAAGCAGGGTCTGCAGTCTGGCATCCAGTGCTCGACCATCCTGACATCTGCTCGTTATGCCTACGCCAACACACCTGACAACGACTCCAAGCTTCGTGCGCACTACCTTGCACTCATCATCCGTGCGCGCAATACATTCAAGCGCAGCGGCACGATGCAGAACGAGATGGAAAACGGCGGTAAGCTGTTCTTCGACTTGTTCGTTGCCATGGTAAACCACATGGATGACCTTGGTCTGTCCGCAAAGTCGCCACGCTAGGCTCCACCCCTATTCCTCGGAACAACTCGGGTCACGAGCCTCATCACACTCGGGCCTCAACCCCATCACCTCTCATCTCCGGTCTGCTTCATGTACTCGGCGTTGGACATTCTACTCCTTTTCTTCCGGCTTCCCGTCGTCGCCGATATGACTAGTGTCATGGCACGTGCGCATCCCGTCTCACCACTGCTACGGCTCTGACTCACGGTCTCCCCCGGCTTGGCCCGTTCGTTATTCTTGGCTCCTTCATCTCGCATCTCGTCTTTGCCTACCTCCTAATGATCCGTGTTACGACACACGTATACCCACGACGGACGCTTTGTTCACCGTCGCAAACCAGTACCCTTCTTGTACACTATGCTTACCCTTGTTGGCCTCGCGGTCATCGGACTTGGTTCTGCTTTTGGTTTCTGTTTTCTGTCTTTCTGATTCATGCACGGCGTTCAGGCTCGAAGATACCATTCTGGCACTCATTCGGCCTCCCTATTGTAACATTAGACTTTCATCTCTCGCTTGCTTTTTGTCTTTCGCGCTATCATCATACCCTTGGTTACAGATTGTTATGGTCGACAGACCCACTCAGGTTATCGGACTACCTTTTGCAGCATTACTACTGCTACTGGCGGAATTGAAACACGCGCCTATGGCGCGGCAGCTTTCGAGCTGTCGTCTTCTCTTCACTGCGTTGTTTCAAGCATTGTTTCTTGTATCAGACTGTACTCTCTGCTTCGGCTGGTCCAAATTGTAGCACCTGGGTTACCTGGTTTGTGGATGGGTCTATCGACCTTTCCTTGATGATAGTATTTATTACAGTGACGTCAAAATTGGAGCAGAGCTATTTATCTCAATCATCTTCCCCTGGCAATTCTTCATTGTGACCACCGTTCATCTCCATGCAACACTGCCTCAAGGGTCTTTGTTCCCTCTCCATCTTACCCGAGCCAAGAATATGCAGACGTTGTCGCATCCATCGTCGCAACGCAGAGCACAGCCTCATTCGAACGCAGTGAAGATGCTCCTCTTGGCTGATCTCATCGGACGGTTAGTCGGCACGCAACCACTCACACCACGACCAAAATCAAGACCATCAAGTATATGAATAATCAGCACTGCCAATTGAGGTAAACCATACGCACATCTACCACATAAGGCTGCTTCCGAATTAACAGCCACGTTGTACATTTCACCCCTGCCATGAAATTCAACTCTCCATCTTCCCAATTTGCCGCTCCCAGAGCAACAATGATCGAGCGCCCACCCCCGCACTCCATTCAAGCCATCAGCGGAAAGCGCGCAGGCGGCAAAAAAGTGCCCAAGAAGTATCGAAAGTACCACAAGAAGACGACCAACGACAAGAAGACTGGCGGGCACATCGCCTCCAGAGTCGTGCAATACATCATTAGAGCTGTGACACAGGCTATGCCATAGTGCGCGGTGGGTGCAGCCAGATTAGTTGTGCTCGAATGAGTCAGGTAACCGCAAGATGCAAGCCTGTGACAAGCAAGCTGTGCAGTGCTGAGATTCCGACTGCCGGTTCAGTAGACACCGCAGCCTGTAACGTGTTCTATCAGTAAGCTGCGCATATCAGTATCCTGCGCACCCCACCAAAACGCGCTCAACGCGTCTTATCTCATCAACTATGACACCACATCAACTACCCGTACAAAGTTCAAAAGAAGGCAGGTTAAGCCTTGCTATTGCTTCTTTTCAAAATAATCCTTATCAATCTAAACGTTGCCTTGCTGCAGCCTACGATGTTCCAGAATCAACACTGCGGACGCGTCTTAAGGGTATCTGTCCTAAACACGAGACAACATCAGTCAACCAAAAGCTCAG